TTTGTCTTATTCCTTTTGGTACCTCAGTATGGTGCATTGCAACACTGCATCCAAGCGTCCACACTGTGGGGTGAATATCTTTGACGGTGGTCATGGAGATTGCTAATTTCCTATTGAGAATGAGATTGTAGATGGAGTCAAATCACAGTGATGCATTTCTATTAGGAATAGGTGACAGTTTGGTCTGGACTTAATGCATGCACATTTTATTTTTGAATCATTTTTTTGACACTCAATTTGTCATAACTGAAAGAATAATAACAATTATAATATAGAGACAAAGAAAAAATCTTATTGTGAAGTGTTTGACTGAATGTGGGTTGTCAGGAACTTTAGCTTTACGTCTGTTTCTGTGTTTTCTTGTGTCAGGTTTTTATTAAAATGGGAAGGATCTACTTTTTACTTAGGTATTCTGCCAATATCCTTGCGCTGTGTACAGATGTACCATCACTATGAATAATGATCTGAATGAACCCCTGCTTTTTCACCTAGTGAACTTAACATTTTCAAGATTACTAGCATTAAAGAATGAATGCGCTGGCCTGTGTGTTTTTACATTGAGCTTGTAATATTGTAATAGATTGCAATTCTCCTGGGAACTGGGGGGTGATAACTTAAAGGTCCATCCATCCATCCATTTTCTACCCTTTAATCCATTTCTGGGTCAGGGGGGTGGCAGTCAGAGATGCCACCCAAGTCTCATCTGCTCTCTGAGTGTGAGCATAGCCTTGATCTTTCAGTGGGAGCTTTGGGCAAAGTGGGGTTAAGTGTCTTGCCCAAGGACACAACGACAGCAGTCATCAGTAGGAGTCGGTGGAGAAGGTGGGAATTGAACCCACGACCTTCTGGGCTTAAGGCCAATGCTCTACCAACTGAGCTACTGTCGCCCCATAACTTAAAGGTATATAGGAGAATTTTCTATTTCTGGGTGGATTACGAAGACTATTGGTCCACCCAATTGTCAATCATTCTGGTGATACGTGCTCGTCAAATAAGACACGAGAGTTTTGTTCAAAAAGTAGAGGGGATGGTTCTTTTCTAAAATTTAGGAAAGTCCTCTTATGTACCTTTTTAAAGACAGATTTATGAAGTCATGTGAAAAATCAGGCACACAGAGACGGGATCTTTGCGCACCAGAGGTTGGATGTTTATTCTCAGTTCTGTAGTTCTTTTCAGGTTATTTCAGGATTTTTCAGTGGCTTTTTCAGACGGAACATATTTAGGATATGGTCTATAGTCAACGTTTACGTCAGACATACGTCATACATGGATACGTCATAAGCATTCGTGTGTGTCACATCAATCAGAATCAGAATCATTTTTATTGCCATGTAAGTTACAGGAAGTCACAGACTTGGAAATTGCTTTGGCTCAGTGCAACAGTCAGAAAGAGATAATAAAAAATAAAGAATAATAAAAAACACTTCTAAGGAATACATTTAAATTTAAAATAGAGTTACAGTTACTATTCACAATATACAAGTGCACATGGTGCACACAATGTAAGGTGACAGCAGTACAGTGAGAACAATCAAGAGAACAATCAGAAAATAACAAGACATCGAAAGAACAGAACACGGACACACGATCATAGCAGATACACAATCGGGTCGTTGACGTAAGGCCAGATCACTTTATAGCTATCTCCTTTCTTTTGAATTGGTATGTGACATTTTTGCCACTTTTTATTGTGCATAATTATATCCTGCACAGACTATATTTTTTAATCGTTAACATGATTGTGCAAGAGACAGAAGTGTGCAATCTGTAATTTTCTCCGTCTATCTTATCTTAAAAAAAAGTTAAGCAGTGAGTGACGTAGCGCACGTTGCCCCGCCCCGAGCCAAACGCCTGGACCCTCTGCACACAGGCTACCGACTCGTCCGACCGTCCCGGCTGGCGTTAGTTCGCCCGTACCAAACTGCCTTTCCCCTGGGATGACCGGTGGAAGTGCCCGTGTTGTGGCTCTGTGTCGGTCCAGGCTGGGCACTTCTACAGCCCGTCCCACGTTCTCAGCTCCTCCGCGGCCGTGCAGGGAGGCCTGTTGTGTGGGTAGAAGAGTTTGTTTCTGCGCCCATCCCCCACTTTCTCTGCAGGCCAAGATGAATGAGATCCTGACTTCAAAGCACGGGCACTCGCAGCCCTTTCCGCCCGCCTCCTCAAAAGCATGTTGCACTAGCGACTTCCCGACTGCACGAGAACTTTTAGGATATTAAGTCTATGCGCGTTTATCTAAGCTATTTGTGTGCTGCTATCAACTTTATAAAAAGCAGGGGTACTTCACTTTCAAAATACAGCCACATGAACTATCAAAATCCTTGTCACCAGTTCTTGGCTCTAAATCAGTTGCTTCTATCACTAGTTTTACATGCATGTATGTTTGGCCTCAACTTTAGATCAGTTTTTTTCAGACAGAAAAGTAATCAAGCGAGAACCACCCTCAGCCCAAAGAGGCAAATAGTGACTCACAGGGGTCTTTCTTCCAAGTATTGTATAGCCTAACCTGCGGACCCCTGTTTTATCTATATTACTGCTAAAACATTATTATCTGAAACACTATGTCTTTGTTTTGCCCACACTGTTACGACTGCACAGTAGAGTGTTTTAAGTCTCGTCTTAAGACCCACTTTTACTCCTTGGCTTTTAACACTGCGTGAGTTGTGTGGTCCTCTGTGTTTTTATTTTATTTTATTTCTATTTATGATTTTAATCTGTTTTATATATTTTTATTCTTTTATACTTGGTGAAGCTAAGGATAAGTTTTTATTTATTTTATACTTTTTTTGTGCAGCACTTTGGAAACGTAACTGTTGTTTAAATGTGCCAAATAAATAAAGTGAATTGGATTGGATTGTATTTATATCTTATGCATGAATATCTCAAGTGTTCTTATGCACATTGGCATAAGAACAATATAAAAGTGTTGTCTCCTCTTGTTCGATCTGGAGGGACTCAAATAAACCATGTCCATGTTCTATACATAGTTCCCACAGACCAATGAATGTCACATGACCTCCTCGGAGACGCCATCTTTGATGGCACGCTGCTGTGTTTGTGCATTCCATTAAACAGAAGAATGAGAATAAATGTAGATATTCAAACGCAAATTGGAAAAAAAGGGCAACTTTTGAGCAAATAATTGTATATTAATACAATGGCACCACAGTTTAACGTGCTACGGACATGTTTTACATATTTGATCAAATTATGCAGCAAAAATTAACAAGCAATGCAAACATTTCTCAAAAACTTTAGATTTAATACCAGTTGGAGCTCCATTTAATTATTTTAATTATATTAACAATTAATTTAATTAATGCTAATGCCACACGGACACTCTGGATTGCTGTTATTGTTTATTTCCGCGTTTTTGACCGTATGTTTTGGTGAATGGTGGGCAACTGATTTTTCCAGGCGTAAAGAGCAGTTTATTTTATGACACAGATCTTTTTACAGAAGCAATGCTGTTTGTGAACATTGTTTTAGCCCACCATAGAACTATTATTATCTATTTAATACATTTACGTTGCCCTCGAGAGCCTCGGACGCGACACCGATCCTCCTCATAATAAAGTAATCTAAATAATGAAACTCTCAAGTTACCAGATATCAGCATACACAAGTTAGTACTGAGTAAATTACGTCTGTCAACACATTATAAGATACGATACGCACCTGACACAAAGTGCTCCGAGCATATTCTTGCGTGTTTTGAGGGAGTTTCTTGCCTGTTTATCTTTGCAAGCCATAACCTCCGTGGTTGTTCTGACAAAAGCTTAGTCTTCTCACATTCATGAAGTCTAATGATGGGTATACTGTAAAATCCAAGTTTAACGGAACCTCCGGCACGATTTGAACATCCATTGACCCAGCAGTAGATGACCATTTTCAACTTTATCACGACATTAACACGTTTCAGCTTCTTTTTCTATTGTTTTGCCCACAGAATGCCAACACAAATGGCGCCGGGTTGGCAAATCCCCGTATGTAGTGACGTCATGTGGGAACTATGTATTGAGATTAATACAGCATCTCATTAGAAAATCGTTTTTTATAGAAACGTCACTTTGGGTCACTATTTAATGCTCTGGGCTGAGAGATGTGAAAAGTTTATTCTTTTTTTTTTTTTTATATGTTCCAAATAATTTGTTCGATCATAAAACAAGAAAAGAAACATTAACAATCGTGAATTTGGTTTGAAAGTCAACTACCCACCTTTAGCAGTTTTCCAAAGGGCTACAAAAGGAAGTAATTACAAAGTAAATACAACTGAAAATAATAAAAGTAAGGTCATTTTTTTTTCTAATTGAGCTTAGTCACATAATAATTTATTAAAAAATAGGTTAATACAATTCAATACAATACAATTCTTGTATAGCCCTAAATCACAACAGCAGTCATCTCAGAGGTCTTAACAAAACCATGGAAATCACCAACACAGATCAGAGAATCAAGAGTTAAAACACAAAAAAGAATATAGAACACATGTTGATGAATGTCATACATGTTGTAGAATGTTTAAAGTGTCCTGGATTATCACCACAGTCCTTTTTGTTAGCCACCAACTGTCCAACAGACTCTCCTACATCGGCAAGGAAGAGGTACCTGGAAGAATGAGCTAAAATGTCCCAGTAAAAGTCTCAGTACATGAGACTTTTAATATCCGTGATGTTTTGGTCTAGTGTTTGGACAGCTGCTGGTACTTAAGTCACAACATGACATAATACAGTGTAAAGAAGTCTAGTGGTTTGTTGCCACCGTGCCGCTTTGTTTGAGTCAGATTATTACGGAGGGCCCATGTTTACTGTCCTTTTGCTACAGTATCAAGCTTGTGTGTTGCACTTTTATTAAACCTTGTGTGTGTGTTGCAGTTGTGTTAAATCTGGTGTGCGCATGGTGTTCCACTTGTTTTAAAGCTGATGTTTGTGTGTTGCAGGCAGAGTATGGTGTCCGGAGCCACCGCAACACGTGTCTGACGCTGGCCCCGTGCGTTCACAGACATGAGTGTGGTCAGAGAATTACATGGACTGGGGTTCCGGGGAGGAGGGGGGGTGATGTCCTCTCTGAGTGGGCCTGCCCACTTCACTGAGGATGCTCCTAGACCTCCAGTGCCTGGAGAGGAGGGTGATGTGGACCCTTCTGCTCCGTATGCTCGCCCTAATGCCCTGTCCCAGAGTATCAGCTTTCACCCCCCCTCATCTAAACTGGACACACCCTCGTCCTCCTCTGCCACGCCCCGTCGCCCTGACCTGGACCTGGGCTATGAGCCAGAGGGCTCTGCCTCTCCCACTCCTCCATACCTGAAGTGGGCCGAGTCACTGCACTCCCTGCTGGATGACCAGGAGGGCATCCAGCTCTTCAGGAACTTCCTGTGTCAGGAGGGCTGTGCTGACCTGCTGGACTTCTGGTTCGCCTGCTCGGGCTTCAGGCAGAGCAGCCAGGAGAAAAGGGCCAAGCTTGCCAAGGTTATCTACAGGAAGTACATCATAGATGGCAGCGGCATTGTTTCCCGACAGATCAAACCAGCCACCAAGAGCTTCATCAGGGACTGTGTGGGCAAGCCCCACCCAGACCCAGCCATGTTTGAGCAGGTACAGCCCTATGACCATGCCACACTCCCCTTGTGATCATGTGTCCACACTCAACACACTGATATGAGGACGGGGGCTCTTCTGCTTAGAATCACATGTTGAAAGTGCATATTGATAGAGAGAACCAAATAGTCATACTTTTATACAGTATACATTCATTTATAAAAGTGAAAGTCAAAAATGTATGACCTGTTCTGTGGACTGCTAACTTAAGGTTGAAGTGAAGTCTTAGCCACACCAGCAGTCCACTGGTTTCTAGGATATTCAAATGCACAGTCATTCGTCATTCATCATGAGCTTGCACTGTGACCTCAACCGTTCATATCTGAATACTAGCTGCATCTACAAGTGCAGTGTATATGACATGCTTTTGTTTTCTAGGCCCAGACAGAGATACAGGCCATGATGGAGGAGAACACATATCCCCTGTTCCTCAAGTCGGACCTGTACCTGGAATACACGCGCACCGGAGGAGAGAGCCCAAAACCCAATCCCAGCGACCAGAGCCCAACATCAGGCACTGTCAACACTGTGCCTGGGTACTTGCCCACGCTGGCCGAGAACGAGGAGTGGAGGTGAGGCTCAATGGTATGACAGATCTGCAAATGTTAGACCCATATGAGAAGATTTCTGCACTCACACTGTACTGTTAATGAACATTTAAGAACATGCGATTTGTTATCTCACTCACACACTCGGTGTTTGAGTGCTTCACATGTTGTTATGTGGTGTGTAAATGTGGGGCCTTGTGTTCAGGTGTTCCGGGGCGCAGGAGGCCGAGGAGGACGGAGAGGAGGAGTGCGACACTCCGGCTAGTAGGCTCACACACAGCCTGCTAATGCAAACCGCCCCCCAGAGGGCAGTGGTGAACCGGAGGAGGCCAGACACCAGGGAGTACAGGTATACACATGCATACACACGCATACACATTGACACACATGCACACATATACACGTGAATTGAGTGATGAGTTTTGCAGTTTATATTTTGATGTTGACTCAATCTGGGACCGTATGTAATATTTTAATTTTGTTAATATTTTATTTGTGTCCAGTAACAAGGTCGAGATAATGAACAAATGACTAAACATGGTTCTCAAACATATTATCCACTCCAAAATCAGAACTAGCGTCACATGAGTGTGTGTGGGTGTGTGTATATGCTGAACATGCAGATAAGAGACAGGGATTTTGTAATTGTACCTTTTTATGAAACCAGTAAGAGCCAAAAATAAAAACCGCACATCTGCATTGCAAGATGAGCAATACAATTCCAATACAATTCTGCATGAAGAAGGTAAATGTATTTCCATGAGTACACGTTGACTGCTCATCATTTATATTTTACTTCATATTGTCAACAGAACAAGCTATAAACAATTTCCCTCTTGGAATAAAGAATAAATGCAGCTGTGCTTAAAAGTACCTTCTTGCTCCATTGACAAATCATCTGTAATCAAGTTAATAAATACTTGAATTATCTTCTTGCATTGCACCCAACACGTACACACAGTCAACTCAATAATTGCTGCTCCTATGTCCTAAAGCAGTCTTAAACCCAGAATTCTTTAAACGAATGAATCAGGTGTGTTTTTTGTTTGTCCTGTATTCAAAGCTGAGGAACTAATTAATTATGTAATTTGAAATGCTTGTAAGCCCTGTGAGTCAGAAATTGACCCTTTGAGCTGATTGGCTGAGGGTGGCCCTTTCTTTTTCACTTTTTGTTTCAAAAAATCATATCTAAAGATGTGACAGAGGCAAAAAATGCATGTGTTTCAAAATTAGTGATTGGAGTAAACTATTTCAGACCCAAAAACTGGTGACCAAGATTTGATTACATTGGTAAATTGATGGTGGTTTGAGAAATAGGCACCCAGCTTTAAGCACCAACACTCCCTGGAACTGCTTGTTGACTGCATTGTGCCATGTTTCTGCTCCCTCAGGCCCTGGAGAGAGCCAGTGAATCCCTACTATGCCAACCTGGGCTACGCTCGCGCCCCCGCCACCAGTGCCAACGACAGTGAGCAGCAGAGCATGTCCAGTGACGCAGACACCATGTCCCTGACCGACAGCAGCATGTGAGTCCAGCACAAAACTAACACTCAACCACATCAACCACGGTAAACATACAAACCCAATAACTATAATCAATATCTATAACCAATACTGCAATCATGTGCAATGTGCAATATGCAATACTGCAACTTCAGAGTGTCCACTGCACATCGTCACTTTACTTTATCTACTTATTATCCTGCCCTATATATACAGCATATAACTCCGCACTACATATATATGTTTAAATGTATTTATTTATTTTTGAAAGACATATTTTTGAAACATGGCTACTACTTACAGTGCCGTGCGAAAGTATTCGGCCCCCTTGAACCTTTCAACATTTCGCCACATTTCAGGCTTCAAACATAAAGATATAAAATGTTAATTTTTTGTCATAAATTAACAACAAGTGGGACACAATCGTGAAGTGGAACGAAATTTATTGGATAATTTAAACTTTTTTAATAAATAAAAAACTGAAAAGTGGGGCGTGCAATATTATTCGGCCCCTTTACTTTCAGTGCAGCAAACTCACTCCAGAAGTTCAGTGAGGATCTTTGAATGATCCAATGTTGTCCTAAATGACTGATGATGATAAATAGAATGCACCTGTGTGTAATCAAGTCTCCGTATAAATGCACCTGCTCTTTGATAGTCTCAGGGTTCTGTTTAAAGCGCAGAGAGAACCATGAAGACAAAGGAACACACCAGGCAGGTCCGAGATACTGTTGTGGAGAAGTTTAAAGCCGGATTTGGATACAAAAAGATTTCCCAAGCTTTATACATCTCAAGGAGCACTGTGCAAGCAATTATATTGAAATGGAAGGAGTATCAGACCACTGCAAATCTACCAAGACCCGGCCGTCCCTCCAAACTTTCATCTCAAACAAGGAGAAGACTGATCAGAGATGCAGCCAAGAGGCCCATGATCACTCTGGATGAACTGCAGATAACTACAGCTGAGGTGGGAGAGTCTGTCCATAGGACAACAATCAGTCGTGCACTGCACAAATCTGGCCTTTATGGAAGAGTGCCATTTCTCAAAGATATCCATGAAAAGTCTCGTTTAAAGTTTGCCACAAGCCACCTGGGAGACACACTAAACATGTGGAAGAAGGTGCTCTTGTCAGATGAAACCAAAATCGAACTTTTTGGCCACAATGGAAAACGATATGTTTGGTGTAAAAGCAACACAGCTCATCACCCTGAACACACCATCCCCACTGTCAAACATGGTGGTGGCAGCATCATGCTTTGGGCCTGCTTTTCTTCAGCAGGGACAGGGAAGATGTCTAAAATTGATGGGTAGATGGATGGAGCCAAATACAGGACCATTCTGGAAGAAAACCTGTTGGAGTCTGCAAAAGACCTGAGACTGGGACGGAGATTTATCTTCCAACAGGACAATGATCCAAAACATAAAGCCAAATCTACAATGGAATGGTTCACAAATTGACTTGGCCATTCTAACACCTGGATACGTCTAAGTCCAGACCTGAATCCAATCGAGAATCTGTGGAAAGAGCTGAAGACTGCTGTTCACAAACGCTCTCCATCCAACCTCACTGAGCTCGAGCTGTTTTGCACGGAAGAATGGGCAAGAATTCCTGTCTCTCGATGTGCAAAACTGATAGAGACATACCCCAAGCGACTTGCAGCTGTAATTGCAGCAAAAGGTGGCGCTACAAAGTGTTAGCGCAAGGGGGCCGAATAATATTGCACGCCCCACTTTTCAGTTTTTTATTTGTTAAAAAGTTTAAATTATCCAATAAATTTTGTTCCACTTCACGATTGTGTCCCACTTGTTGTTGATTCTTGACAAAAAAAATATTTTTTATATCTTTATGTTTGAAGCCTGAAATGTGGCGAAATTTTGAAAGGTTCAAGGGGGCAGAATACTTTCGCAAGGCACTGTATTTTGTATATTTTGCTCCCTGTGTGCTCCTACCACTGTCCTGTCTGTGCGCTGCAACATTGAAATGAACAAAAAGTATCTTATCTCTCAACTAAAACACTGGATAGTATTGTAAATCTAAAATTGTATATTACTGTTGTGTTTTTAAGCATCTCACATTGTTCACCATCAGAAAAAGAACTGCATTTGATTTTAGCTCCATCTATGCAAATATCAGGAACTTCTGGTGCAACCTACCACTATCCCCCGCTCAGAGCTGTTTTACACCTTTTAAACCGAAACATTAACCTCGAAATGTTAATGGAATTGTCTTCTGACTCAAATAAATTGTTTATCATTATTTGTGGCCATTATAATTGATACTTAGTCCATTTCATTTTTTAGAATATAAGATAATATTTTCATTTAAAAATATGTGGTTAAACCAGTATGAAGGGTAAATGCTTTGCTACCCCCAGGGGGAGGTGAAAGAATGTCTCCTTTTTTTTATTTTACAAATTTGAATTATTATTGAATAATAATATTGACACTGCTGTGTGAATGTGAAGAACATGCATTTGCCTGAGAAATTGACTAAACTAATTATTGGGTAATACATTTGTTAAAGACCGAAAAATGTATTTTCCTGCCCCTTCCACTAGATCGAGTGTTGCCCATTTAATACATCGTACTTCGACAACCCTTTTACTTTAAAATGCTTAACACATGCCATTATTCACTCACTCCGCACACAGTGATGGTAAACTACTACTGACGCTTTACAAGATAATAGGAGCCAGTTATGTGACTGATTTGTGAACCTAATCCTTGAGCTTTTTGTCTGTTCTGCAGAGATGGGATTCCTCCATACAGATATCGAAAGCAGCATCGAAAAGAGATGCATGAAAGTGCCAAAGCAAACGGACGGGTGCCCCTACCTCATATACCTGTGAGTGTGCGCTTTGTTTAGACCATATTTGTTTAGTGCTTCAGTTAAGTAGAGAAAGAATAACATACCATATACAGGGGGGTTTGAGAAGAATGACCTGCTTTAATGCTGCTTTAGATTAAAGTTTTCTGCTTCTGCGATTTAAGTCGTCAGCGTTTTCATAAGTCAGTGATGTCCAAACCGGTCCAGATTTGAGGAAATGGGTGGAGTCTGTTCTGCTCTGCTGAGTCTGACAGAAAACCTGCAGCGACGGCGGCCCTTTCTGGACTGATTTGGACACCTCAGGCATAAGTGAAGGTTCTTGGTTCCTCATCACTATTGCTCTGTCCCTTGCTAACTGTTATGCGAAGTTTGGCTACTCGCACAGCGGCATAGAGACGGGAGGGTCAGTCTGCAAAGGCACTAATGAATTAAACATAAATGGTCCATTCAACATAACGCAGGGATATGCATAGTGCTCTTAGGGGAATTTTGTACAGTATATACAAGATCATGATGGCTAGTGTGTGTCTAACTGATGATCTGTTGGTTTCCCTGTGCAGCGCATGTATCGCATGCCAAAGGACATCCACGTGGAACCGGAGCGCTTTGCAGCCGCCCTCATCAGTAAACTGGAGACAGTGCTCCGAGACCGGGAGGCTCAGGAGAGACTGGAGGAGCGGCTCAAGAGAGTGCGCCTGGTGAGAGCATGCACACAGCTAATACGCACACCACACGCACAACATACACACACCACAGGCATACCTGCTGTATTCAGCTGAATCACTGCAAACAGCTGTGAGTGAGAATGAGCTGAGAACACTAGAACAATGATAATCAAAATCAGTGTAAGTCCATTTAGCGTGCTGCCCCCTGACTAATTCCACTGTTTGCAGGAAGAAGAGGGCGAAGACGCAGACAGCTCCGTGGCCGCATCCATGTCCTCCCACAGCATACCACTGTCCGTGCCGCCCACCTTCCCCCCTCTGTACGGAGCCCGCTACTCTGAGACCACGCCCGCCCTGGCTCCCACGTACGGGGGTCTGGTGGCCTTGGAGGACTCTCACGAGGACGACCCAGAGTCCATCCTGGACGAGCACGTTCAGCGCGTCATGAAGACTCCGGGCTGCCAGTCCCCGGGGGCGGCCAACAGCACCTTAGGACGCCACAGTCCTCCCAAGTCCTCCCGCTCCCCCGATGGAGGCACAGGACCGCCACACTTCCCCCTCCACCGCGGCCTGCCTGCTGCTGGGGCCAAAGGTACAGAGCTGGTTACAGTTTGGATGAGTCATGTCATTCATCCGTTCATCATTAGTTCATATAGTAATAGTCATCCCTGTTGCAGCACACATAAGACTCGCATACAGACCTTTAGGTGCGCACACACATATCAGGACAGAGGACATGTATGTTCAAAGTAGACCATGTTTAACGGAGTCGCGGGGGCAGCAGTCTGAGCAGAGACGCCCAGACTTCTCTATGCACCCGCACTTCTTCCTCCTGAGAGACATAGGGATATAGCCCCCTCCAACATATCCTAGGTCTACACCGGGGTTTCTCCAGGGAGGCGTTCAGGAAGCATCTGAAATGAACACAGCCTTGGCAGAGACCAGCATGCACTGGGAACAGGCCTGACTTACTGCCAGCGAGGAGGACACAGCTCTGACTCTGGGCATACAGGGATCAGACAGCCCTCAGTAAAGGACCCCGCACTCCCAGAGATATGAATATAAAAAGATATCCATAGTGAATCGTAAAGATTAAAGATATATTTAAAAATGTTATATAAAAAAAATTGTACATGGAGCACTTTTTGGAAGAACTGGTGCAAGCCGAATGGATGACTGTGATGTGGTGTTGCGTGTTCCAGGTCTGCATCACAAACAAGCATATCATCACCGAGTCAGAGAGGCACAAGAGGAGGTGGGCTCTAGGACCCAAGCCAACCTGTGGAATGGAGAGGGCGGCCGCAGCCGAAACTACGCTGACGGAGCAGGGGCCGCCAGTCTGGAGGGCCTGGGCTACAGGTCAGTGAGCCAGTACACAAATCATTACATTCAGAATTTCCTCCACCCTTCCTTCCAAATGCTCCTGCTCTTACACTAAGGCAAACTCATGATGTTACTGGTACTAGTACTTTAGTAGAATTCAAAGTTAGTTCTATAAATGTCTGCAACTAACAAGCCGTTCTGTTTTTTTATTTATATCAAAGTTTAGCAAAATGTAAAGTCACACTTATATCACTTATAAACACACAAGGGAGAGTTTATGCATTCTAGTCAGTTGTCATGTTTAGTCAACTAATGTATACCATCTAAAGCTGGAGTGTCTAATATATTAACAACAATGTCTTCATTTTATTGGTTTTCCTTTGCCAACTTGTAAGACTTGTATTTGTCTTTGAGATGAGAGCTGTTACGCTGATAGAGCAAGGGTGGTCCTCTTTCTCACATGCCTGTCTATCACTTTAGATTAGATTTTTCAGAGGCCAAAAACACATGCATGAAACTGCTGAAAACAAGCGGTAGAAAGATCCTGTTTTAATGACTTAACGTAACCCAAATATAGTGTACATGAGTGTAAGTGTGTAGCTGTGGGCTGACATAGGCCTGTGGTTTACAGCAGTAAAGGCAGCACACTATCACGGCGAGGCGCTAAGAAGAACGAAGCCTCGGGTAAAGGGGACGAAAGCATCCGGGCTGCAGAGGCCCCTGTGCCCCCAGAGGACATGGAGAGGAACCATAAGATCATGCAGTGGATGATGGAGGGAGAGGCGTTGAGGCACAAGAAGAGCTCGCACGGGTAAGAGAAACACAAACTTTAAAAAGTAATGCACATATTTTACTACATTATTTTTGGCTTCTAGATATACAGTAATTTCCAAGACAGTTTCAATATTTGATGGAAGGCATAGCCAATTAGCCAACATTATGTGTTTAATCCCAAATCTACTTTATTTTTATTTTCAAAACAAAAGAGCTTATGCACATATGCTGTAAAATAAAACAAGCAAAACAAACAAGCAATAAAAATACTTGATCTGACCTCTAGTTTGAATTAACAAAACTGGTAAAATTAAATAAGAATTGGATTGATATTTTGTATTAAATTGTTTATTTATTTATTTATTTATTTTTAATTGAATGACGTGCTCTGATTCCAACTCCTTCCTTAACAACACGCGTCTCAAACTGTAAATTATCCACAAACCACACCAGTCGCACCATGATTCACTCTGTGCAGAATCCCAGAGAAACTTGTGTCCTTCCAGCAGATTTAATGGGAAACATAAGTATTTATTGTAATAACATAATAACCGTCTATTTTGGATTACAAATAGAAAAACCCCTCTAAGAGTTTGATCAACTCATTCAAGATCGATTGCAAATGTCTTGCTATCCCAGATCTTGGCTGGTTGTTTTTTAGGCTGTACTTTACACTGGAATATTTTGATACTGTATGTTGAATATTAAGTGGACAGATTAAAACGTATTAAAAAAGGTACACTGACAATTCAGGGCCTGAAATGAATAATTCAAATATTCGTTTTCAGAGAAAAGATAAAATTCAAGAACATTTAAAATTGAAATTCTGATGGAACAGATTATCTTCCTTTGAAAAACCTATACCTCACATTGAAAGGACGTTAGTGGTTGTTTGCATTGGGCTTGTAGTATTCACCTCCTGCCCTCCTGTGTTCCCCTCAGTGGAAGCACCAGCGGCTCCAGGAGGACCGGCACCAGCATTGAGTCTCCGCGGCCCACCTCAGTGGAGCGTCCCGGGGCTGTGCACCCGTGGGTGTCTGCACAGCTGCGAAACAACCCGTGCTCTTCCCCCGCCCTGCCTTCAGCCACGGGACAGGTCCAACCCTCGCATCCCTTCATCCAGGACCCTGCTATGCCCCCCAACCCCGCCCCCAACCCCCTCACGCAGCTGGAAGAGGCCCGGAGGAGGCTGGAGGAGGAGCGGCGGAGAGCGGCCGTGCAGCAGGCCAAGCAGAGGTGAGCCCACTGACCCCACCCATTTACATTCTTTTATCATTCATTCATTCATTGTAGTTTAGCTGCCCACACGGTAGTAAGGCCAGATTTTAAAGATATAACACAACAAGATACAAGATTTTGTTTGCAATTTGCAGTAAAACCACATTGGGGAAACAGGGGAAAACTACTCCAGTGTGCACCAGACAGATAGTACACACAAGAGCCCTCATTAGGGAAATGTATGTTCCAAAATCTATATATTTACAGTGCAATAGAATTACTATTGCAACAACACATCATCAGTAGGGTAAAACTAACCTGTCTCACGACTGTCTAAACCCAGCTCACGTTCCCTATTAGTGGGTGAACAATCCAAAGCTTGAATGTTTATGACCATAAACATGGAGATGTTATTTTGAATTATTTACTGAAAGTTCAAACACAGGTTATATACAATATTTATGTGAAAGCAAAATCAATCATGTTTTATTTTTCTTAACCAGAGGCCACCTGTGTGTACTCTTGTCTCAGTATAATTATAAAATACTGCTATGGTTGGTGTGTATTGTCTGTTAATAGCATCATGAAGGCTAATGAGTATACCAGATAGGTCAGGGATGAAATAATGGAAATGTATAAAACATGGTTAGGTGATATAATTCCAAACCTTTGAACATCTCAGACCACTGTTCATTCCATCATCTGGGAATTAATGGCACCACTCCAAATCTACCAAGACTCAGCTGTTTTCCCAAACTCACAGATCAAACAAGGACAACACTGATCACAGATGGAGACACAAGGCCTATGGTTACAATGAAGACGCTGCAAACATCCCCAGCTCACCTGGGGGAATCAGTACATGGACAAATGTTAGACATGGTGGTAAATAGAAAATCATTGTTGAAATAAAGTGCAAAGCGGGAACACATTCAATATGTGGAAGAAGTTTCTGTAGTCAGATGAGACCAAAATATAACTTTTGGCCAAAATGCTAAGTGTTATGTATGGCTCAAAACTAGCGCTCCACAACACCCTCAGTGCACCATCCCCTGTCAAATATGGGGGTGGCAGTATCATGTTATGGTTTTCTTAAGCAGGGACAGAAGAAGAAGAAAAATATTTACTTTATTGATCTTTCAATGGAAAAAAATTTGGTTCAATTAATACACATCAAGGCATGCAGCATACTATTACTTCAGTGCTCCTTATAGGCAAAGTGGGGTAGAGTGTCTTGCCCTTTACACAACAACAGCAGACATCAGTGGGAGTTGGTGCAGATTGTCTCGTATTGGGCTCGACCCTACAACCTTTAGGCTCAAAAGGCCAAAGATCTACCAACTGAGCCACTAGCAGTGCATGGAGGTACATGGAGAAAATACAGGACATTATTGGAAGAAAAGCTGAAGCTAAGGATTCCACATAGTATTGATTCATGCTGTATGATAACGGCTCTACTTTTCAGTTCTATTTCATCCCTTCTGACCGCCAGAGGGCGGTGCATAGCACTGAATGTTCCCTGCGCATGCGGGAACATTCAGTGCTATGCACCGCCCTCTGGCGGTCATCCGGGATTCATAGAACCGTGGTTACATACGTAACCCTCGTTTTCTGTTTGTTGGTGCAAAACAAAATCTTGTATCATTTTGATTTCACGTCAGTTATTTATGTGTATTAACATGTGTAAGTAACAAAGACAAAATGTTGAAAGGTCTAAGGTGTACTTGTACTTTCGAGAGGCACTATACAGTTTTCACACCCAGCCAAAGAGCCGTTTATTTTGATATAAATGTGTTTTCTATTTTCAAAGTATATAATTATTGTGTGTGTGTAGGCACAAGTCGGCCAAGCGTGTGGAGCGCTGTGAGAACATGACGGTGGCCTACTACTTCTGCGGAGAGCCGATCCCATACAGGACGTCTGTGAAGGGGCGCGTGGTCACTCTGGGCCAGTTCAAGGAGCTGCTTACCAAAAAGGGCCATTACAGGTCAGACAACTCAATCAAGCATTTATCTCCTCAAATTGAACCTTTTGAGTGGTGCATGACAACGAAAACAAAAACGCCAACTATGACATGGTTTGATTCCTTGATTTTGCACGATACTTTCCCTTACAAGTTTAAGATTGAGATATTTTATTATTTGTTCCACAGTGGGAACATTTGACATGTACAGAGCAGTAGGAATGAGGAACACACAACACAAGATAAATTAACAATAACTCTATACTAAAATAAACTGTCTTGACTCTTCTGTCCGAGTGACAAAGAAAGGTGACAGTGGACAAGAGACAAGTTACAAAAGTATTCCTCAACAAAAACAACTATGCTTTTAAGTCTATCCACGCTAATGACAGAAGGTGGGACTTTTGACCCCTTCTGTCTAAACAATCCTGTTTCAAACAATATAGCCCCGTTGTCTACTTTGTCCTTGTCTACTTTACTCAGCTCTACTCTACGCCAATTGGGAAGCTTTCCAGCTGTTCAATTGTTACCAGGTACTTTTTAATCCCTCTTGGCCCTGGTTCTAACTGAATGGCCAGAGTGCTGCTCGAAGCATGGTGACCAGAGGATTTCCCCGGATATCTGTTTGTTGTGGGTACCAGATGCTAAAGCTAATGGAAACGAAACCAGGAGTGAGTGGAGCTGAGTAGAGTAGTATGTAGCCAAGTTGGGCTGATGGAAATGGGGCGTCTTTGCACTTCTCTGGGTAAACCAGCCTGATTGGAAGATGTGATGGAGGACAAAAATAGATGCATGTGAAAGCTAGGGATACAACCATTCTGTCATCCTTAAAAACCCAATGCTCTTGTCTGTGTACGCGTGCAGGTTCTACTTCAAGAAAGTGAGCGACGAGTTTGACTGCGGTGTGGTGTTTGAGGAGGTGCGGGACGACGAGGCTATCCTGCCCATCTTTGAGGAGAAAATTATCGGCAAAGTGGAGAAAGTGGACTGAAGCCGGGACGGGGGGGACCGCGCAAACCAGAGCGCCAACGGCCGTCCGGGCTCGTATGACGGACGTACCGGATGGGAGGCCAGGAAAGTCGAGCGATGGACAGAGCCAAGTGAAACAAAACAGAAGGGTGCTGCAAGTTTTGGAAAAGCGGGGAAATGGGCCGGAAGGGGGGGGTGTCACGAGAAAGGAACAAGGCGCATGATGAAAAGATGATTTCCTCCACGGCTTTCCGTTGGAGCCGTTCCACTTCCACTACAGCGGACAGGATCAGTTCAGTCTTCCGCAGACCAGTCCAAATGCTGCTACATTACCACAAACTCTCGTAAAAAGGTGCTCGTCCGGAAAGTCCTTTTTTTGTTTTTTGTTTTTTTAGGCTTGGTGTCATGGGGTGGGGCGCGGGGGAGATGGCGGTCCTCTCCCGCTTGCACTCGCGCACAGCTGTAGTGGTTAAGAGCGTAGACGTCACAGAGACTCCAGTGCTCTTGTTTACCAAAGCGACGTATTTTTGATAAGACAAGTATTCTTAGCTACTTGTTTTTTGCATTTTATTTGTGTATGTACAAGGCAGGTACTTTTAATGCAGATGGATTTTTGTCATATCTCAGTGCAAATGTTTTTGTTCATGTTTCTAAGCTAGTCCGTTTGCCATTTGGAGGAGTCATATTCTTATTAAATGTGTACGTCTCATGAATGAACTCCACAGTCCGCCCACACACAGAACACGTCTGCCCCCTCATGATGCTGACCGATGTGTGTGTCCAGGAGCCTCTGGCCAATGCCCTGGAGGAGCATTACTCAGCCAAAGAGCAGAGCATGGCCCCCGCTGTGCCTGGTGTAGGGAGCACCTGTGCTACACTACAGACACACTTTGTGGTGTCTCCCTACTGCTTTCAACGAGAATAACCACTTTTATTTTAATTTCATTTGTTTCAAAATAAAGACCACCAGGCCTGTGCTTTACATGTGCAGAGTCTTTTCATCTTTTCAGCAACAATGTTCCCAATTATGAAAAACAATGCATTTCATTTAGTAGAGTGCCTCTGCCAAAAGCACAGCTCTCTTTCCTGTGCTGAGCTGCCAGGGCCCCAGCAGAGGAGTCGGGGGGTGAACACTCTGAGGCACTTGTCCTCAGGGACAGGTCATTCAGAATGCTGGCTGAACTGAATGTGATGTCACACACATACCTTACTTCTGGAGGAATGTTAGATAATGATTAAAAATTGGAAAACAATGTAACTTCATTCAGCCCATTATGCCTTCAATAAGTGAAAACATAGTTTGTATGTATTGTTCATGAAAAAAAGTTATTTTAATAATCACCAAGCATGTTTTTAAACGAATGTTTCCCGATGAGTTGAATATCTATTATTTTATTTTATTGTTTATGATAAACCTTTATGGCCCTATGATATATTTTATTGGTTTTGTTAGAATGCCCAGGGACAGTTGAATGACATATTTCTCAAGTGTCTTCTGAATTGTGAGTTTGTGTGAAACACAGTGCCTTTCTCATGTCTGTATGATCCATGCTTTGACTATTTGATTTGCAGGTGTATTTAGCTGATGGCTCTGGTCTGATAGAAGCGCTGCTGTAAATATGTATATTATTTCATACAGAGCTGCACCACGTCCACATGTCACTGTGCTGGTTCCACTTGTACAATTCTTTTCAAAAGGTACTTCATAATAAAGCTGTTGAATCAACATGAATGCACTTGTACTATGTGTGTCATGAGTATAAAAAGTATTTGAAATGTTAATAATAGTGAAGAACTTTTATTTTTTATTCTAGAACATCTGGGTAAAACTTCCTTCACTACAATTATTGTTTTATGACACTCCAATGATACACCAGAAATTCCTAACCTTTCAAAGTTTTGAAATGAATGCAAAAATAATTAGACTTTCGATTTATTTATTTTAATTATTATTCTTAATATCTCATGATTCAGTACTGTTGTACCACTCTCTTAGCCTGGAAAAACTACGGGATGTTCTTGAATTTTTCCAACTGCACAACATATCACTTGTGATATTTAGTCTGGTGTAAGCTAGGTTTCTATTCTGAAGGCTTCACACTCTGTGTTTAAAGATCTCAGATGAAATATTTAAAAAGTTAAATTTTAGAAAAATTTTAGAAATTCCCTTAACAATTGTAATATTTACAGTGATACTGCATTCATGCACACGAGAATATGGACGTTAAATAGCAGATACAGTGGTAAGTTGTCAGTGGACAGTTTACAACAGCTGACACATGAGAAAAGTTCATTGTACGGGCAGAAGGAGCCTGGCAAAACGTCTCCTTTACACACAGGGGTTGATCATCGTGCAGACAGTGTCCTGCAGAGAAAGGCAAGGCAAATTTATTTATAAAACTCCCGTCATATAGAAACAACCCAGTGTGCTTAAAAGGCTCAGAAAGAACATTTGGGAAACAATAAAAAAACAAAATATTGGAATATACATACATATATATATATATATATATATATATATATATATATATATATATATATATATATATATATATATATATATATAAATATATTTTTTTATTTTATTTTTTTGTATGCAGAAAGATATAGTCCCACCTGCTAAGGACATACTGTATGGGACATGGGAGCACTTGGTTTTGATATCAAGGTTCTAACAATGGCCCGAATTTCACATGTCTCAAAAATACCCTCTTGGAAACCACAAAAAGTGCTGCCTGCATTGTTATTGTGATTATTTAGAGAAAGAAAATATGTCACGGGATTGTTTACAAAAGTAGCTCCGCCCCGTGTCCTGTCACCTTTGGTCATACCGGAAACTACGGAAAGCCTGCAGCCGGAATACAACATGGCCGCCACCGCTACTAAGCACAAACATAACACGCACGTTTAGCGTTTTATTGTACGTTAATTTGTATATAGACTTGCAAAACTCAAGTCAAACAATGCCTCTCACTCTGTAGAATGTGCACATTTATTCACCACCAACAGGAATCACCGTAGGTACACTGTTTTTCAGAGAAAACTGTGTATCAAGCCCTGGCTCCATGGATGCACTGAGCGCGCTCCTGGATGAGGTGGCTCTGGAGGGCTTGGACGGCATCACTCTGCCCTCTCTGTGGCTCAGGCTGGAGAGCAGGAGGCCCAAGTTCCCGCAGAAGATCGACCACTATACCAAGGGCTTTCTGTGGAGGGCCCTGGTCCATAACCCCGAGATATGCTTCTACGAGCAGCCGCAAGAGAGGCAGGACGTGGAGGTCTATGACAGGTGCGCTGTCACTGGGTTAAGGCATTGCCTGTTATATACAATTTCCAGAACCGATATGTAAACATGGATGGGGTTCGTTTAGTACAATTTATTGGAAAAAATCCTTTTGAATATAGAATTACAAGCAGGTGAAACATGTTGCTTGTAAATATATATGTTGTAAATAAACATGTTGCTTGTAAATATATGTATATATATCCATCCATTTTCTTCCCCTTTATCCATTTCTGGGTCGGGGGGGTGGCAGTCAGAGCTGCACCCAGTACACTTAGCACCAGCCCCTCACTGATCCTCCTGCAGGTGGTGAGTCCACAGGAGCTGAGATCTTTCAGTGGGAGCTTCAGGCAAAGTGGGGTTAAGTGTCTTGCCCAAGGACACAACGACAGCAGTCATCAGTGGGAGTCGTGAAGTAGGTCTTATGGTGGGCTTGAACCCACGACCTTCAGGCCCAAAGGCCAATGCTCTACCAACTGAGCTACTGTCGCCCCCTATATGTTTATATATTACCCAGTGAATGACCATTTCTGTCGTTTTCTTCCAAATAATTGTCAGTAGCCACTGTTCTTGAGGTTGTGTTGGTGATTTAACAGCATTGCCGCTGACAGAAGTGTTGGGCTTTCAAAGATTCATCCACTTTGTCTCTCCACAACACGTACTACATGTCCTGTAATGAATCATTATATATTCTTCTGTTTATTTCTTGTGACAGGTTCCAAAGTGTGGATCCGGACACGGGCATTGAGCATTTTGGCCCCTCGTTTGACAACAGGAAAGATGTGTACCCCGCCAGCTTCATAACGGATCACCCGGATGGGATCCAGGGTTCCTGTGGCTTCTTCTGGCAGAGGAGAGATGTCGGCAAGCAGATCCACTCAGCCTCCAACACCCCCCTGCTCACCCTGGAGCAGGCCTGGGAAAGGTGCCGCTGTCACTGCAACACACATACCCTTTTACATGTTGCAGTGGTCTTTAACTACATGATTTTAAATGCTCTGTTTATTTAGTTGGTGATAAGTGCAACAGCACTTTAGGTCAAAGCAGCACAAGTGCTGTAGCCGCTGGATGGAGCGGACCTGGTTACAGCAGCAGATTATTGTTCATTCCATTATTGCACACATTCCTATTCTCACAAAGGTTGCCAAAAAAAAATCAAATTTCCTTCTGTGTGTGTAAATATTCAACTTTATATTTCTGGTATTTGAAAGTCCCATTTAATCTGGAGCAAACATCTCTACCCTAAGATCTTCAGCATGTGCTTTGGTGTTGCTCATCTCTGCACAGGTTTGGCAGGAGGCTTGTGCTGGTGGCCTCTCAGAAGGCGCGTTTCCGGGTTCTGATCGGCACCCAGAGCGATCCAGACCTGAAACTGTCCGATGAGTCCTACTGCCTGTTGGAGCGTGTGGGCCGCTCCCGCTGGAATGGGGAGCTGCAGAGAGACCTCAGCAACAGCTCCTTCAAGTACGACACACAAGGGTTTAGGCTTGATTTTGTCACTCCTACAGACACATATACAGGTTTTTTGGTACAGTGTTGCAACATGGTTAAAAAAACAGACCTGGAGTTGTTTTTAGAACCATCCACTCTAAAAAAAAAAAAATTCTGGGTAACAAAAAAATAGTTTTTGAAAATAGTGTAACCCACTTCAAGGTATGTACACTTTGGACCTCTAGGTTCGTAGGAGCTGAGGATAGCAATAAACATCGCACACAAATAGTTAAATCAAATGTGACTTTTAGTTGGGCCCAACTAAAAAATAAAATTGTCTTTTGGAAAAATGTTCTTTCCGGAATTTGTGTTCAATGTTCAAGTCAATATAGTCAGGGGAAATAGTCAAGTCAGGGAATGTAGGTACTCGTTGACTGTTGAAGACTCTTGTTGGTGTCCGTCAGTGGGACTTACACAATCCTACCAGAGCATCTGCAGGAACGGTGGTAGGACTCAGAATTCGACTGGGAGGCTCGCCATCGATGGTTCTATCCCTCAACCTCGTTGTACTCCAAGGCTGGGATCTCTCAGTATCACGGCCTCACAAAAAGACCTGACTAAGTTTCACTTCGGGAGATTCGGGACAAATAAAGTGCTTCCTCAACAGTTCTCCAACCTCTTACAATGTGTTTTTATCAACCAACATGCAAGAGGAGAAGTAGAGCAGTTCGTCGAGTGAGCGCCATAAAGCGAACTGCGGTTTTGCATACTACTTCCGGCAAAATAAAACTTCCGGTTTCAAAATAAAAATGTAAAATAAACTTTTCAACATAAATAATAATAAACCCTTTTAACCAGGCGGGTTACAATAGTCAATTAGACTAATTTTGATGCTCTGAGTCCGAAAATGACCTTGGTTTTGCTCAATCAGGTCAGGATTTTTTGCTACAGAAATATTTTTTTTAATTGATTTTGCGTAAAAAAACAAATTTCTGCGGATCATCAGCTGAGAAACCCTTGACGTTTTTTCCGTTTTCTTCAAGAAATAAAAGTCAACGTATCCAAAGTCATTCAGTTTTTATTTACTAATTCATAATAACGTAGACGTACGTAATCCGTAACACTATGGTTGTATCTCAAAAAGTTGACCTGATAGAGCAAAATGCATGCGATATTCGGACTCAGAACACCAAAATGAGTCTAAATCAGTTGAGAAACCCCTGACCATTTTTTGGCTGTCAACTTGTGTAATCACACCCCTCATCCCATCTGTCAAATTCTCCCATCTGAAACATTGTATCAATCCTCACAATATGACATCAGACATTAAAAGCCGTTTGCTTGCCACCAAATTATTTACAACCTTCTTTACAACAACATTGCTTTGATTACAGCACATAATATCAGATGTCAATGGAAAACAATAGAATGAAATTTTCCGCTTTCTTGGTTTCATTATGGTAACTCTTTATCTATTCTTCTTTATCCATATTTTGTATTCCAATAGAATTTAGGTCTCAATATCATGTCATAATGGACATTTTTTTGTATGTATGTATCTCTTGTTTTTGTCTTTTTCCTGGAGTTTTGCCACAGAGGCAAAACTCCAGGCCTCTCAGCAAGAAGGTCCTGGGTTCGAATCCCGGTCGGACCAGGGCCTTTCTGAGTGGAGTTTGCATGTTCTCCCCGTGTCTGCGTAGGTTTCCTCCGGGTACTCCGGTTTCCCCCACCACTAAAAATATGTCCAATAGTTCTGGCATGCGCCTCCTGTACTGGTGACCCTGCTCCCATCTCTGTGTGGAGTGAAAGACAAATGCCCAAAAAAATTAACAATTGTAAACCGCTTTGAGACTCAGATCTGCAGTGAAAAGGCGGTATATAAATAAAAACTTACTTACTTACAGACAACTCAAACAAGAACTATGGATATCATTAACGGGTCCCTCAACGCAATTGACACTATTTTTTCAACACTTGAGCGAGGACCGGGGGAGCCCTCGTGCCCAGACGGGACGGCACCTGCGGATTATTCTCTTGACAGCTGGAACAAGTGGAAACCCCTTTGCCTGTCGCCACTGTCTATTGAAGATTCGGAAGACGTATATATCTTTGGAATTCTGGTGGTTGGGATCCTCCTTTTCGGGTATGGAGCGGTCCTTTTCTACCGCAAATTTGGAGGCATGGCAGCTCATAAGATTCACGACCTGCTGTCCAACAAAATTGATGAGATGTTCAAGTAGTTGAGCCGTGTCGTGGTTGAGAGCGCCGTGACCAGACAGAGGAGAGTTGTGCTAGTGGAACAGTTGCTTAAAGATCTTGCACTGCGCTCGCTCGAAGGACATAAGACTCTAGAAATGCGGCTGAATGACATTGTCTGTCAGGCTTGAACTCTCTGACCCGGCATGGATAAGCCCCTGTGTACGGAGGTTCTGAGGGCGCCGCAATTCAGTTTAATTGGATTTATTGTATATCTGCCTTGCTTTTGACTGCTACATTGCATATAAATTGTCCCTCTCAAGGCGATGTGTTTTCCCTTATCTGTGGCTTCTCTCTACTATCTCACATTCCTACTGGCCAAGGCTGAAGAATAATCAGGTCTCTTCCATAACAACATTGCAGCTCCAGCCCGGATCCCCCTCTCCCCGCCTCCCCCTACCTCTCCATCTTCTCCTCTCCCTCCCTCACTCTTTACTGTCTTTCCGGCTTACCCCCTCCCTGACCCTGCCCCCCTCTGACAGCCACATTGGCCGGCGGTCGGAGGTTCTTATCCCAAGAAAAATGTCTGTGTTTTTTTGTGTTTTACACAAAGCACACTGCTTCTATCCAATGGTCTGTGAAACTGTATGTTATTGCTCTCTGCCATTTCTTGCTTGCACACAGCGCCGCAAATGGCAAAGTGGCACGCTCTCTGCCAAAATAATTTCCAATTGGTAACTTTTGTTTGTTACTTACGTGGCAATAAAAAGGATTCTGATTCTGATCTTTCACACAAATTTCTGTACAAAAGTGATTAAGTTGTAACAACTAATAATTATGCTAATCTGATTATTGAGGTATCCAATAAGTAGCTCTGTTCAGTAGTTTCCATGGCATTATGGTCTAATTTCTCAATAAATCTTTCTTGAGAGGGTGACGCTGCTTGTTGTGCCCCACCAGTATCGAGCCGCGGAAGATATTCTACTTGAGAAAGGCTCTGGTGCAGCACAACCTGGTGACGGTGCAGTCCCACGTGTGTCGCCTGGACTCGGGCACCCAGCAGTATTCATGTCTGCTGCTGCTGCGCCGCTTCCACTCCACCAGGTCTGCTGCGTGAGTGTGCGTTGAGTGTGCGTTGAGTGTGCGTTGAGTGCGCGTTGAGTGCGCGTTGAGTGTGCGTTGAGTGTGCGTTGAGTGTGTGTTGAGTGTGCGTGAATGTGCGTGAATGTGCGTGAGCGCGCGTAAATGTGCGTGAGTGTGCGCAAGTGTGCGTGAACGTGTTTTCGTGCAAGCGAACGTGTGTTGGCGAGTGCGTGTACATGTGTCCCAAAGTCCTTTTTTGAATTTTTCCTTGTTTTTAAACTGGACTCAACACAATTGGATGAAAGCATATGGAAGGGATGTTTTAACTTTGCAGGAGGAGCAAGTATGACATGATGATGGAGCGAGTGTCCAACATCCTAGAGGCGTCCCCTGGGCAGCACTGCACTCAGATGGCGCTCCGAGAGCACCTGGTAAGTCCAAGTCCAACTCTGACTTCACCAGAAAACAATAACAACTAGGCCCTGGGATGCTTAGCTTGCTGACCTTAATTTGTAAAAATGCGCTATAAAAATAGAGTACTTACTTACTCATCAATGTATGTGTTTTTCATTGGAATTTTACTTGACAACAGAGCTGGAGCAAGATGTGTTGATATTGGTTGAATTGTTCTCGTAAACCTGCTTTTGTACATTCATTCATAGCATCTGAACGAGGGCCCTTTCCAGAGGATCTTCAAGTACATGAGGTCTGCCAAACTGGTGGAGCTCTTCACCATGCCCCTGGAGGAGCTGGACCCCGAATCAGGACCCTGCGTCACTAAGAGAGGTGTGGGCTACTCATTTAGGACCGGTTTGACATCTGTGTCTTACATTGTTCTAAGGCAGGGTTGCTCATATCGTTGGCAAGCAGGGTGGATAGCTCACATGGCATTCTAGATTCTGGCACATAGCATGTAGACTGGTTGATTGAATCAATCATCCATCCATCCATCCATTTTCTTCCGCTTCATCCGTTGCGGGTCACGGGGGCGGCAGTCTAAGCAGAGTCGCCCAGACTTCCGTATCCACACACTTGACACAGCTTGTCCGGAGGGACCCCAAGGCGTTCCCAGGCCAGCTGAGCGACATCCTGGGACATCCAGCGAGTCCTGGGTCTTCCCCGGGGACTCCTCTCACCTCAACTGGTTCCTCCCGATGTGGAGAAGCAGCGGCTCTACTCCGAGCTCCTCCCGTGTGACTGAGCTGCTCAACCTATCTCTAAGGGAGTGCCCAGCCACTCTGTGGAGGAAGCTCATTTCGACCACTTGTATCCGCAATCTCGTTCTTTCGGTCATTACCCAAAGCTCATGACCATAGGTGAGAGAGGGAACAAAGATTGACCGGTAAATCAAGAGCTTTGCCTTTCAGCTCAGCTCCCTTTTTCTTTAGCTCAGCTCCTCCGATACAGCGACTGCATTACTGCACACGCTGTTCCGATCCGCCTGTCAATCTCACGCTCTACCTTGGTGACCAACCAGAGACATGGAAGTATCCACCCCAACAGCCTTTGCCTCCGGAACGCAGGACGTGACTGGGGGATTGAGGAGAACCTCAAAGTATTCCTTCCACCGCCCGACAATATCCCCAGTCGAGGTCAGCAGCTCTCCTCCCGCACCAGACACGGTGTTGGCAAAGCACTGCTTCCCCCTCCGTAGGCGGCGGATGCCAGAATCTCTTTGAGGCCAACCGAAAGTCATGCTCCATGGACTCTCCGAACTCCTCCCAGTCCCGGGGTTTTGCCTCTGCTACAGCCCGGGCTGCGGCACGCTTGGCCTGCCGATACTGGACTGCTCAGGAATCCCACAAACCATCACGGCTCGAATCAATCAATCACCTTTTATTTATATAGCACAGTTCATACAGAATTCAACCCAAAGTGCTTCGTATTAGCAACATTTAAAACTAATTTGCATCCAGAACATGCACAACGGAACTTTGCTCTGTCTGCATTTGGAAAATTCATGGAGCCGTTTACAGTGTTACCTGTAGGAAATCAGAATCAGAATCATAATCATTTTTATTGCCACGTAAGTAACAGGAGGTCACAGACTTGGAAATTGCTTTGGCTCAGTGCAACAGTCAGAAAGAGATAATAAAAATAAGAATAAAAACACTTCTAAAGAATAAATTTAAATTTAAAATAGAGTTACAGTTACTATTTACAATATACAAGTGCACATGGTGCACACAATGTAAGGTGACAGCAGTACAGTGAAGTAAAGTGACTTTATAAAGGGCGGGGGGACAGGTTAAGAAGTGTTCAAGAGTCCAACAGCAGAGGGGAAGAAACTGTTCTTGTGGCGGGAGGTTCTAGTCCTGATGGACCGCAGTCTTCTGCCTGAGGGGAGTGGTTGGAATAGTCCATGTGCAGGGTGAGAGGGGTCGGCTGTGATACGACCAGCCCGGCCTCGAGCTCGGGCGACGTATAGGTCCTGCAGCGATGGAAGGCTGCGGCCGATCACTTCCTCTGCAGAGCGCACAATGCGCTGTAGTCTCTGTTTGTCCCTGACTGTGGCTCCAGCGAACCACACGGTGATGGAGGAGGTGAGGATGGACTCGATGATGGCCGTGTAGAACTGCACCAACATCTGTGCAGGCAGCTTGGCTTTCCTGAGCTGCCGCAGGAAGTACATCCTCTGCTGGGCCTTCTTGATGAGGGAGCTGATGGTCGGCTCCCACTTGAGGTCCTGGGTGATGGTGGTGCCCAGGAAACCGAAGGACTCCACAGAGGTGATGGAGGAGTCCATCACGGAGGGTGGGGGCGGGGGGACAGTGCTCTTCCTGAAGTCCACAATCATCTCCACTGTCTTCTGGGCGTTCAGCTCCAGCTTGTTACCACTGCACCAGGACACCAGCCGGTCCACCTCCCTCCTGTAGGCGGACTCATCGTTGTTGGAGATGAGTCCAATGAGGGTGGTGTCGTCCGTGAACTTGATCAGCTTCACGGAGTCGTGGCTGGAGGTGCAGTGGTTGGTGTACAGGGAGAAGAGCAGGGGAGAGAGAACACAGCCCTGTGGGGCTCCTGTATTTATAATCCGAGAGTCCGAGACATTCTTCCCCAGACGCACTCGCTGCTTCCTGTCTGTCAGGAAGTCAGTGATCCACCTGCAGGTGGAATCGGGCACGTTGAGCTGGGAGAGCTTGTCCTGGAGCAGGGATGGCAGGATTGTGTTGAAGGCAGAGCTGAAGAAGATTTTTCTTCTTCCGCCTCCGTCGAGCAAAGACGTGTCTCAGACCGCTCCTGCTTCTGACTGCTTGCTATCTCCTGTTTTTGTCTTTTTTCCTGGAGTTTTGCCACAGACAACTTTAACAGAATGGAAATGATTAACTGGTCCCTCAACGCAATTGATTCTATCTTTTCAATACGTAAGCGAGGGTCTGGAGAGCCCGTGTGCCCGGGCGGGACTTCACCTGCGGGGTATACTCTTGACAGCTGGAACAAGTTTCAGCCCCTCTGTCTGTCGACCCTGTCTATTGAAGATTCGGAAGACGTATATATCTTTGGCATTTTGGTGGTGGGGATCCTCCTGTTTGGGTTTGGAGCGGTCCTTTTCTACCGCAAATTCGGAGGCATGGCAGTTCGCAAGATTCACGAGCTGCTGGCCAACAAAATTGATGGGATGTACAAGGAGTTAAGCCATGTCGTGGTTGAGAGTGCCGTGTCTGGACAAAGGAGAGTGGTGTTGGTGGAACAGTTGATAAAAGACCTCGCAGCTCGTTCACTCGAAGGGAATAAAACATTGGAGTTGAGATTGAATGACATCGTGTGTCAGGCTTGAACTCTCTGACCCGGCTTGGATTTGCCCCTGTGTACGGAGGTCTGAGGGCGCCGCAATTCGGTTTAATTGGATTTAATAGAATATCTGCCTGCTTTTGACTGCTACATTGCATATAATATTGTCCCTCTCAGGCGATGTGTTTTTCTCCTGCTGTGTCTTCTCTCCACTCTTATCTCACATTCCTCGACCAAGACCATAATAACAAGGTCCCCATCTACAACAAATCACACTATTTCAGTCTCCAGCAAGGATCCCGCTCCTCCGCCTCCCTCTACCTATCCATCTTGCTCCCTCCCTCCCCTCCACTCCTCATTGTGTTTCCGACTCACCCCCTCCCTGACCCCGCCCCCCTCTGACAGCCACATTGGGCCGGCAGTTGGAGGTGCTCATCCCGAGAAAAAAATCCGTGGTTTATAAAAAGCACAATGTGTCTGTCCAACTGTCTGTGAAACTGTATGTTATTGCCCTCTGCTGTTTATTCTACTGTTTGTCGCATGGCGCCGTAAAGATGGCGCCGTGGCAAGAGCTCTGGTGTGTGTCGTCTTCTCTGTCAGGTGCACACCGGGGTAGTCTTGCACAGTTTTTCCAATGTGGTTTTACTGCAAATGGCAAATAAATGAATCTGAATCTGAAGTCCACGAACAGGACCCTGGCGTAGGTCCCCGGGGAGTCCAGGTGCTGTAGGATGTGGTGGAGGGCCAGGTTAATGGCGTCGTCCACAGATCTGTTGGCTCTGTAGGCGAACTGCAGGGGGTCCAGGAGGGGGGAGGTGAAGGACTTGAGATGGGAGAGAACCAGGCGTTCAAATGACTTCATGACGACAGACGTAAGTGCTACAGGTCTGTAGTCGTTGAGTCCTGTGATCCTGGGCTTCTTCGGGACGGGGACAATGATGGAGGATTTGAAGCAGGCCGGGACATGGCAGGACTGCAGAGAGGTGTTGAAAATGTCAGTGAACACAGGAGTAAGCTCACTGGCACAGTGTCTCAGAGTGGCCGGAGACACGTGGTCCGGGCCAGGGCATTTGATAAACTGTCTGTATTTGGGTAATTCCTGGCTCAAGTTTCCCTTATTAAAATCCCCCAGGATAATAATCAGAGAGTCCGGGTATAAACGTTCCATACACAGTACTTGCTCTGCGAGTGCGCGCTGTTATGGGAATTCTGATGCTTCAAATGAAATAATTCCGAGAGGAAACAAACTTGTCCTTTTGTGCAGTTTATTTACAGAAGTGATGAGTACAAAAATGACATTTCTGCGCAGAAAGGAGCCAGACAGAAACGGGACCTGGACCGATGCCGTGTCTGTCTCTTTTCCCCAACAAGCGTGTCTATGATCTTATACTGGAGGTGTGTCAGACAGAACAATGAGCATTCGTCACAAGAGAGATGAGTCATACGCGGCTGCAGACGGGAAAGTTTGGGAGATACATTAAGCGCACCGAAAGGACCTTCGAATTTGATAAGAAGGAACACGCTGTGAGTACATTTGAGATAATGCACCTGCAGATGGTGACCAAGGCTATCGCTGAACAAGAGGCCCTTTGTGCTAATGTTTCAAACAGTGATGGGAAGCAGTTTCAGACGCTGGGAAACAAGACGCATGTATCGACCTAAATGATTAGAATATCTTGTGCCGGGAGCTGACCATAACAGCGCTGAGCCTCGCGCGCGTCCGCGCATGGCGGTATGTAAACAGAGGCAAGAATGAATGAAACAATTTCACGAGGGGAGTAAAATGGTTTACAATGGATGAAAAGATATTCCAGAGCAGGAGAGCAGTGCTTGGAGATCACTGTCACATCGTTACACCAGTTTGTATTGACGTAGAAACACAGCCCACCGCCTCTGCTCTTCCCTGAGAGCGCACAATGGCGATCCGCGCGGAACAGCCCAAAGCCCTGCAGCTCCAGAGCGCAGTCCGGGATCCGCTCATTTAGCCAGGTCTCAGTGAAGCAGAGGACACAGGATGTGGCGAAGTCCTTGTTTCTTCTCATGAGCAGGCTGAGTTCGTCCATCTTATTGCAAAGTGAGCGTACGTTGGAGAGAAAAATGCCGGGGAGAGCCGTGCGCGCTCCTCTCCTCCTCAGACGCACGAGCAAGCCCGCGCTTTCCCCTTTTACGGGCCCACACTTTTTTGGCTAGAACATGAACTAAATCAGCCGCAGATGCCAAGAAAACAGGCAATAGGTCCATGGGGACGGTGGGTCGGATGTTCATAAGTTCCTCACGGGTATAGGAACAGCCAGATGCGCAGTTAAAAAGTAAAAACAAAAGAAAAAGAGAGCAGCAAAGAGCCATGTCGACCGTACGAGGCGTCATCTTTGTTTTGTGTAATAAAATAATAATAATAGCTTTCCCATAAGAAACACTTAAAGCTGGGGTACGTTTTTCATAAATCATGTATTATGTTTGTCCCAACAGAAAGAGTGAGTTAGAGTTGTGGTTGTAATCTAGTGATATAAGCAGTTAGTGAGGAACAGGTCACATGGAGTGTATTAGTTTTGTATTTTGAAAATGTATTACCCCAGCTTTAATGGAGACCGTCTGTTTGTGTCTGTAGGCACCAAGGTGCAGGTGTCCTGCATTAAGCTGCTGAAGCCGTACTCCAGGAAGAAGATTCCAGATGACAAAGAGGAGGAGGAGGAGGAGGGCGCAGACTTAACTCCAGAGGGGCGCATTTTGGAGAGGGACCTTCTGTCCCAGGCCTATAGCATGGGTAATATCTATCAAGCCACCAAAAAGTGACTCTGATTAGCGACACGGACACTGTTTTTAACTTTAATTTTACTCTTTGTGTTGCCCATATTACTGTCTTATTTTTGTATTCTTTGCCAGCCTTTGGCAGCACATTGTTTCTTGATCTGTAAGGCTCACATCACGCGGCATACATACACACCAGCAGAGCGTGCAGAGGCGGGTGGCTGGTCCCTGTGTAGTCTAGTGTAAAGGACAGAACAGGCCAGAGGACTGATTTATAGCAGAATAAGTTAGATGTGTTATTTTCTCATGGTGTCTGAGTCGGTCACTGACAGAATCCATGTCAAATATGCCAGCCCTCCTTCTAATATTTAAATAAAAGTACTGTGTGGCGTGCAGAGCTGATTTATTGCCAAAGCCCATGGGCAAAAATATGTTTCCCATATGTTTTGATTGAAAGGCGTGTCACTGTGGCAAAAATTTAGGAGGCTCCTTCGCTTCGCTCTTACCAACTGCAGTTCTGTGCGCCTCTTCACAGGCCCGCATCTGAAATTTGTCCTGCAGCGCTGCGCAAGTATTTTTGCTTTAAATAATTTTAGCAATGTGTTTGGCCAATGCTCTACCAACTGAGCCACTGTTGGCAACAAACAGTAATACATTTAATTTATAATGAAAATGAAACTATAAGTACCATCAAACAGCAGAGTAGTCATGTGGGGTGTCAGTCTCTCTAGGATGTGCAGCAGTGAACGTAAACATTTAATCAAGAATGCTTATTATGTATTAGTAGCCTACTTATCTTAGTAGACTAATAAAGATATAAAGCCTCTTCTTAACTAATCCAAGCCTCTGCTCTAGTGGTGTCGAGTGGGACCTCAGGCCTGACCTGTGTGGCCATGGGTGTCCAGATGCATGTGGGCAAACTGGAGAGGAGGATGCTGTGCAGACAGCTGGAGAGGGAGGGGGTCGTTAAGGTAAGATTCTCCTTCAGAAACGCACAGGCCAAAGATATATGACTCTAAACGTATTTTCATTCTTCTGCAGGGATTCATGGAAGATGTCGGTCGGCAGAGGACCACCAAGTTCCTAAGTCACAAGTGTGCTCTCTCACTATCTATCAATGTCTGCTGCACAGCAATAAAAGCCATAGTCTCACCCAACTACAATTTTACCATGAAATTAGTACATTTTAAACATAAAGGCTGGTTTTCATTCCCAGGCCATACAAGGCCTTTCCAGATTTACCTCAGGTGCTCTACTATCCCCTTGCATTAAAAACATGTATAGTATGAGCGAGTGAAGACTGATACAGTGCTTTGCGAAAGTATTCGGCCCCCTTGAACCTTTCAACATTTCGCCACATTTCAGGCTTCAAACAAAGATATAAAAATTAAATTTGTTGTCAAGAATCAACAACAAGTGGGACACAATCGTGAAGTGGAACAAAATTTATTGGATAATTTAAACTTTTTTACAAATAAAAAACTGAAAAGTGGGGCGTGCAATATTATTCGGCCTCCTTGCGCTAATACTTTGTAGCGCCACCTTTTGCTACAATTACAGCTGTAAGCTCTATCAGTTTTGCACATCGAGAGACTGGAATTCTTGCCCATTCTTTCCACAGATTCTCGATTGGATTCAGGTCTGGACTTTGACTTGGCCATTCTAACACCTGGATACGTCTATTTGTGAACCATTCCATTGTAGATTTGGCTTTATGTTTTGGATCATTGTCCTGTTGGAAGATAAATCTCCGTCCCAGTCTCAGGTCTTTTGCAGACTCCAGAATGGTCCTGTATTTGGCTCCATCCATCTTCCCATCAATTTTAGCCATCTTCCCTGTCCCTGCTGAAGAAAAGCAGGCCCAAACCATGATGCTGCCACCACCATGTTTGACAGTGGGGATGGTGTGTTCAGGGTGATGAGCTGTGTTGCTTTTACGCCAAACATATCGTTTTACATTGTGGCCAAAAAGTTCGATTTTGGTTTCATCTGACCAGAGCACCTTCTTCCACATGTTCGGTGTGTCTCCCAGGTGGCTTGTGGCAAACTTTAAACGAGACTTTTTATGGATATCTTTGAGAAATGGCTTTCTTCTTGCCACTCTTCCATAAAGGCCAGATTTGTGCAGTGCACGACTGATTGTTGTCCTATGGACAGACTCTCCCACCTCAGCTGTAGTTATCTGCAGTTCATCCAGAGTGATCATGGGCCTCTTGGCTGCATCTCTGATCAGTCTTCTCCTTGTTTGAGATGAAAGTTTGGAGGGACGGCCGGGTCTTGGTAGATTTGCAGTGGTCTGATACTCCTTCCATTTCAATATAATTGCTTGCACAGTGCTCCTTGAGATGTTTAAAGCTTGGGAAATCTTTTTGTATCCAAATCCGGCTTTAAACTTCTCCACAACAGTATCTCGGACCTGCCTGGTCTGTTCCTTTGTCTTCATGGTTCTCTCTGCGCTTTAAACAGAACCCTGAGACTATCAAAGAGCAGGTGCATTTATACGGAGACTTAATTACACATAGGTGCATTCTATTTATCATCATCAGTTATTTAGGACAACATTGGATCATTCAAAGATCCTCACTGAACTTCTGGAGTGAGTTTGCTGCACTGAAAGTAAGGGGGCCGAATAATAATGCACGCCCCACTTTTCAGGTTTTTATTTGTTAAAAAAGTTTCAATTATCCAATAAATTTCGTTCCACTTCACGATTGTGTCCCACTTGTTGTTGATTCATGACAAAAAAATTATATTTTATATCTTCATGTTTGAAGCCTGAAATGTGGCAAAATGTTGAAAGGTTCATGGGGGCCAAATACTTTCGCAAGGCACTGTATGTCCTGATCCTCTCTCAATGTGTGTGGCGTGGATAGACAATTGTAATAACGCTTTGTTCTTAATCAGCGTTTGACACAATATGTCCTTTGTTGTACATAACACTGTAAAATGCAAAATGGATTTTCACAGCTTGAGTCCTTGCTCAAGTTGTTTCCTCTCGTCATCATTACAAGAACACGGTTCTAAGTTGTCCAATGTGCTCTTCTCACAGGTGTGTGGAGGTCAACGATAGCCTGCAGCAGTTTGTCAAAGAGCACGAACGCAACCAGCTCCTGTGTTCCAGCGACTCTCCCATGGCCCCCTCAACCAAGACCCTGTCCAACATCGACATGTGCAGGAAATCTGCCCTCTGGAACACGCAACAAAACCTGCCTGCACAGAAGAGAACGTGTAAAGCCAAGAAGGGAAGCAAGAAAAGCATTGCCATGCAGAAGGGGCCAGCAGGTAACTATCAAACACATATAGTAGATGCTGTTAAAGCAGGAGTACCTAACTTTCCATTAATAGTTACAGTTTTGTCACATCTTCCAGTTCAAACTTTTCTTCAACCAATCAGCTCCTAGTCCTAAATAGTGACCCACAGAGAAAATACTGAACATACGGCTGCTGGCTGAAGGGCCTGGTCTTACAAAATACAGTCTGTCTGCTTAACTCAGTCTTTGAAATTGAACACGTCCCTGCCCTGTCCTTGTTTTAAGAGTTGTTGATCTTGCTGACTAAACAAATCACAGAGAATAATGTTAGCTTATTAAACCAGACAGCTCTTGTGTTCACTTTTGTAGTTTGTAGCTGTATTTTGCTTTCATATATTTGTGTGACTCCGTGTTTTAATGTTTTTTATGGTGTTTATCAGAGTCCACGACGGCAGAGAAGGGGGACCTTCCACTTCCACTCCCACCTCCGTCTCCCTCTCCGCCTGAAGCAGCCGCAGACACAGGCCACCTGAACATAGTTACAGACGTGCAGCCGCCAGTGCCAGAGGTTAGTGCACCAGACCTACTGGTCTTCTGCTCCAGTGTGACCACCTCTCTCTTTAGTATGAGCCCTATAGACCTGAACCCCACGTCCCCTTAGTATGTGCCCCAGAGACCTAAACCCCTCTCCCCTCAGTATGAGCCAGAGAGACCTGACACCTTCTCCCGTCAGTATGAGTCCCATGAGGCCTGACCCCAATCTCCCCTTAGCGTGAACCTCAAGCGACCTGACCTGCATACTACTGAGACAAGGCCTGCAGATGCATTTAAGAGCACATAAAGCCATAAAGACAAATGCATATAGACTACTCCTTGATTGTGTGGGATAGGGTCCGGACTGTGTGCTTCACCAAAGGGAAAATTAGTGTTGACATGAAGCTAAAAGAAGCGCATGTGTATTGCAAATTAAATGGGAATGTTTTTGCACACATGTATTTATGCAGTGACGCCATCAGCTTTCATGTCCATCCTGAACATATATTTTCCGTGAGATTCCTGTGACCAAATGTCTGTGTAATCATATGTCCCTAGTGCATGGAGACCGGACCTTTTTAAGTGGTCGGACTGATTTGTGATGAGCTGAGTTTTCTTGGTGTACTGTGCTTCATGTTCTGCTCTGAAAACCCACGGAAGACACTCTTCTGTGTGTGATCTCTGCAGCCCAACTCCCAGCGCCACAAGACCTGCCGCCTTCTGAGGAGAAAGAACCTGATAGTGGAGGCCATCCAGGACCTGAAGATCTTTGACGGACTTTACCCGTGAGACAATCATCTTCTCACTGTAGCAAAGAAGTCCTATGTTTCTTATGAAGAATCATGTAGCTTACTTCAAAGTTTTTATTCAGCCTTTATCTAACCAGCTCCACTATTTGACCACTAATTTGTCAGAGATTTCCAAAAGTTTAACATGTCAAAGTAGTCTTATGTATTTAGACGCGTCATTTACATTTACATTTATTTGGAACGTCTTCATACAAGCTGTCTTACACACCTTCTCCAGGTTTCAGAAAATCATCACTGCTGAGGAGAAGAACCTGGGATTCAGCACCAAGTGTTGTAGGAAGACCGTTCTGCGCCTGGTCCAAGCTCTGGCCAGAGAAGGCCTGATTAAACTCTATACCACCACGGTCATTCAGGATGGGGTCACCAAGAAGGTATGACCGTGGAAATCATTTTTATTTAACATGAGTTCGGATATTTTTTTATGGTAGTTTTTTTCTGACTGCTCTTTGGATTGTAATAAGGCCAATGATTAATTGTCTTATCCAACTACATATCATGATATGAGGTGGCAGTGGCTCAGTTGGTAGAGCATTGGTATTTGGGCCTGAACGCTTTGGAGCGTATATTAAAGAGTATAGAATCTAGTCATTAGTATTGCTCTGGTAATATGTTAGTACTGTGGCAACCGAAGTTCTGGCTTCATGGTTGGAGATGTTCACGCTGCACACGCACGCACACAGGTGGATCTGTACGCCCACCCCTCCATCCAGCCTTCAGATGAGATTGTCCAGAGAACCATAGACCAGGTCCGCTTCAAGATGTCTGGCTGTCACTCCAATGTGCGGTGAGTCAACTCTATTCCTACTTTATTTATAATGACTTCGAAGTACCTCCTTGAAGGTAGCAATTGTGTGAACAGTGTCATGTTTTCAACTATACACAAAGATTTTATTTTGCATTGTTTGCTGAGAGTTCACAAACAAGATTTTTCTGCAGACCCTCTTCACATAATGTTTTGCCACCCTTTAAACTTTTATTTGATGTTATGCTATGGGCCATAACAAGTTGGGGCCAAAAAAAACTTTTTGTTGTAAGTCATTGTAAATTTGAAGGTGCTGGAACCACATACATTGTGCTGCCGTCCATAAATACTGTGAACCGAACCGGTGACAAAGGGCAGCCTTGGCGGAGGCCAACATGCACCCTAACAAATCTGACTTACTGCCGACAATGTGAACGCAGCTCTGGCTCCGGTCATACTGGAACCTCAAAGTATTCCGTCCACCGCCCAACAAAATGCCCAGTCGAGGTCAGCAGCTCTCCACCCGCATTGTAAACGATGTTGGCAAAGAACTGCTTCCCCCTCCCGAGGCGCCGGACAATCTCTTCGAGGCGATTGATATTTGCTTCATGGATTCTCCAAACTCCTCCCAGTGCTGGGTTTTTGCCTCTGCGATAGCCTGGGCAGCTGGGTTAGGAGTCTGCCTCTGGAGTCATGTCCATCATGGCTCGATAGGACTGCTTCTTCAGCCTGACGGCATCCCTTTCTTACCGGTGGTGTCCACCACCGGATTAGGAGGTTGCAGCCAGGACCAGAGACTTTGCGACCACAGCCATGAGCTTCTGCATCTGGGATGGTGGTTAGGTGGTTGGAGGTGGAGAACATGGTCCTCTCAGACTCAATGACCCTCCTCCTCTGGGACCTGGGAGAAGCTCTCCCAGAGGTGTGAGTTGAAAGCCCGTAGTGATAAGGGGCTCGGCGACCTCCGGCCGAGGGTGTCCTGGTGCACTGGTGGGCACCCTTGTGCTTTAACACGGTGTTCGTTATGGACAAACTGACTCAGCTCAGGTTCAGATCAGGGGGCCGTTCTTACCAAATGGGTCCCCCATTGACTCTAAGAAGGGCGGGTACTCTGTTCTGTTGTTTGGCACGTAGGTTGAGAGACTTGTCCCCCACCCGGAGGCGGAGGGTCCTGGGTTCCTGAGCCCAAGTTTTGTGTGGAGGTAAGGCCGACTATATCTAGTTGGTCTCTCTCAACCTCCCCCACAAGCTCAGGCTCAAGTTCATTACTTGAGCCACTGTAAGCTTGTGTGTGTGTGTGTGTCTTTGTGTTTTTCCAGGCCTCCAGAGGATGGCAAGTGCGGGGAGCCTTCAAAAGGTCCTGAGGGCGCGGCCAGCACCCCGTTAAAAGACTCAAAGAGCCACAAGAAGAAGCCCGGGCCCAAACACACGGCAGAGAAGTTCAACCCCACCACAGGTCTGCACACTCCTCCTCAAACTAGTTAAAAGAACATGCTTATAATCAATATCTAATTGCGCTAAGTCTTTACTTTTACAGGACTCTTTCTGTGGAGATGATTGGCAAGTTATATTTATGAAAAATGAAGTTGGGTGTGCCAGCTTTAAGTAGAAAATATTAGGCTGAACGTGTGAATTTGAGTAGTTAACTGGAATAATACTTATCTCGTCTTAAATTTAACCTTGCCATGTGGCATTCAAACCTAATGCGCTGTTTACGCAGAGACGCTGAAACAGTATTACGGTAAAGTTGGGTATCAGATCGGCCTTTTCGTTCACACTGAGACAGTGTTTCGGGAAATGAGAATCAACCTCCAATGTAGAACAGAACAGATGCGTTGCGCGGCGGGAGGCTGTTTCACATCTGTGTGAAGAAAAATAAGTGAATTTTCTGACTGCAGTGACCTCATCACTTCCCTACATGTACATTTTGACATGCACAATAGTTGAGAACAAACGTTAACAACAATGTCGGCGGGTTAACTAATGTGTGTGGGGAGTGCTACACAGAGGAGAATTCTACTCAAAACAAAACCACGCAAGGTTCTAGTTTCACTTTCCATTTTTGCTGCTACTGTTAAATGCAGAATGATGTTGGTGCATTCTTTCATGTCTTTGCGGTGGTTCCGATCAGGGTCATTTTCAAATGTATGAAAAATAATATATTTGAGCTCTTCCCTCCTTAGGGAGTTGCATTGTTGTTTATTTTTCAAAACAAAAGCCCTGAGTGCAATAAGAAAATGCACAATAACAGAATAATATTCTATATATGAGATCAACTTGTATCCTTTTTACATTTTAAACAACTATATATTTGCACAAGGATATACAGTGTTATATACTTTTTAATTATGCTAAAGATAGATGACTTTTTACCTACTTCTTCTCATACTAAAGCCAGACCTATATATTTTTTAGTATAGACTTATTGGTCATTTATTTCATTTATATCATTTATCAATCCTCTCATCCTCCTGGAGTGTACAGAGTTTTGTCAAGCTGAATGCCCTGCTTGATGAGCACAATATAATGAGTTGATGTGACAGGACTGCTCTCTCACATGTCCACAGTCCGGGGCCTCAGCAGGACTTTCGGGTACCAGCCCAAGATGCACCGGATGCGTGTGGTCCATAACTTCCTGTGGTACCTCATATACGGACACCCGCTCAGACACAACCCTGAAACACAAACTTTTGAGAAGTCCGTGCTTGCTCCACCCTCCACTGCAGCCCAGGAGGAGGGAGCACAAAAGAAGAGCCAAGGTGTAGGGAAAGGGCCCAAGGGAGACGAGAAAGAGCATAAGGCTGCAGGAGAGGAGCCCCCAAGAGCGGAAGAGCCCCAGGGAACAGAAGAGCCGGAGCAGAGTCGCAGCACCACAGAGCGGATGTTACTATCGGAGGATGAAGAGGGAACCCCACCGGCCGATTTCAAAGGTATTTTTACTGTGTCGCAAGGGATGGCATTATTTTGGTCCAAAAGGGTGGTTTTTGGCCTTTAGCATTGTTACCCGAGCAGAGATTTCACTGTTTTGACGATAATTTAGAGATTATGAATGATGACTCCAAAGGTTTTTCCTCCACTGATTGTTAGTGGTTGTGTGAAGCCAGTTGTGGCCAGATAAGTGTTTTCTGTTTTACAGTAATGATCTTTCCAATGATTGAGCTGCTACCACAAAATACATGAAAGGGAAACATACACTACTGAGAACTGGGGGATTGCGACTTCTAATGGTCAAAGGGACAGATTTTAGTGCAGTTTTTAGTCCGTTGGCCTTATTCTATCAAAACAGAATTTAAACTTGAATCCACTTTTCAATAAACATAACTAAGTCCATAACTAATTTCCTCGCACCCTTTAGCTCCTGGCTAAAATGTCGCCTTGAGCCGCACCATTATTCCATATACTGTATGAAGGATTCTTGGGGATATTGAAGCTTGTGTCTCCCATGCAGTGTACTCTGAGGAGGAGCCGTGGAAGAAGTACGTCCCTCCTGTGAAGCTGCATAAGGACTACAGCAGTGGCTGGGTCATGCTGGGAGACCTCATCCTCTGCCTGCCCCTGTCCATCTACATCCAGGTCATCCAGGTCAACTACAAGGTCAGACATCAGCCACCAGCAGAATTATTAATTCATACTTGCTTCTTATTATTCTAAAAGTCATAGATTTGCTTCATTATGCTGAAGTTGGAAATTTTAGAATTGCTTCCTAATTAGGCTAATACTAGAGTTTTCATACTTGCTATTAGCGATTCCTACTGTTCTATAACCAGTGTTGCAACACTGAGAGACGAATAAATGATCTCTTAATCTAATCCAATTTATGATACCATTTATTTCTGTCCCAAAAACGGTCAATCTAAAAATAATTGCAGCCTTTGAAATGTATATCATAATTGTACTAAATTGTATGCCTGTTAGAGGTTTTTATAAGAACTTAATCCCAGTGATAAATGAGGGACCACTGTGAATCTAACTTAATGCAAATTTCTTTTGATTCTCACTTGGGTACTCGTTCTAGTACTTACCTTCTTTATTGTTCTATGTGTATCCATATAATTTCCACTTTTCCGACTTTGACTTTAAACTCAGGTGGAGGGTCTGGAGGAGTACCTGAACGACCCAGAGAAACAGCATTACCTGGTGCGGTGTCTGCCGGCCCGGATGAAGAGACAGCTACTCTACAAACGGTCTGAGGCTGCGCTTCTCCCCCTTCCTACTCCCCCATTGCTCCTCTCCTCATCTCCTCCAAATCAGTGTCTATGTATCCTACATGGGGCTCATCCTCCTCTCGTCCACCTCTCCCCCTCCTCTCATACTCTCCTCCCTCATCTCCTCCTCTCTTCTAAAGTGTGGCTTATTCCTGTTCAGGAGGTACATCTTCTCCTTCCATGATAACCTGAAGAAACTGGCCTACATGGGTCTTATACAGTTTGGGCCTCTGGAGAAGTTCAGGGACAAGGACCAGGTTTGCTTCACCTTCTGTGTTTTACTCCTATAACTTTCATGATGCTGTATGTGAAGTCTTCAGGTTTTAGGAAGGACTTTATCCTCACAACAATAGGTTAATAATAATTTTAAGATAAGAATTTCTTTATTCGTCCCACAGTGGGGAAATTTCGAATTTTTGTGAGAAAAATAGTTATTCACTGAGCTGTCACAGCAATCATTCTATAGCAATAACCATGGTTGTCAAACATAGATAAGATAGAGAAACTTCATTGATATCACAATGGAGACATTTACATATTACATTTGGCATAGATAAAATCACTCAAGGTGTGCATAAAGACAGGAAGTGTCCAAACACAAGAGGTTGAAGTATAGTTTATTTTGTGCAAGTGATATTATGTACAATAAAATAAAAAGCGACAAAAGCAGTGTGAGTTTTTCAGTCCTAGTGCCAGTGTCATTGAAGTGACTTATTGCACATTATGTTTTTTGTTATGGTGTACATGTTTACCCTAACATGTTTGCAAAAATGTTGGCGAAACACATGGAATTGAAATAACGGCCTCTATTTGTTTTTAAACAAATAGAGGCCTCAGCCGACCACAGAGAAGGCCTCGGTTTCATAAACAAGATTCAAAAAATAAAAGCTGTGTGACAAAAAACATCATACCTTGCATAAAAGCAGTTTTTCATCCTCTTTTCCTCAAAATATTACTTCATATTGGGCACCAGAAATATGACACAGTACCCACCCAATCCTATTTTTTAAATTAAGTTAAATGTCAGTTTTAATTGAACTAATGTACTTAACACAAAAATGTAACTGGATCAGAAATTGATACAGTTCAAATTGTGAGTTGGTGTATTGTTACAGCCCTGTTTGATAATCCATTATTTTTTGATTAAGTATGAACTCTTAACAGTTTGTGGTTTGTTCCTTGGCAGACTTTCATCTACTTGAAGCGCCATGCCACCATTGTGGATACCACCAGTGCTGAGCCTCACTACTGGCTGGTGACAGAGAACCCAGAGCGGCCCTTTGACCGAAGGAGTTACACATTCAACACCTCTGACGACATGGAGAACTTCTGGTTTGACCTGATGTGTGTCTGCCTCAACACTCCCCTGGGTATGCTGTATGTGCGCTACTTGTACTATGCTCAAGTCCCAAATGTCTATCGCAAACAAAACAGACTGGTGCTTGGATCCATACAAAAGGCCTAAACAGTCATGGAAAACATAGAACAAGACTTTCTTTTGGCTGTTTCGCTGTGTAAGTAGTAACCAGTAACGAAGACACGGGAAGTTTCAGGTTAACCTCCGCCACTTGTTTACCTCAGCTGTCTGTGCTAACGAGAGACCTGTAGCTTTTCTCAAGAAAGCGGGGGCCAGTGGTTCGCTGTGATTGGTCACAATCTGGACCCGAAACAAATTCTCTTCCTTGTTGCACAAAAACCCGATCTAAAATGAAATGACACGCCAACACAAATCTGGACATATATCCCAATGCACTGCATGGATATGGATTGATTTTCGTAATGAATACAAAAATAAAGTCAGTTAATGCAGCTTTAATTACAGCTTAAAAAGTAATTAATCGTAATTAATTGCATTTCAAACTATTGGCAAAATTATGCCATATTTTTTTGAAATGGAAAGATGAATGACACATAATGTACAGTGTTTATTATAACGACAATAATTCCATTCTGTCTTTCTGTAGTAAACTCAAACCAAAACTATTGTTTGTTACAGATGAGTGTTATTATGGGATGCATAGACGAGTCATTTGGCACGTGCGTAAAATGCATTTTTTTTTTTTTACGCAATTAATGAAAACAAATAATTGACGTGTGTTAACGCAATCATTTTGACAGCCCTAAAAAATAGATATACGGCATGCCTAAATCTTCATAGAATTTCTTCCATGAGCGGGAGCCACACTGATCCTGTTTTAAGGCATTTTCCGCTGCCCATGTTTACTGCTCTTCCTCGTTAGCTAGTTAGTTATTTTATTGACAAAAGAGTTACAATATTGTAAAAAGAAGTGATTTGTGTCTGTTATTTAAAGGTGCATGTTTTATCGTCTTAATGTACGCATTTCATTATGATGCACAATTGTGTGAAGTATATTTTGGATGTTGAAGGAATCTGTCTAATTGTGGAAAAACATTAAAATGTTTCAGACTGAGTGGGTAGTACTCCCGCTTCTCAGCAAGAAGGTTCTTGGGTTCGAAACCCAGTCAGAACAGTGTCTTTCTGAGTGGAGTTTGTTCTCTCCGTGTCTGCGTAGGTTTCCTCCGGGTGCTCCGGTTTCCCCTACCACTAAAACCATGTACAATAGGTCTGGCATGCGCCTCCTGTACTGCCGACCCCGCTCCCAGCTCTTTGTGGAGTGAGAGACAAGTGCCCAAACAATAACAATTGTAAACCGCTTTGTGACTCTGGTCTGTGAAAGGCGGTTTATAAATAAAGATTACTTACTTACTCAAACTTACTACTACAAACAAGTGCACACAATTGACATTTAGCAGTGCTGGTTAAAGTGACAGTGTTATAGGTGGCGGTCTTCAAGGGCAGGCAACAGTGATGGGTTGTCAGAAATGAGACCAGTAAGGGTGGTGTTGTACGCAAACTTGATCAGCTTCATGAGTCATGGCTCACAGGTAGCAGAGCGTGTGAGTCAAAGACATTTTTCCCCAGACGCACATGCTATCTCCTGTCAGTAAGGAAGTCAGTGATCCACCTGCAGGTGGAATCGGGCACGTTGAGCTGGGAGAGCTTGTCCTGGAGCAGGGATGGCAGGATCGTGTTGAATGCATAGCTGAGGTCCACAAACAGGACCCTGGCGTAGGATCCCGGGGAGTTCAGGTGCTGTAGGATGTGGTGAAGAGCCAGGTTTATGACGTCATCTACAGATTTGTTGGCTCTGTAGGAGAACTGCAGGGGGTTCAGGATGGCGTAGGTGAAGGACTTGAGATAGTAGAGGTCCAGGTATTCTTCTTGGGGGCAGGAACAATAACTGGGGACCGTTACAGGTTGGGCCGTCAGTCATGACTCCAAAGAGGTTTGGAAAATATCTGTGAAGACAGGAGTCAGCTCACTAAAAGCACAGTCAAAGGTCTGGGGGAGTCAATGCCTGATGTGGCGAATTCCGCTGTATATCAGTAGTCTTCTGGTGTGTATGTTGTGGATAGTGCGGCCCGTGTTGATGGTGGGGCCAGGCAGATGAACACGAATGCTATACGTTAATGACATTTTGAAGTAGAGATCCTGAGGCCCATTGTTGCCATTACCTCATATTGCAGCATGAGAATACACATATGGGAGTATCTTTGAACAATTCAGCTGAAAACCTCCAGCCTCTTGACCTCATCCTCATCAGAAATATGACCCAATACCCATTGAGAAAAGGTGATAAGTATATGTTACTTTGTTTTCCCCTCCTGGTTGCAGGTGTGATCCGTTCAAAGAAGGGCGGAGACGAGACAGAGCCCTCGTTTGTGAGAGACCCATCTGTGTTTGTGGGATTGTCTTACCTCATAAAGTAAGGACATCAGCTACTGCACCTGCACATCATGGCAAGGCATATCAAGGTCACGTCCACTTTTACACAGCTGCAGCAGAAGGCAAATTGAAAAGCTTCAGACCTACAGTATGATAACGCATGCATATATTAGTGGCAACATTTATGGTATCTTGTCCTTGTCAAACAATACGTAGGTTTTGAAAACAAATCAATCCGAGAGTGAGGTCACATAAACAGTGTTAATATTTTATTGTATTTGTTAAGAGTCCCTGCCATATGGCATTTCCTTTTCCCTGCAGAGGCAGCTTGGAGGTAGTGGACGATGGTGTCATTCCCGGGGATGGGAAAGGAGCAGGGGGCTTGTGCTCAGAGTTCTTTGCTCATCTCAAGAGAAACTGGCTTTGGACCAACCACCTGTTGGTAGACAAGCAAGTAAGTGCACTGGCATCAAAGGCATATCAGGAACAAAGTGTTACTATGGATCTCACACTTTAAAATAGATATGTTAGAAATATTAAACTAAGATTATCATCTTGTGGGAATTATTTTTAACAAATAATGTCTTCTTGGTGTGTCATTTCTGCTGGTGATCTGATTTCAATGAGGCCTCTTTTTTATTGTAGAATACAAAGCACAACACTAAAGACCTTGGGGCAAAAAATATTTTTTTCAGCCACCAATTGTGCAAGTTATTCCACTTTCAAAAATGAGGGAGGCCTGGAATTTTCATCATAGGTATACCTCAAATATGAGAGAATCGTATTTTCTGATTTTAAAGAATTCTTTTGCATTATGGTGGAAAATAAGTACTTGGTCACCAAGATTCTGGCTCTCACAGACCTGTAACTCCTGAGGCTCCTCTGTCCTCCACTCATTACCTGTGTTAATGGCACCTGTTTGAACTCATCTTTTTTTTATATACTATATTTTTGAGTTTTTTCCTTTATATTTCAAGCAAAATGTCATAATTCAAAAAGAAAACCTTACAAGGCAACATTTATAATGCAAAGAAAAGATTACATAAAATAGTACAAAAAACAATTAGAACAGAAAATAAGTAAATACAAAAAATAATATAATAACAATACAAATAATAAAACAAAATAATAGTAATAATAAAAAAGCTGTATGTATATTATATAAATATATAGTCCCAGTCTCTTTCAATTTAAATCACTATTTCTTCAAATTGGTTTTCGGTTTGAGAGCTGCGTCATACCCGCGTTACCAGAAGTCATCACTTTCCGTAGACAAGTGATGACTTGTCTAAGGACTAACTCATTCACATAACTCAAGACACCTGTCCACAACCTTAAACAGCCAAACTCCACTATAGCGAAGACCAAAGATAGGACACCAGAAACAAAATTGTAGACCTGCACCAGACTGGGAAGACTGAATCTGGTAAGCAGCCTGGTGTGAAGAAATCAACTGTGGGAGCATTTTTTAGAAAATGGAAGACATACAAGACCACTGATAATCTCCCTCGATCTGGGGCTCCACGCAAGATCTCGTGGGGTGAAAATGATCACAAGAACGGTGAGCGAAAATCCCAGTACCACATGGTGGGACCTGGTGAATGACCTGCAGAGAGCTGGGACCAAAGTGACAAAGGTACCATCAGTAACACACTACGCCGCCAGTGACTGAAATCCTGCATTATCCCCTGCTTAAGCCAATACATGTCCAGGCCCGTCTGAAGTTTGCTAGAGAATTTGGATGATCCGAAAGAGGATTGGGAGAATGTCACATGGTCAGAGGAAAAATTGAACTTTTTGGTAAAAACGCAACTCGTCGTGTTTGGAGGACAAAGACTGCTGAATTGCATCCAAAGAACACCATACCTTCTGTGAAGCATGGGGGTGGAAAAATCATGCTTTGGGGCTGGTTTTCTGCAAAGGGTAAAAGAACTAATGAATGAGGCCATGTATTGTCATATTTTGAATGAAAACCTCCTTCCATCAGCGAGGGCATTGAAGATGAAAGCATGACAATGATCCCAAACACTTTATGGCTTTTATAAGAAGCATTTCAAGGTCCTCGAGTGGCCTGGCCAGTCTGCAGAGCTCAACCCCATATAAAATCTTTGAAGGGAGTTGAAAGTCTGTGTTGCCTAGCGACAGCCCCAACACATCACTGCTCTGGAGGAGATCTGCATTTAGGAATGGGCCAAAATACCCGCAACAGTGAGTGAAAACGTTGTGACTTACGGAAAACATTTGAGTTCTGTCATTGCCAACAAAGGGTATATAACAAAGTATTGAGATTAACTTTTGTTATTGACCAAATACTTATTTTCCACCATCATTTGCAAATAATACATTATTTAAAAATCTGAAAATTTTAATTTCTGCATTTGTTGTTCCCATTCTGTCTCTGATAGTTGAGTTAATCTTTTTAGGTGGGAGAACTTGCACATTTGGTGACTAAACAATTTTTTTGCCCCACTGCAACTGTAGCATGTTCTTATAACATAGTGGTGAACAGGAATTAATTAAATCCTTAATCCCCCCATATTGTTTTGTAGAGTTTATTAACGCCAGTCTCAAACATGGGTCTGGCATGATTATATCTGTGACTGTTGCAGAGGCGTACTGGTTTGGAGGCTGATGATACCAAAGTGCGACTGAATAGCCTGTGCAGAAGCTCTCTGCAGCTGGTCCTCCAAGCAGGTGAGCAATGCCATAGCCTTCTACTACAGGGAAGTTCTCTTCCATCATGTTTTACAATTTAAAAGAACTTAAACTCATCTATTCATCAAGTTTCTTCTTTACCTATTGCCCTTTCGCAGGGCAGCAGCTCAACAGCATTAACTCACCCTAGTTTCCACACCCTCAGACCATAATGGTTATCTATAGCTTTTACTGACAAAGGGAATGCTGATCAATCTTAGTAAATTATGTATTTCTCTACCCCTACTGCAAATAATCAACACTATCCTTTTGCCCCCAAAACTGTCTCGCTTTTTGACACTCAGTCAAAAACCCCTCTTATATTGTATTATTATTATTATATTATATAATATTATATTAAAATAACACAATATTAACCATTGTCATTAATCTTTTTGAATGATTACTTCAAAATACAGAACAACTCAGATTTACTCACGAATGCAAGAGTCAATAGTGAAGGTTGTAGAGATTTTTTTTTTATAAATGAAAAAATATAAAATATAATTTTAAGAAATATAGTTATTATTTTTAACTATAAGAAAGTGTGGAGTTACTCACAACTGATCCATTTGTCTGCCTTCCTCAACAGAACGGACTGCCTTGCCGAGTTATCTGACCTCTAAGAAGATGTTAGTAGAAGTCCAGGTACTGTGTCATATAATTGCACACACCCTTCACATGTCCTGTGTAACTGGTGTAACTGTGGTGTAACTGTGGTGGCAGGTGGTGGAGGAGCCCTCTAGCAGGAACAAGCAGGTGGTGGGGGGGAAGCAGAAGAAGAGAAAGAGGGTCAAGAAGGAAGTGGTGAAGCCCCCTCGCAAAAAGAAAGGTACACCATATAAGAGCACATATAATATCAAACGTTACGAAAGACAGTTTTAATATTAATCGAGGAATAACACATTCTTTGTGTGCGTAAAGATCTAAACGGAAGTTAACTCTAATTAGACACAAGGAAACATTCGATTCAAAATAAGTTCAGACTAATAGTTACATTGATGGTTACTGTATTTGCTGTAACTGTAATAGCAGGGTAAGAACATGATACTTTGATTATATTAATTGGTTTGTTTATTCATCCAATAATTTCACCAAAGATGGATTGGTTTGTGAGCATAGTAAATGACTGTGATTTCTCTCCCAGAGCGCGCCAAGCGCAGTGTGGCCCATGATGCGCGCGACCATGAGGCGTTGAAGCAGATGACCCGACAGAGGGTCTACTGGTCACTCCAGGAAGACTCCCTCATGATGCTGTGTGCGGCTGCAACCCACCTGCTCAACACCAGGGTACTGCTCACTTACCGGGGGCTGACTGGAGAAACTGGACAGAGACTGGAACAGACTGGGAAGACTGGACAGGGACGGGAACAGACTGGACAGGGACAGAATGAGGGGACATGACAGGGAATAGGAGCAATTCCATTCCTCAAAAGAATATTTATAATAAGGACATTTTCAGTCACTCTAACTGACTACTACTGTAGTTACAGCTCCCCTGGGGCAGACTGACTGAAGCGACTAAGCCATCAGTTCCTCCGACCACCAACCATTCATGCAAACCAAATGCAGTTTAGGTGTCGTAAGCACGTTGTGCCGCTCCTTCTGTCTGAATGGCCCTCTAACAAGGTCTACACTAGGGGTGGGAACGTAAGGGTACCTCACGATACGATACGATACACAACACAATACAAAGCTCACGATAACGATAATATCACGATAACGATTTTATCACGATATGACGATTATTGATATATTGGTCAGAAATATACAATATGCCAATTTATGGCATAAATAAAAGAAAAATTACTCTTTATTTCATGATAAATAGAATGGAGATGCGTAATGTACCCATACATTAAGTATTGATACCAATTTTTTTTTTTTAATCGATATCATATGCATATCGATAATCGAATCGCGGGAGATAGTATCGCGATATATCATCACACCCCTAGTCTACACTAATCCTCAGATTATCATGCCATGGACAAAGCTCTTCTTAGTTTTTTTAAAACAAAAGTATTCCTAATGTTTACCAGGGCACAGAAAGTCCTTTAACAGTGGTGCCCTTGTTTGCTGCAATGTGTTGTGAACGTGGTGTGTGTTGTGTGCAGCTGAAGAGGCCCTTTGTCCCGTACTGTGTGGTCAGAGACGTCCTGCACTCAGAGTTTGACAAGTCTCGAGATAAGACGTCAGTGGCAGTGGGCCGCCGCACACGGCACATCCTCAAGAACCCCCAGACCCTGCTCAACTACAGGTGGGACAGGATGCCGCTTACTGCGTTTGTACGGTCTGCACTACACATTGGTCAACATGCTGTCAGGCTTCCTTAATGTCTTTACTCTATGTTAACATTCGTCTTAGTTCTCTTTTACAAATGGCCCAACCACTTGGGCTTACACTATTTGGGTTAATTGGACTGGGTTCACATGCGTTTTGATCATTTAATTCAACAGTGATATGAACATCCTTCCTCCCATGTAAGCACTGTTTCAATGTCTCTCTGGAATATGGGTAAGTCTACCCAGAAGCTCTAATAACATTGACTTAAGTGATGGTCATTATAACTGCTGAGGTTATAACATAATAAGGAACTGTAGTATTAGTTCCAGCTGACCCCTCTTCTGAATTTGTTATATTTCTCTGGGCTGCCGTGCAGAGTCATCTTCCAGATGACTAGCTGGAAGATGACTCTGCATTAAGGACTCGTACCTCATAGACACAGAGTTCATGAGACTTAGGAATTGTGTACTTTAAGGACATTTCAATTTGATGTGGAAAATAAAATACATTTTGTAACATGTAAAGATTATCCCTTGTTTATGTTCTAGGATCTGTCTGGCAGAGGTGGGCCAGGATAAGTCCCTCCTCAAACTTTTAGAAGAAAACCTTCCCAAGAATCCAGATAACCCTGCGGTCAGTAAACAATATGTAAACAATTTGTCCCTACTCCTCTCGTCACCACACAGTTGTTCCGGTTGCCAGACATGGGGACTCGCGAGATTAAGTCGCTATTTTTAGAGATTTGCGACTCGACTCTGACTCGTCCACTAAAGACTCAGACTTGACTCAGACTCGTTGTTTTTGGACTTGTGAACAGAGTGAGTCCTGATGCTCCAGATCCAACCTTTTCACAGGCTGGTTAGTGTGCACGCTCTATGGCTGTGCGCGCTCTTTGGTCGTGATTGCGGGTCTTGAATGTGCGGGAATGCACTCGTTGGCTCATCACTTTGTATATCAGTTGTGTCTGAGCTGTGAGTCAACGCCTAAAGCACGCAGCCTTAACGTGGTCATAATGTTCTCAGGACCATACTAGCGCACAGGACCATTCTCTGCTTGTTGTGTGCGTGTCTTTGCAGAACCTGTGCACGGAATAAATACTCTGCAATACCTCTGGAATAAACAGAGCTGGATTATAGAGCCTTGTGATAGGGCTGGGCAATAAATCGATTTTAATTATCCATCTATCCATTTTCTTCCCCTTAATCCATTTCTGGGTCGGGGGGGGGGGGGGGGGGGGGGGGGGTGGCAGTCAGAGCTGCACCCAGTACACAGAGCACTCACTGATCCTCCTGCAGGTGGTTCAGCCGGGGCTTCGGGCAAAGTGGGGTTAAGTGTCTTGCCCAAGGACACAACAACAGCAGACATCAGTGGGAGTCCTGAAGTAGGTCTCATGGTGGGCTCGAACCCACAACCTTCAGGCTCAAAGGCCAATGCTCTACCAATTGAGCCACTGTCGCCCTAGATTTTAATTATTAAGTCAAATGTAAATTTTAAGGGGATTTCGTCTTATTGAAAAGCTTTTTCAGACTTATTCTCCATACCTCCTGAAGTGCCCATGTCTCCCGTCTTGTACATTTTCCCTTGCATTAACATGTATGCAGTTTCAACAATTAAATAAAGTGCAATAGTCTACGTTACAAGAGAGTAACAAACATGTCACTAAAGTGAGGGCACAGCACCAAAACTGTTTGTTGCAGGGATGAGAATGGGACATTTCAAAAAATTCTGAAATACATTATGTCAGCCAATGGCTGTCATTAAATATGTTCGTTCACAGCATTTTACTGTTGGCACAACCAACATGAGCTCCTCTACAGCGACATTGAGAGGCAGTTGGTAGAGCATTGGCCTTTGAGCCAGAGGGTTGTGGGTTCGAGCCCGACCTTCGGCATCGACTTCCACTGTCTGCTGTCGTTGTGTCCTTGGCAAGACACTTAACCTCTGGGAACACAGCCACAGTGGGGCGGCTGCGGCTGTAAAGTGCCAAACTGCCATTGTGTCCTTAGGCAAGACACTTCACCCCCATTGCCTAGAATGAGTCTGGTGTGTGTGTGTGTGTGTGTGAATGGTTGGTGGTGGTCGGAGGGGCCGATGGCACATACTGGTTGCCTCGCTTCTGTGCCTCAGGGCAGCTGTGGCTACAGTAGTAGTTTATCACCACTGTGTATGGAGTGAAAGAATAATGACATGTAAAGAGTCTTTGAGTGTCCAGAAAAGCGCTTTATAAAACCGATGCATTATTATTATTACAGCGTGTGCTTCTGCATAACGTATAAATAACCATTAAAAAACAAACTGGGCCGAGGCAAAAATTCCGTGGCCATTTTTTGATCCCAGTCCTGCTCTGGCATGGCCTGCAGGCTGAAATATTTAAGGCTGAAAAAATTTGCTCTAAAAACAATACAATGAATTTACATATTTTAGTCCTTTTTAAATTATATTGGCCATAATTTTAATGCGTAGGAAATGAAACTTGCGGGTCCAGAGACTTGGACTTGACTTGGAATCCAGGGCTAGGGACTGGGACTTGGACTTGCGGGTCAGAGACTTGTGTGCATTTTCATCCTCCCTCTCTAGGGAGGTATTGGTTTTTAAGTCGTTTTAAAATTTACAAATTATTGAGGTAATGTAGTGTTACACTACTTAGTGATTAACCAGAGCCCACATGTGTGTAATCTACTCTCAGTATAATTAGCTCTTCTCTGAGGGCATCAGAGCTATGGTCAGAGTGTATTTGGTGTTGAAATAAAGCTACAAGAAGAAAAGTAGGGACATCCAGCATGTGGGAGAAGGGGCTGTAGTCAAATGAGACTGGATGGAGCCACAACAATATACTTGAGCCTGGGGTTATTGTTTTCCTTCCACCACGCCCATTTTCTTAAACATATTTTTGTTGCTTTGAAAGTAGATAATATTTATTGAGCGTGTTTTCCGTTTTGAATTTCAAACTGAAATTATTCAAATATTGGGTTTATTTATTTATTCTTGTATAGCCCTAAATTACTACAGCACTAATCTCAGAGGACTTAAAACCATTGAAATCACCAACACAGATCAGAGAATCTTTAGGCGCCAGAGTTTTTTCAAGAAAATATACAATTTTGATTTCAAGATTTCAAAAGCCTATAACTTTAAAATGGTTTGAGATAAAGGCATACTGTAAATTAGAAATATCTTCAGTCTGAACCAAACTTTGGGATGGAAGTTGATTCGTCATCTAATTTGCATATTGTGACGTCATCAAGGTGGCGGCCATTTTGGAAAATGTTAATTATTGTATAAAGACTTCAAAAAGCTGTAGTTTGGGAGTTTTTTGAGATCAGGGAATACTATAAACAGTCAATGTGAAATATCTTTAGTATGAAATGAATTTGGGATAGAAAAAATTCCCTGATCCAGATTATAGATAATGTTTTAGCACTGGTTCGCGCCATATGGAATTGTATTATTTTCAAAGACCTTGAGTGATCAAGACAGCACTCTTCATAGTTTACAGTCATGAAATCTGGAGATTGGTTTCAATATTTCCCTTTCAGAGAAGTAGTGGGCTTACTATTTTTCTCAGTGGAAATGTGGCTCAAGAATTTACCGTTTACAAACAGAGAGATGAAATGAATGGGCTCAGAACTTGTCAGATTGTCTCAACAACATACAACAGGCTCTTCAACACTTCTGATCCACTTTTGTGGATTATTTTCTCTCAAGAACTGCCTTGATCCTCATCATCGCTGTTGGTAAAGGCAGTGAACACAAAAAGCGATGTGTTTTTTTCCCGCGGCTCCCCCGCGACTTGTCCCGCGTCTCCCGTGTTCCCCTTGAATGTTTATCCCCGCTACTTTCTCCCACATGCCTGGTGTTATGATGCCCCTGTCCCCTCCACCACGGCCCCTGCTTGGCGTTCACAGAATGCTTCTACCGCGGCCACACGGAGGACAAGCAGCCGCTGTACAGGGGCTGATTGTGGACTCTATGGCGCGGTCTCCCCGTCACCAATAATGTCTGTGTCTGCTTCACTGGACACCTGCGTGTCTTCCTCCTCTGAATCTGAGTGAGCCAGTACCAGACCAAGTACTTCTCTGGTACTGAAGACCTCGTGAGTAAAATAAAAAACCCTCTCTCCCTCTGCTCTGCTCTTGCTCCTCTCAGCTCTACCGCTGCTGCTTCGCCTCCGCACCGCTGCGCCGCAGGTGTTTTACAAACTCAATTTACTCAAAAACTTTCAATATAACCACACCCACAAATGCTGCTCATATTACAGGCACACATGTCCACTAACCCCTGGTGAAAAGTATTAACAAGATTCTGCACCACATTTTTAGATACAGCCTGTTTAAGTGAGCAATGTTGCTTGTTGCAATATTGCGACTTTGGCGCTTAAAGGGTTAAGACACAAAAAATACACATGTATTGGTCCATAGGGAGAGACCAATGTCCATGAATGTTGATAAATGTCCATACATGTTGTAGAATGTTAAAGTAAACTAAAGTAGATTTAAAAGCTCAAAGGTTCTATACTGGAAATGCCTTTGTTCATTTATTTTCTTGTTCTAAGGTTTAGTTGAAATTATATCTCAGTTCAGTCTGGAACACGTTTTGAACGTTAGCAAAACGTGGGGGCAACATGCTGCCAGTCACTGCAGCGTTACTCATGGTTTGATGTTGCACTCCTTATACCCCTCTGTGTTTTGCAGGCATGCGCGGAGGCTTTCTCAGAGTACGTGAGGCTGCTTCGGCAAAAGTTCAGTTCCACCGAAGACCCAAGAGACTTGCAAATTCCTGACAGCAAGGAGCAGCTCTTCGCCTGGTAACACAAATACATACATACACACACACACACACACACACACTTTGACCGCAGCTTTTCATTTGCCTCATTTCAAATGCATGCAATTAAAGAAGCGATACCCAATTTTTTGTTTTTTTTATGAGTTTATAAAAATGCGTATTACTACATTCAAGTTGTATTAAACTCCATGATTTAATTAAAAACTTGAGCTCATTGATTCAGCTTGTGTATGAATTCAGGCCGTAAAAAGTGCTGAGTTGAGACTCAGCGTGACACTCGCTCTCCTCCAATCACAGAACGAGGAGCGGCGCTGATACAAAGAGGCTGTGTCCTCTAGCGTCTACAGCGCTGCTAAACACAGTAGCATGTTAGCAGAATTGGCTATAACTCCTCTGGCTGTAACTGCAGACACAGCAAAACAGCCCAAATGACACAACAGTGAGGAAGAGAAGAGGGAACTAAAGTGAAAAAATGATCAAAGAAGAAATCAAGCCAGGGTGAATGTAGCTAGCTAACATTGTATCCTCTGGAGAGACCTGCGGGTGCGGACCGCCTTGGTCTACATTTGGACGCAAAACTAGCTGTAATCGTTCAGTTATATATTTTATTAGCAGTGCAGTGCTTTTGTACCATTTCATCAGTGATTGTTGCACAGCTTACAAGAAGTTGTGCTCATGTTTACATATGTATCAGATCGCAAATAAAACTAGATGGCTCCGTGGGATGAGAGCGTAGGGGAAATGAGAAGCAGTGCTAAACATTCAAACCTTGCAGAAACGGGAATAGCTCCTTTAAGATATTTTGCACATTTGCAATTGATTATTCCTAAAATGGCTCTAATTTCTTAAATGTTCCTTTGACATTAGACTGGAATATTAACTTTTATTTCACATTGCGCAAACTACGAATCTGAAGTTTCTTGTTGTTTGGTACAGGTTTAAAATCAGTGCAATCGAAGGAGTGGGACGCCTGAGCGACACAGACACACTCAACTGGTGAGTGCAGCGTCAACATGGAGTATTTACAGTTTACAGTCTGCTTCAGAAGCCTCTGTCTTCACAGCACTGAGGATATCCATGCTATTGTGCTCCACAACCTGATCCAGAGCACCCTGGCCATGACCAACTCCCAGATGAAGAGCTCCCGCTCCTTCCAGGTACACGCTCTGCTCCAGGCTTCAGGAGAGCAACACAAGACGCACTTTGGCGCTAGAAAACAACTATTCTTTCTTACCTTATTTGGGTTCTTTTGATTAATCCATTGTAGACAAATAAAGTCTTATCTTATAGTCAGAGAAATTGTATGTGAAAGACGAGAAAAAAATTCTACAAAGTCAACACTTTGTGGAATTGCTGCAATTACTGTTGGGGTATAACTCTACCAGCTTTACCCATCTTGAAACTGAAAGTTTTCCCATTATTATTTGCAAAAAAGCTCAGTTTTCAGTTCTTTATATAGATTCTCTAATGGAATTGGGTCTGGGCTCTGACCTGGCTGTTCTAACAGATATTTTTTGGTTTTCAACCATTCCATTGTTGCCCTGGTGTCATGTTTAGGGTGATTCTGGAAGGTTTCTCCACACATTCTCCTATCAACTCTCACCAGCTTTTCTGTTCCTGGTCAAGTGAAGCACCCCCAGAGCATGATACTGCCACCTCCACCACCATGTTTGATAGTGGGGATGGGGATTTCAGGGTGATGTGCAGTGTTTCCTATACTCCAAACACAGAAATTATTCGGTGACCACAACTGCGCAAGTATAAGATAAGAGATGAACCTCTCCTTGTCACCGTAGTTGTTGGGCATAGAAGGTGAACATTATAACAATAGCTCACAGTAACCATGGGCCTCATGTCTGAATCTTTAATCAGTAGCCCAGTCTTTGTAGACTTGCTTGTTGCGCCTTACTCTTTTCATTCCCAGATTTGTAAATGTAATATCGGATTTCCGTGGACTTGATGATGCTGTGTGCTCGCCAATATTTCCAAAGATTATATTACACACAGGTGGACTCTTTCAACAAGAGGAAAGGGGGGATACTAATGCACACTTTTCAGTTTTTTCTTTTTAATGTTGTTTTATTTCATTAGACAAACATTTCATGTGTGTCTTTCACATACTATTTCCATTGCATATATTTGTTTGTGACCTAGCATGGCAAAATGTCAGAACGTTGAATGGTGTGGATACTTATGCACTGCAGCACACTCTTATGTCCACCCCTCTGTCCCGTCTGTGTCCCTGCAGACCTTCCATGTGTACAGCTGCTACAGCCAGGAGTTGCTCTGCCAAGTATTTGTCCAATGTAGGAAGAGAGGCCTGGTGAACCGCCGCAGGATCAACTGTGGCATCGGACCAAAGAAGAACCGCGCCCTGCCCATCTTGCCCATGTCTTACCAGCTGTCCCTCTCCTACTACAGGTGCCACCCACACAAACATGGCATTCCAACTGTCTCACCCCTACTACAGGTACCCCCCCCCATTTGTGTGACATACCAGCTGTCCTACTCCTACCAAAGGTGTCCCCACACAAAAATGGTACGTTCCAGCTGTCTCACTCCTACTATAGGTGCACACACCTCATCCCAGCTGTCCCGTTTGTTCTGCAAGTCTTTTAAAATATGCCCCATTATGAATTACACTCTTACCCATGCAAATCAACACATTATCTAAAATCTTTTCTCTCAAACTCAGTGATGCTGAATTTGTCTATTAATTCTTACTTATTATACGGCTCCTCACAGCAGCAGTAGAATGCTCCATTGATTTGAATGTAATTTCAAAACGTTCTACCGGTCATTATTTTCTATAACGGACCTCTCAAAACAATAATGACCGCTGCCCATGGCAACGCTCTCTCTGCTTGTCTTTCAAATGCGTGGATAACTCCGCAAGTAGTTCCGGCCACTCCGGAGCTAGCCACGCTCAATCAACACACTTAAATGTTAATCGGAGAATACTTATACATATACATTCTTCACACACGTGCACGGAAGTTTTCAGAATTTTCCGTTTACGTTTTCATGACAAAAACACTGATGTAATGCGAGAAAAGGCGATCCCGAAAAACCCGGAAGTAGATACCGGCACATTTTAAGATACCGGCACATTTTCGGACACATTTGCAGAGGATCGAATTATGGATTTAGGTTAGGTTTATGTATGGGTCACTCACCGCTGATGTTCAGAATTCTTTGTTCAGTTTTCATGCAGTTCCAGAGAGTTCTAGTTTGGAAGTTGCCAGCCTAACTGTTGCTAGCATAGCCACAATTGTCAAAGCCACACTGCCTGCCCGCGGTTGTCGAGCAACGGGAAAACTTTTTGGGACTACTTTATTTGTTGTCATTAAATAAACTTTTGGCATTCATAAAAGTGATCTGAAGTTTTATTTTGTGTGTTAAGTTGGTACAAAGCAGTATAATAAGCGGGATAATGTATAGCATACAGGTCATTATCGGAAAATAAGTACCGACAGGGCGAAGCGGGTAGAAGAGAAGAGAATGAATGAATGCCCAAAATACCAAGTACGTGTCAGGATTTAGCAGACAGAGACGGATCGTGGCGTGCCAAACTCTGGAAGTTTATTTAAGTTTCTCTCAAGTTCCACTGGTTTACTCTGTTTCTTTCTCTCAGACAGAATAAAGGCAGTACACAGTTTATATAGTCATTGTCACGTCACACATGGAAAGACGTACGTGTCACACAGAGACAGTCAAATCATAGTCATAACATGGAGTCCTTGTAGAGTCCTGCACGTAGGCCATATTGCTATCTAATACTAACATACGCTATGAAAAGAGCTGTGTGACCATTGGATCTTTGCACAGCTTTAAACCTGGTTCTGGTTTGGCAGGTGTTTTTCCTGGCGCTTTCCTCAAGTCCTTTGCACGGACTCTTTCCGCTTTGTCCGGGACCTCCTGAGCCTGCCCCGAGGGGATCACCACCCAGTCACATACTTCCATCAGGAGACGGAGAACCGGGCCCCAGATGGAGAACTTCTGGAGCGCAAACCGAGCATCGAGGACCAGAGTGGTACATCTGAAGCAGAAGGCATCTTGTCTGAACCTGATGTGAGCGACATGATGCACTTCTCCCTGGAGCTCCCAGGGGGCGCCTGTGCTGCTGCCCTCAGCCTCCTCTCCCTGGGGCTCCTGTCCGTCCACCTGTCCATCCCCAAGCAGATGGTGGTAGTGGACAGCACCCTGGTGGACTCAGACACCGTCAAAAGGTATTTACAGGCTCACTTCTCTATATTGACATTTTAGATTTGACATTGTACTTAATAATAATGATGATGCAACGACTATATTGCCTGATCTTTACAGCTGTTGTCGTGAAGAAGCAGTTGTTTACAGTAACTGCGCACGCAATGATTTAAAGCTCAGTTACGGTAAACATTCAGAGCGGTGTTCATTTGGCGACCAGTTAAAACAGTCAAAAGTGTGGCCGTTGTTATTTATTAGAAAATGAAGACGGTACAAAAGCAACATGAAAAAGATGCAGCATGTTGTTTGGGAGAGGTGGGAGCAGCACAGCTACATTTAACACAAAATACACAAACACTAGTCTGATTCTACATTTGAGACTAAACATGAAATGGAGCATAAAAGTTTGACTACGGGTATTTGGAGGCGTTGCGGTGGTCCCATACAGCAGACTGCGTTTAGCACTCTGAATCTAATGTGAATATTTGATAGCTTTATAACTTTATAACTTGTTACTGTACCAAACAAGAGTCTTTCATTTGCCTGAAAGAATAAACCGAGGCTAATTAACTTCTTTGATTTTTCATGACAGCAATTAGCCACCTTGCCATACATATCAATGTATTCAGTCTTGTAAAATGTTGAGTTTTATAATTTTATAATATATAATAGTAAAAAGCATTGGATTGGGACTCAAAATCGGATTCGATTTGAAGTTTAACTATCGGATCGGGATCATAGTGATCCGGACCCCTAGTTTTTGTTCCAGCCGCGGAACACTGGATCAACCCTATACGCTTTATCCGATACGCGAGGGATCATGGTAGTTTGCCCAACCTGTCCACATGTGCTTTGCAGTTTTGTTCACTGTCTGTATGGACAGAATTTCTAGGTGCAGCCAGGGGCCAGAGGGGCTCCGGTTTGGAGACCACAGGATTTCTTCTTACCTTTTTGCAATTGATGTTGTCTTGTTGGCTCCAACAAACCAGGACCTGCACTGGGACGGTTTGCAGCCGAGTGTGAAGTGCGAATCAGCACCTCCAAATCTGAGGATAGGGCGCTCCCTAAGAGATAGGGAGTAGATCTGCTGCTTCTCCACGTCGAGAGGAACCAGTTGAGGTGGCTCAAGCTCAGACTGTTCGAGATGCCTCCTGGATGCCCAGGACAGGACACATTTGAGGGACTATATTGGCTTCGGAACATCTCGGGATTTCCCACATGAGCTGTAGATGTGTGTGGATAGGGAAGTGTCTGGGCGTTTCCGCTAAGATTGATGCCCTCGCGACCCGCCAACAAATAAAGCAAAAGAAAAATTTACAGATGGATGACTGCAAACAGGAGGCCTGAGCTGGCCCTCTTGGTGCGACTGGAAATGATGTACAGTGGGGCAAAAAAGTATTTAGTCAGCCACCGATTGTGCAAGTTCTCCCACTTAAAATAATGACAGAGGTCTGTAATTTTCATCATAGGTACACTTCAACTGTGAGAAACAGAATGTGAAAAAAATATCCAGGAATTCACATTGTAGGATTTTTAAAGAATTTATATGTAAATTATGGTGGAAAATAAGTATTTGGTCAATAACAGAAATTCAACTTGATGGAAGGAGGTTTTGGCTCAAAATCTCACGATACATGGCCCCATTCATTCTTTCCACGGATCAGTCCCCTTAGCAGAAAAACAGCCCCAAAGCATGATGTTTCCACCCCCATGCTTCACAGTGTGCAACTCAGTATTCTTCTTCCTCCAAACACAACGAGTTGAGTGTTTGGAGGAAGTGGAGGAGTGTGGTTCTGGGATTTTTGATCACCGTTCTCATGATCATTTTGACCCCATGGGATGAGATCTTGCGTGCTCCAGATCGAGGGAGATTATCAGTGGTTAAAATATCGTTTTGGGTTACATTTGGGCTATCTTTTATACAGATAACGAGTTCAAACAGGTGCCATTAATACAGGTAACGAGTGGAGGACAGAAGAGCTTCTTAAAGAAGAAGTTACAGGTCTGTGAGAGCCAGAGATCTTCCTTGTTTGAAGTGACCAAATACTTAATACTTATACTTATTTTTTTTCACATTCTGTCTCACAGTTGAAGTGTACCTATGATGAAAATTTCAGACCTCTGTCATTATTTTAAGTGGGAGAACTTGCACAATCGGTGGCTGACTAAATACTTTTTTGCCCCACTGTATATTCAGTTTTTTTCATGAATGCAGATAGTGTAAAAATTGATCTGATTTTTCTTTGTAGCACTCTGGAAGATGAGGAGGAAGAGGACGACGAGGCAGAGGAGACCAAGAAGAGTGAGGTTAAAGTTCAAAAGGCCTCGCACACGAAGTACCTGATGATGAAGGGCTACTGCGCCCCGGGAATAGGTCAGCAAGCACATACGAGTACACACACCCACACGCCAGGGGTTGAACAACCACAACATTGATTTCATATGGATACTTGTCGAGTGGTATGACGTCATTCCATGAAGGGATTTCCCCAAATGAGCTGTAAAGCGCTTTGTGACTGTTCTGTGAATGGCGCAATATAAATAAAGATGACTTACTTACTTACATGCCCTGCATGTCAGAGATCTCCCCAGAGTATCTCAATGACTTGCTCTAAAGTCTAACATGTCTAAAATCTAAATCTATTTGAAGGTACGCAGTTGGAATTCCTCCAGTCAAATAGCCTTCTTTACAATTCAAAACCAAGCTGAAGAAGATGTATTGTTTGGTCTGACTCCTTCTGTATGTGTTGTCTTCCAGTGAAGCTGCGTAACCTCAACACCAACGACAACATTGTAGTGGAGTCCTGCGTGATCAAAGTGCAGCTGCGGGAGCGGCCCGCCCACGCCCTCTTTAGCATGGACTGTAAGCAGCACAAACCACACCTCACAATCTTAACAGCTTTACCCCAGTTTGTAGGCTTATATGTTTCCTGCCTGAAAGCATAATATTTGTTGTTGTAATGTTGTATCCCAGCGGAGCCTGCTCTGGACCTGAGTGTGTGCGGGCCATCCCTCCTGCCCTCTGGCCTGTCCCTGTGCCTCCCCACCCCTCCTGTGAGCTTAGAGGAGTGCTTGTCCCGCCTCCAGGAGCAAGGCTACAGTGCAGAGGACCTGCAGGCGTGCACTGTGCTGTGGCACGCTCTGGAGCGGGCTGGGGAGAGGGGCCTGAGCCTGGGAGAGTTTCCTCAGAGACTGGAAGAGCTGAAGTTGGCTCGTCCCCCTCGCACCAGGACCCTGCACCAGTACACACAGGTAACGGGACAAATACATGCCCATCCACAACGAGTGGGCAATATCTCAACATTCACAATTATTGAAATTAATTTTAACATATTGTATGTATTGATATAATGTTTATATTTCATTTTCGTTGCTTTGCTTGTTTGCTGATCTCTGTGCAGATACTCTCAGTAGTATCTGCTTTACTTAAAGTGGAAACGCAGTAGAAATGTTTTCAGCAGGGGTTTTTAAATGTACCAAATAACTTTAATATCCCTGTGTTCAGGATTTGCAGCAGCAGGGCGAGGTGGTGTTGGTAGGTGCACAGGGCGCTCGCTGGGTTCTCCGCAGACATGCTCAGCCCTGGCTCATCACACTCCACACTGCCCAGTGGACCAAGGCCATGGTCGAGGAGAACAGCCTCAGCACGCGCAAGTACCTCCCCCCAAACACAAGGAAGAGACGTAGGGGCGCACAGGAAGAGAGCAGCACGAAACGCATGGCCTTGGACACGTGTGAGCAGAGAGAAGGAAACGCAGCAGACGACACGAGCCATGAAGCCATGGTATGTCCTGTCTGTCCGGAAAACCTTAGACGATCATAGATGATCATAGGTAATCATAGGAGATCATAGGAGATATTTGATGATCTTTGATGATCATAGCACCTGCGAATGTATAATGCCAATCTCTCATTGTATCCTTAGGTTATGCACCTCCCCTACTGGGTAAATTATTGAAACTCTGTTATTCATTGATGCACACTGTTACAACCAAACAAACAAACAAATAAAAATAACAAATATTGATACTTAACTACTTAATTGGTAACTTTTAACACTACTCTACTTTCTTTATATATCGTACATGAACACGTTCTGGATGGTGTCTTGGGTGTTAAGTAGTTAGCACTCGTACCTCACAGTCTGCTTCGAAACATGCACATGGTTCAATCTTCCAGGTGAGGTCGTGACTGAGACAGTCCTCACTAACCACAGCTGTGGCAGGCTGCCACACTGGCAATCAGGGATGGCTCAAATGCATGAGGACGAATCTAATCTTAACAAAATATTAGTTGTACACACAATCAAATTAAAAAGAGGGAACTGAAGAGTTTTGAAAATATTGGGAAAACTATGACATCACTAAATAGAATGTTATTAGAGACTTTCGTGGGGACGCATAGGACAAACGGGATGGGAAGCATATTTTTGGGATACAGATTGTGGTTGTATAGTTTGTAAGATTTGTCGTTGTCATTTTCACCTACAGGGTAACATGGGAGTAGAGGACAGAAGTCTACAAGCAGAAGAGAAGCAGCGACCCACAAGCCCACAGCCAGTGAGCAGTGACCACAAAGGAGCAGAGGAAGGGGCAGGTAACCACTCAGATCACTTTACCTTATACAGTTTATTTGTTAGGCTTCTTTCAAATTCACAGTGGGGCAAAAAGGCATTTGACAATCTACCAGTTGTGCAAGTTGCCTCATTTTAAAAAACAGTCCTTGATTTTCATCTTAGATACACTTTTGCACAATAAAACATTTTAATTGTATAATGGTGGAGATTTTCTTCCCCTTAATCCATTTCTGGGTCAGGGGGGTGGCCAGAGCTGCACCCAATTCACAGAGCACCAGCCCCTCACTGATCCTCCTTCAGGTGGTGAGTCCACTGGAGCCTTGATCTTTCAGCTGGGGCTAAGTGACTTATCTCATTGCACTCCTATTGGCTTAATTCAAGCAGTCATCGGTCATCATGAGTGAAATACACAAGACTGTCCTGTAATCCATTCATCACCTCATCCCCTGCGACCCTTCAATAGATTGCTTTGTTTTAATATAGATCTATATCTGTCAGAATGTAAGCTCCCATTCCCGCCGCTAGATGGGAGTGCTGCTCATTGTAGTCATCTCTTTTTGAATTTTTTCACATTCTAACACCGTAAATGCTTGAATATTACTAAAACAACATAAGTCTAAAAATGAACCTATAATGCATCCTAAAGTCCCTTTAAAGTTTGGGACTGACCTGAGCTTGAAACACAGTTCTTTTTTATATCATTTAACTAAGAACATTATTCATTCTGTCCAGCTCGAGCAGAAGAGGACAGAGGTGTACCACATGAAGAGGAGCAGAGGCAGAAGACTGATTCTCCAATGTAAGTATGAAGCCCTGATCTTTTATACATACAATACAACAATGCAACTATTACAACACATGGGAGACATAATTATATGTTTACTCTTTTTGAAAACTCAATGTGGATCTTAGACAGCATTATACAGGGAGAAAGTTTGCACATTTCTGTATTGAATCCTACCATGTCTCTGCATCAGCAGACACATACTGACATCAAAGCCCCTGTGGACTTTGCTCAAGTACTCTTACTGCTAATTTACACACCAGGCGTTACAGGACATAGGTGTTGTACGCGCCGCAGAAGCGCATAAAATTTTTCCATGTTAACCTGTGATAATATTTACCCTACTAGTATTATACGCGCGTACGACGGACGTATGACACGAAGCTGCGCCTAAATTAGGATGAAACGGCTCTGGTGGAGCATGGCGGAACTACAAGGGTCTGGCGAGAGCCAGGCTAATGCTGCTTTCAGACCGCCAACGCTGGAACGCTGAAGCCTCGCTCACCAGACTCACATTCTCTAGTTTTCAGACGAGGGGTCTTCAGACCAGAAGTCCTGGTGAGCACCGGAAGTGGCTGAAGGAGCCGGCGGGCTTCGATGCTAACAGAGTTAAGCTAGCGACTTCTTGTGGTTAGTTCTTCTCCAATAATGCAGCTTTGCAGCGTGTCTGTGTCCAAAGACCTTCCACAGACTTTATATAACAGTAGTATGTGTTCACGAAGGTGCGCAATAAGTTTATTTTATTATTAAGCGGTACTTCCGAATCGGCGAACACACTCGAAGCAGTTGCATAAAGTCACGGAGCATGAAAACTCACATGTTAACAAGCACTATGTCCCCCATTGTCAACCCTGGTTTAGTCCTGATCTACCTCCTGTTTTGGCTGTCCACGAGTCATTTCAGTCTGCTCACTCAGTCCGCTTCTGTCCCCGTGTCCACTTTGCGGGTCTCTGATTGGGCGCTGCAAAACGTCCCGAGAAAAGGTTGAGCAAAGTTTATCTCCTGGATGTGTCGATTTTCAGCTCCTGCTCCTCCCCTTTGACTTTGCCGCGCAGTCCGTGCGTCTCTACTGAGCAGTCCGTGTGTGTATTCCGAGACGCTTGTGCGTTTGGACGCTCAAACGCGTGTCACCATTGATTTTGCATTGAAAGCCAACGCAACGCATGATCCGGTCTGAATGCAGCATAAAGAATACCATGAATTTACAGAAACAGCAATGAAATGACAATAAAAGGAACAACTGATCATGATTATCATACATGAACATGGTGGAAATCTACTGGCAAATTATTGACTATACAATGTGTAGCTTCATAAGACAACATTTTAATCATAAACTTATCATTTGCAAATAATACATCCGTAGTTATAGTATAGTATAATAGTTTATTTAAAAAATGCTTTTCCATACAAAAATTCCAATTGAAGGAACAATCCATAAATTATTGCTTCAGTTTAGTTGAGGGGACACAATCATTATGAAATCATGAGGATTAGCAAATGATAATTTCATGACTGCCGAAAATGTTGTCCAATAAAGTTACACATTCTGTCATCCATAATTTGCAAGTAGATTTCTTCATCTTTGGCTATCGTTTCATTTTAACCTTTTTTTAAGGTATTTATGAAGATATTTTTGACAAATCATTGTATTATTGATGATGGGATATTATTTCAGTAGGGGGCGACAGTGGCTCAGTTGGTAGAGCATATACCTTTGAGCCTGAAGGTTGTGGGTTCAAGCCCATTACAAGACCCTCTCCTCTGATTCTCACTGATGTCTGCTATCATTGTGTCCTTGGGCAAGGCACTTGACCCCACCTCACCTGAAGTCACTGTTGAAAGATCACTGATGGTTTCAGCCATCTTTTTTTGTTTTGCCTGGATTTTTACCAAGGTTGAATATTGTAGACTGATTTATAGATAAATGTCCATCCATCCATCTTCTTCCCCTCCGTTTCTGTTAAGGGGGTGGGGTTTTGATAAGAATTTAAATCGAGCCACATGTGGCCCTCGGCACGCTGTTTACCCATGACTGGTTTATATCATATGTTGGTTTCACATTTTAAGTTGTAATACAGAAATAGATGTACTGTGGTTCCATATTCTATTTTATCAAGTTTCCCCTGTATATCACTAACATAAATGATTGGATGTTGGTTGTGTTGTGATTGGAAGTGTAAGAGAATTGTTTTGTGTGCAGAGCGTGTCCAGGGGAAAGCGTGAGCTTCGTGGTCAGGCCCTGGAGGATGGTGGACGGCAAACTGAACCGCGTAGTGTGCAAGGGCATGCTGGAGGCACTGCTACACCACATCATGTCTGTGCCGGGGACCACAGAGGAGAAACTGCTGCAGCATTACAGAGCTGTGCTGCAGCCCCTGGTCACGCTGGAGCTACTGCAGGTATGTACGCTGCATGTGGCCACGTACAGCGGATCCTGCGGAGACGAGGCCACTGGATGCATCTAAGAGCACAATGGAAATCCATGCTCAGATTAGAAATGTATATATGTACAGTACAGACCAAAAGTTTGGACACACTGTCTCATTCAAGGAGTTTTCTTTTATTTCATTATTGTGAAAATTGTAGATTCACACTGAAGGCATCAAAACTATGAATTAACTCATGTGGAATTATGTACGTACAAAAAAAAAAGTATGAAACAACTGAAAATATTATATTATATTCTCAGTTCTTCGAAGTAGCACCTTTTTGCTCTGATTACTGCTATGCACACTTTTGGCATTCTCTTGATGAGCTTCAAGAGGTAGTGACCTGAAATAGTCTTCAACAGTCTTGAAGGAGTTCCCAGAGATGCTTAGCACTTGTTGGCCCTTTTGACTTCACTCTGTGGTCCAGCTCACCCCAAAACCATCTGGATTGGGTTCAGGTCCGGTGACTGTGGAGGCCAAGTCATCTGGCCCGGCACCCACCACTCTCCTTATTGGTCAAATAGTCCTTACTTATTTTTTGTAAATCACCCAATATTTAGTATTGTGTGATTTTACATTGGCCAAAAGAAACATTTACAATTACAGGTTTGGAAAAAAATGCTGAATAGAATCTGTATTTATAGTGTCTTCCATGTTCTTCATCTCCGACAGCCCGAGACTCATCTGGTACTTTTGTAATGTCTTTGCAGGCACTGATAGAGTTGGGCTGCGTGACGAGAAAGACTGTGGCGAGACGTGCCAAAGCCTCTCTGTTCTCTGACTCCTCCCCCTCTGCCCTGAGCTCCACCCCCTCGCCCCTTGGCATGTGCGTGTACTATGAGCCTACTGTCAGCTGCGTGCTCCGCCTCAGCCAGGTCCTGCCCCATGAACGCCACTGGAACTCTGGCGTGCCCTGACACCATGGACAAAAATATCCTTCCAAAATAGGATATGAAGTGACAACATTATAAAGCCAAAGAAAGAATGGGTTTTAAGTGCAAAAAATAAAATGTACCAATGTCTTTGAAGTGCTGATGATGAGCCGTACCCCAGTTTTAACGTCAAAATTGCAAAAAAGGACCAGACGATATGTTCTAAACGATGTTCCAAACGTCTTTCCAGTCTGCTGAATCAAGGTTGTAGTGTAACGGTGTTGTGCCCGAAGAAATTCAATTATCGGGTCGAAGTAACTCCAAAAAAATCATGCATTGAAATGGAAATCATTTACATTAATCACATCTGGCATTTGTTAAAATGCACATGTTGACTTCAATGCATTCCATTTCAATTCATGCTTTTTTTTTTGTGAATTAATTTGAGTTTTGGACTTTAAATGCAAAAAATAAACGTTGTTCAGTTTCTATATTTTTTATTATAATGGCCCACAATGTTATCCCATCAAACAAGGCAGTTTTACATAATCATTCAAACCCATAATTTTACTTCAATCAACATGTTGCCCTTTCAAAAAACAAAAAGCCACCAGGCCCTTCTGAATAATGTTGTAGCTATGAAAGTATGTGAATGAATACACGCTCTGATGACTGAGGAGTGGAATGTGTTGTTTTGTAAATAAATAAATACATTTTATTTCTTGTAGCATGTGGTTTATTCATATCTCATGCTCTAGTCTTGTGTTTAAGGGAGTACAAATCCCCAAGGTCTCTTCTTTCTCACACACTGAAGACATGTGTGACACTGTTTTTATTTGGTTGGGAGTCGGGACAGTACATGTTCATGAACACATCACTCTGGATTGTAGCCCTGGGATAATTTGCAGCCGTTGTCCCACATTTGCACAAACAAATACTCCTTCACCCTGAACTATTGGACATGTTTTTAGTGATAGGGGAAACCGAAGTGCCCGGAAGAAACCTACGCAGACACAAGAGAATGCAAACTCCACTAAGAAAATCCCTGTTCCGATCGGGATTGGAACCCAGAACCTCGCAGCCTTGTCTTTTTTCTGAGATGTTTACACAGCGTTAACATGCTGGACATATTTAGCTGTAATTAACACCTAATAAAAGCAAAGTTTTTATTACAACTCTTTTAACACATTGAAAATTCTAATATTTTTAGAACAAACAAAAAATGTATGCTCCAAAAATGTAAAGGGTTCTTCCATAGTAACTGATGCCACAGTATACTTTTACAGCTTACACACACACCTGCGCCACAGTTTGGAAACCATGGCTCTAAATCTGCAACATTCAAAAATCAAGATTATGTGAAGTTTTTCTCTTAAATAAAATTTTGTGAATCTGCCACAGGGAAGAAGTCATTTGAAGCAGTGCTGTCAGTGACACATTTGAAGGGCCCAAAAAACAGGAAAGGAAAATGTTTAGGTCAGACTGGACAGAGTGTGCTGCTGCTGAGATGTATGTTAGGAGAGAAAGTAATATATTTATTTTAAATTACATACATATTTTACGTACATATCATATTTTATCTTTTATGGAAAAAGATAAAAATTGTTGATCAAGGCCCTCATTTGGGTTGTCAGTTTCTTGGCGATCATTTCTTTCCGTCTACAAAAAGAAAAAAAGCACCACACAAAAATAAGTATCATAAGCAACCCACAAACTTTGTATAATTTCTATCTAAACCCCAGCAGATGGATTGCATCAGTAATCAGTGACCTTCATATGTTACATGTTACAATAAAAGCGATTGTAATTCTAATGACTTTGCACTTAGTGAATCTTACACATGCCCTTTTAATCAGAAAAAATCCCATTAACATATTTGGCCAAAAGTGTACATCCTTGTTCTTCACACACAGATCCAATCATTCGCCACTTCCACTTTGGTTTGGCCTGAGGGGGTACATGAAGTGGGCCCTTGAAACTCATTTGGTCCCTAAAAACAAGAGCTGCTTTGCTGAGGGCCGCACTTGTCCCGGGGCCGTGGTTTGGACAGGCCTGGCTTAGTGCATAAACGGCTTGTGGGTAATGGGATTAGGCAGAGGGATCGTGAGTGCCTTCAGCCGCGCTCCCCGTCACTCCAGCGGCTACTCACACGGGACACTTCCCTCAGGACCATGAGCTCGGGACGGGGCATAGACTACAGCGCCTGGGACCACATCTACGTGTCTGATGATGAGGACGTCAGCAGCCCCTTTGTGGACACCGCAAGCCTGTACCGCATGAGACACAGGGTCAGGGTCACACACACACACAGGTCCTGTAGTTTTGGCCGTTGATGACTCATTTACTCGAATTGCAACCTCTATACCTGGTGTCTGGGTTGGCTACTATAGTCTATCAGGTCTGAGCAATCTTCATACTGTGACTGTTTTCAGGTCAAACATGATCCAGATTCTTCCCATAATGTTCTGTTTGACTGGAAATAAGAAGCAGATAGCTTGTGCTTTACGGAAACAAGGTCCTGGGTTCAGAAAGGGACTTTCTGTGTGGAGTTTTCATGTTCTCCCTGCGTCAACATAGCTTTCCCCTGACACTAAAAACATGTACAACAGTTTCAGAGTGGATTCAGTGGTAGGGGAATTGGTGAGTGTGACTGTGAAACTACAAATGGAAATCAGCCCAAGGTACAGTCTATTTATTTCACGGCTGACAACTTTTTCCTCTTACTCCTTCTTTAGACACGTCTCGAGAGGACATCCGAGCTCGAGCAGCGCGAGAAGGACCTGCGGAGGAACATGTCCGAATGCAAGAGGCGAATCAACCAGGCCCAGGACAGGCTGAAGGAGCTGGGAGACGAGAGCCAGGTCCAGGATAGACTGAAGGAACTGGGAGACGAGAGCCAGGACCAGGGCAGGTTGGGAGAGCTGGGGGACAGTAGGGCGAACTCATCCACACAGAGCCAGGACATCCACAGGGAGCTGGCTGAGCTGAGGGCACACCTGAAGGGCTTTGAGGCCATGCTGGAGGTGCACGAGCGCGAGAAAAGAAGGCAGCCCTGGAACGTGGACACCATCAGCAAACAGGGATTCAGCAAGGTATGGAAACACCCAGTCCCCTCAGATTCAGATTGAGTATGTTTACAAAGCATGACAATATAGAGTATGTTAAAAAACAAAACAAAAAAAGTCCGGTCTGCATGTGCTGGAGCCTTGCTAGGCTTTCAAAGGCGCCACTTAACTTTGAGGGCCCTAGAACTAGTACAGTAACAAAAATGTCTCTCGTGTATACTGTGAAACACACTTTACGCTTTGTCACTTTGAGCGTTTAATTTTCACAAAGGTTCCACTGCTGCAGAACAATTAATTTAATTTCCGCAGCACAATTGAACACACCATCTCTTGATCAATCCAATCCAATTTAGACGTATGGTTTTTCTGAGTACTACAGGATTTGTTGTTCACACACTCTTAAAGCTGTTTTGTCTCCTGCAAAACTTTGTATGCAACTTGATACGCTGTAACTACAGAATTAAACTAAAATGAAATGTTTCTGCCAAGTTATGAATATCTTTATCTTGAATGAAGACGCTTTAGGTTTGTGTCCACAGAGTGTGGTGAACACGAGAACTGATGCACCAGAGGAGAAGCCAGAGGAAGGGATCAGCTTTGGGGACAAATACGACAAAGAAATTAGGCACTTTGGTGTGTATGTGCCACATACAGACAGACATGCACACACACACACAAACACACATTTGATTTGATTTTCTCATCCGTGTTGGTGAATCGCCAATTTTGTAAAGTCTTTAGAGACAACTGCTATTTTGATTAAGATTAGAAAAAGAAAAAAAATCTGTATTTGTCTTTCGATAAAGATGGAATATATTCGGCTAAAAGGTTCAAGTTTTAAAGAAAAGTGCATAGGGAAATAAAATGGGAAATGTTTAATAGGGAAGATATGTCCAAACACTTTTCTTACAGCTTGTCCAAAACAAGCTGTAAGAAAAACTTAGCTGTAAGAATATCTTAGGTTTTTTTTTTTTTTTTTTATTCATGCAGTACCTTCTCCCATTGTAGGTTTAGAGGAGCAGAGAAGTTTCCTGTGCCTCTTCTGACGATTTTTCTCTAACTTCAGCTCCGCCAACCACTTCTCTTTCAGCAGGGAGCGCTCTTCTTCTGTTTCCATTAGCTTTTGGGTCCAGGGACTGACCTTTGCCTCTTGCAGAGAACACTCTTGCTGTACTGTGCTCTGTCACTCTTTGAGATCTTCACATAAGTCTCAAAATGGCGGCCTTCTCTTTCTTCTCCTGCTTCAGCTTGTTGAGTGACTCGTTCAGGAATTGATTGGCGTCTTCTTCCGTTTGGAGTTGGCCCTGAACCTCCTGTACCTGCAGGTTCAACTTGATCTTCCGGTCTCTGGACTTGTTGATCAGGTCTCACATCACGTCCATCTCTATGTCTTTATCGTGAATGTCCTGGCGGATTAAAATCTTCCCTTAAGCCTCTTCCTGCAGTCGCCCATCCAGTTTGATATATCTCTTCGAAAGCTCCTCCAGTTGTTTTTTTGGGAATTCCCAATGAAACTTTACATTGAGCATTCTTCTCAAGCAGCACTGTGCTTCTTGTCTCAGTCTTTAGTGTGACTTGGCTCCCTCTATTTGCAGGCCGAGAAATTGCCTTTCGGAATGTCATTCTTGGTGTAGCTGCCTTGACTGAATCTGTGCTATTTGTTCCCCAGACTCATTGAGCAGTGATGTGTTATCTTCTCTCACTTGTCTCAGTTCAGCCTCCACATCCTACATTGCTCTCTGGTTGAGTTGGATCTTGTGCGCACAGATTGCCTGCTTGGCTTTCTTGAGCAAGTTCCGCTTCACGCCCTGGAGCTCTTTCTTCTGCTGTTGGACGCGTCATTAATTCGCCTTTAGGAGTAATCTGCTTGTCAAACGCTATCATGCTGTTCCACCTCTCCCCGCCAAAGGTACTCCCTGGTTTTGCCGCCATGTCCCTCTGATGCTGAAGAAGCAAGTTCCTTGATTCCCCCCGGACCCAAGCCCCGGTGATCCAAGATGGCGCCCTATTCAAATGAATGGCTTGTACTCAGTAGTGCATGGGACTTCACGGGGACCGGGAGATTAGCAGAACTCGCCTATATTTGGGCATCGTCTGGTCCTCCCGGTTCTGCGCAGTGGACGAGCTCCCATGATGCGTTGCGGCAAATACGCGTGTGTGGCTCTCATACACGCGCACAGAGGGGCTCGGCCGCGTTCTGACCAATCAGAGCTGCTGATCAGAGCAGCGGTAGAGCAGAGACAGAGCGGGAAGAAAAGGAGCAGAGTTTGTGGCAGAAAAGTGTGGATTTGAAGAAAAACAAAGAATTTAAGAAGAAAAAAGGGTAACTAAAATAACCACAAAATCCAATCTTTATGAAAGCTGTAGGTTCTCTGTCGGCTGAGGTCGTGCTGTTTTAATTTACATTGAGTTCTATGGGGATTTTTTCTGCGTAGCCCGCGTGAATTTAGTCTGCAGTACCACAGCGCCCCCTGTGTCCGTGGGTGGGACAGCTATACATAGTTCCCACAGACCAATGAATGTCACATGACCTCCTCGGAGACGCCATCTTTGATGGCACGCTGCTGTGTTTGTGCATTCCATTAAACAGAAGAATGAGAATAAATGTAGATATTAAAACACAAATTGGAAAAAAGGGCAACTTTTGAGCAAATAATTGTATATTAATACAATGGCACCACAGTTTTACATATTTGATCAAATTATGCAGCAAAAATTAACAAGCAATGCAAACATTTCTCAAAAACTTTAGATTTATTACCAGTTGGAGCTCCATTTAATTATTTTAATTATATTAACAATTAATTTAATTAATGCTAATGCCACACGGACACTCTGGATTGCTGTTATTGTTTATTTCCGCGTTTTTGACCGTATGTTTTGGTGAATGGTGGGCAACTGATTTTTCCAGGCGTAAAGAGCAGTTTATTTTATGACACAGATCTTTTTACAGAAGCAATGCTGTTTGTGAACATTGTTTTAGCCCACCATAGAACTATTATTATCTATTTAATACATTTACGTTGCCCTCGAGAGCCTCGGACGCGACACCGATCCTCCTCATAATAAAGTAATCTAAATAATGAAACTCTCAAGTTACCAGCTATCAGCATACACAAGTTAGTACTGAGTAAATTACGTCTGTCAACACATTATAAGATACGATACGCACCTGACACAAAGTGCTCCGAGCATATTCTTGCGTGTTTTGAGGGAGTTTCTTGCCTGTTTATCTTCGCAAGCCATAACCTCCGTGGTTGTTCTGACAAAAGCTTAGTCTTCTCACATTCATGAAGTCTAATGATGGGTATACTGTAAAATCCAAGTTTAACGGAACCTCCGGCACGATTTGAACATCCATTGACCCAGCAGGAGATGACCATTTTCAACTTTATCACGACATTAACACGTTTCAGCTTCTTTTTCTATTGTTTTGCCCACAGAATGCCAACACAAATGGCGCCGGGTCGGCAAATCCCCGTATGTAGTGACGTCATGTAGGAACTATGTATAAGCTGGTAATACCCTATCCAGTTATTATTATAGGTCCATGCCCGGTACACAGAAATGGATTAAGAGGAAGAAGATGGATGGTTGGATGGATATTATGAAGATTACAAAAAACGAAAGAATTTCAAAAAATGTAAACTTTCCAAAGTGATGAAAACAAAAGTTTCAATTGAAGAAGTGAATATGTTTGTTTGTGTGCATGTACGCATGTAGGGCTGCTGCGGCGATGGGAGGACAGTCAGAGTTACCTGTCAGAGCGCCCTCACCTGGTGTGTGAGGAGACTGCCTCTGCTCTGGTGCACATCTGCATCAGCATGGAGCGAGAGCAGGTCAGTGTTCTCCTGTGTGTGACATCACAACAACCCATAAAAAATATATATATATACACCCACCTGGCTGCTTTTTTTATGCTGCTGTGTGTGCACTTTTTAAAAACTAGCAGTGTGTGTGTTTATGTGTATATCTGTGTGTGTGTGTGTGTGTGCAGAAGCAAGCTCTGATGGGGCAGGTGGCTCACCAGGCCATCGTCATGAAGTTCATCCTGGACTTGGCTCAGGGCCTCAAAGTGGACCCCAGAGGCTGCTTCAGGCTCTTCTTCTCCAGGATAAAGGTGACACACTCCTGTAGGCGCCAGCTGCATTTAGGACATGACCCAAACAATTCTAACAAAAGGTGGTTTACGTTAGCATCAGATGTACTCAAAACTGTGGTGGACAAACTTTGTTGCCTCTCAATTCATTTCAATTCAATGTGTTTTTGTTTAGCCCTAAATCACAATTGTTGTTATCTCTGAGGACTTTACAAACTATAAGAAATGCAATGATAAAAACTAGTGCTGTCCAACGATTAAAATATTTAATCGCGATTAATCGCATGAATTTCATAGTTAACTCGCGATTAATCGCAAATTAGTCACACATTTGTATCTATTCTTTATGTCCCTTGAATTAATTAAAATAAAATAAAAATAATAAAATAAAATTAATAATAATAATAAAATAAAATAAAAAATGAATGAATAAGTAGATAAATATAATAATAACATGAATAATATGTGCATATAATGATAATACACAAGTCAGGGTAAGCGAAAGCTTATTTTAATGCATGACACGTTTAGTTAAGAAAAACACTTGGGGAAAAAGGAACAAAATAAGAGAGGGAATGGGCCGGGAGTGGTCTCCCTCCCCCCCTTTTTGGGGTGGGGGCCAGCTTGGGGGTCTGTGTGTGTGTCGGATTTGGTTTTGATGTTGGCTGGGTTCCGCTTAGCTTGGTGAAACTCAGGCGGGCAGACTTTATATCTTATCTTATCTGTGGAGTGTGTGTGTTTATGGGTGTGGGTGTGTGTGTGTGTGTGTGTGGGTATAGACCATAGACTGTATAGAAACATCATGGTGTCAATATGATGATGATAAACAATCTGTAAATATTTTGTAAATTTGTCCATGTAAAAATCGGTATATCTATGACTGTATACTGTTTGCTTGTATTGCCTTTTTTATTAACCCCTCCCCCCCATCTCCCACTTCATGCCCCCCCCCCCCCCTCCCCTCCTATGTGCCCATCTGGGTTTCTTCTTTGGCCCCCTGTATCTCCAACTACATATTGTTTGTAATCTCTGTCTACAATGTATCTGAACTAGTCCTTTTCTTTGTTTCTATTTTTTTTTTCTGTATATGTGTTTGTCTGCAATAAAAAGTAAAAAAAAAAAAATTTTTAATAACGCGATATTTTGGACAGCACTAATAAAAACACATAGAAGCTTGGTCCTTGTCCAGAAATGTTGATGAATGTCGAGTGTCCTGGATCATCACCACTATCCTCAGACCCTCCTGTATCTGCAAGGAAAAACTCTGAAAACCCAGTGGGAGAAAGCTGGCAACCTCGGTGAGGCCCCCATTGACGGAGGGATCCGCTGCCATGGACGGATGCCATGATGATGTCTCTGCTTTCCAGTAAAGTGGCTGATCAATTGTACTGGGCAATAATTATGCACTGGGTTTCACAGCCTGTTCACAAACAAAATCAAAGGACACTGATGATTGTCCTGGATCTTCTAGTCCCTCATGAACCATGTGCATCATTCTCCTTTGAAGCTGCACAGTTGATCGTTGCAAGAAAGATTATGAACACAATTGTTCGGTGAAATTGATGTCTGGAATTTTACTTTGCCCAGTTGGTTGGAAATGAGTCTCTTTGGAATAAGAGTATTTTTGCCCTTTAGGGACTTCTGCCATGATTTCCATTCCTTGGAAGGTCCTTAAGAAACTTTAACATTATCTCACGTCTTCCATAAGTGCGTAAAGGTGTCAGTTTATATTTTTATAACTCGGTGAAGTCAGATAATAAAAGGATTTTGTTGATGAAACATGATTAAAAAGGGCCTGCTTGAAGAGGGGTGTGCGTATTTAAACTCAGACTAGGAATGGTTTACTGAGGCTTTACTGATAACTTAAAGAAAGAATATGGATGCGCAGTGGCGTTCCATGGGTTCCCTGGGGCCCCAGGCAACAGAGTCCTTGGGGGCCCCGATACCGACCACATAACCACATAAAAAGGTTTATATTACAGTAGGTATAGATATATATTTAATAATGAGGTAAAATGCATATATTATATTAATGTAAACTTGTTTACATTAATATAAATTAAATATAGATTATTTCTTATTTAAAACAATAAATCGACAGGCCTGGGGCCTGCCTGGCAGACTGTACAGTCTACCATAGAAAATTGTGCTTCAGAACTTATCGTGACACAAAGCAATGAGAAATAATTTAGCATGTCTTTTTATAAGCTTGTTCACTACACTCGTCATGTTATAATTAATTACAGAAACTACCTATCAAAGTGTAGCTCTTAGCTTTAATCTGTAAAACATGACTTGTTTTAACCTTTTACTGTTCTTGAGCAATCTGTCATAGAATATAATGTATAGTTTAATCCAAAACACTGCTCTCACCCAGATTTGAACCCGGGCAAGTCATCACGGCACAAGTGTTGTAATTTAACCACTAGACCACTATTACATACAATACTTTATTTGCCCCAAGCAGGGTTTTTAAATGTTAATGAAGAACGTGGCAAGTTTAGCATCAGACGAAAAGTTTTTATCCGCCAACTTGTCACTGCAGGTAGCTGGGGCCCCCAAACCCATGCAGCTGTCTGCCTTGCCTAATGGCAAGGGACGCCTCTGTGGATGCGGGTAAATGACACCTTTCTAGTTGTCAACATTTGTTAATATTTCATTAAGTTGTTCAAGACACATAATACTATACAGGGTAAGGTGGGCTTTTTCATAATGTACTTGCATAATGACCTTTGCACTAGGGAAAGGCCGCGCTGTTTATCAGACAGACATTAGTCTCTTAATGAGCAGAAGGAGGAGGTTGAAGTGATGTTGACCAACAAACTGTGATGGTTTTAGACCGCAGATCAGCTTTACCTGGACGCCTTTGACCAAGAGCTGGAGCTCCTGAAGCAACGTGTGCGAAGTAGTGCCCAGAGTCTGACAAAGGAGGAAGAGGAGGAAGATGAGGAAGAGGTGGAGGAGGAGGAGGAGGAGGAGGAGGAGGAGGAGGAGGAGGAGGAGGATGATGAGGGGGAGGATGCTGAAGGGGAGAACAATCAGCGGCCCAGGCTGGGACCAGGTGGGCTGGACCCTCGTGAAGTCTACACCTCCCTACCACAGGTATACACAAAACATTCACATCATTTGTCTTTCTTGGAATTATTTCTCAACATATAAGCCCTGAACAACCACTGATCTCTCTCTGGCCTCTCTCTGGTCTCTCTCTGGTCTCTCTCTGGTCTCTCTCTGGTCTCTCTCTGATCTCTCTCTGGTCTCTCTCTGGTCTCTCTCTGATCTCTCTCTGGCCTCTCTCTGATCTCTTTCTGGTCTCTCTCTGATCTCTTTCTGGTTTCTGATCTCTGTGACCGCTGCAGGAGATGCAGAGAGGATTTGATGAGAAAAACGTGGAGATTCTGCAGAGAGCCATGGACACACTGCACCCAGAGGTAAGAGAGCGCACACACACACACACACACACACACACACAATAAAACACTGGAAATACTTATTTTATTTGTTTATTTTAAATACCAGCATATTTGTTATAATTAAAATTTAATAGAAGACAAATTATCAGAAAATGACACTTTATCTTCCCATTTAAAAAACATACAAAATATTTGGACAATTTGTCCGTTGCTGCCCTCTACTGCCCATTGAACCAACATCCGAATAGAACTAGAGAAGGAATGTTTTTAATAATGTTGCCACAAGCAACTTAGTTTGAGCTTGATTGATTTTGATATGTTTAATCAATTTTAATTTCAATATGTAAAAGATGACTTGATTGACTTTCTGCAAGTGTAAAACATGTCAATACAAAATGCAAACAGAGTGAAGCACATGTGTTTCCAGTGTTTCCTGTAAGTATCGCAGACACTGAAGGGAGACACCAAAGAAGCAGGATATCATTCAATTTTATTATTATTATTATGTTTCCATTCCTGTATAGCATGTGTAAGGTGTTTCCAACCTTTTTTTTTGGAGAGCTACTTTTATTAAACAGAAATGGCAGAGAGCTACTCCTTTTAGCAGGTGTAATACAATAGTATGCAGTACAATATTGTAAGTAATGACTCTAAAGTGAATCATTCAGGATTGTGTGTTAAATTCCTGAATCCTTTGGGGAGCTACCTGAAAGAGGGTGGCGAGCTACCAGTAGCTCGCAAGCCGCAGGTTGGAGACTCCTGGCATATATGTTCAAAAATACAATCACTTGGATTGTATATGTATATTGAAATCTGAAGCAGCAGATTAATGACATAAATCAAAACAGGTATAACTAAATTAGAATATTGTTCAAAAGTCTGTTATTCAACGTACAATGTGAAACCAAAATATGACAATCATAACCCACAAGGTCAGATAACCAGTTTTATTTTTTGTTATAATCTTGATCCTTGCATCACAGCTTTTAAAAACCCCAAATAAAGCATCTCAGTATTATATATTCAATATTTTAACCAAACAAGTCTTGGCATTTGTCGCTTTGTCTTTATTATACATTGTTTTCACATTTTAAGTTGGATTGCAAAAATTATTTAACTCTTGAAAAATATTAGACGTTTCCGAGTTTCCCCTGCTGCAAGTGAATTGTGCCGATGCTGAGCTTCGGAGCATGTCTGTCTTTGGTGAAGTTTGACATCATGATTAAGTCTCTGTTTGACTGTTTGGGCTGAGAGCTGATTGGCTGAATGAGGGTGGTCCGCTCTGTTTCACTTTTCTGTCTAAAGAAGCTAATCTAAAGGTGTGACAGAGGCCAAAAATTCCTGAATATGAAAATTAGTGAAAGGTGCAAACTGTGTTAGGGTCAGGAACGGTATACTTTAGCTTAATAAAGAAAAAAAGTTTAAATGCAAATATGTATTTAAAATCAGCTGGTAATATGTATTTTATTTCTTTTTGACATAGTAATTGTGTTTATGTTACTACTGACCTGAATGTGACGTGATGTCAGGATGGACTTACATAAGCAAGTAGCTTCAGCAGAACACTTTTTTGGTTGTAATGCAGTCAGGGAATGTGACATGTGTTAATAATCAAACAATCCACAAACTAAAGTCCTTCCCATTCCAACTACAATCGAGTCCGATCTGTGCGTTTATTGCTTTCTGAAATGTTCCAGTGTCGTGCAAATAGTCAGCCGATTCCACGTAACCCCTACATTAATGTGTATGTGTGTGTGTTTTTTGGCAGGAGGCAAAGTTCCACCTGAGGAGATGCATCGAGTCTGGGCTGTGGGTCCCAGACTGAGGGGTGCAGAAGTGGAAGACCAATACCTTCAGTTCATGGCCCTCAGGATCCGGATCTTGCTCACGACTGGGCTTGTGCCTGGTTTAAAGCTTTCAGAACCCAAAAATTAGTCCGGCCAAAATGTGTGGCTCTAAAAAAAACAAAAAACATTACTAGTTTTGGAAATATTTTCATGTATTTTGCATGTACATTTACGGACCACCGGATGTAAGAGCGGACCACCCTCACCTTGCCAATCAGCTCTTAGCCCAAAGAGTCAAATAGTGACTCACTGGGTTAATCAAAAGGTAGCATGTTTTCTAATAAGAGAAAGAAAGATGTGCAGCTTGTATGGATTCAAAAGGTGTATTAAATATTTATACATACACTTTCTGTGGACCCTCTCTCCATAGAACATGTGGAGAAAGGGCCCAAACCTCCCTTTCCCCATGTTCTTTTGCATATGTATGGTTTATTTTCTATCTTCTCTTGTAGCTATGTTTAGTGTCTCTAAATGTCCTATTTTATATATATTTGATTTATCCCAAAAATTGAACATGCTCGTATATAATGGCATTTGAAGTGCTGTAGTACGTCACATCACCATTGAATAGTTGTATTGTGCTCATGGGCAGCACACCACACGTTGTACAATATATCCTCTTATAAACACAACTTTGACTCGTTATTACAAAGCTTCTGTAAAGTAGAATACAGCCACATGCTGCCACTGAAACAAGTTGAATAAGTACGAGTCAATTCAATCTGAAGATCCAAATTAATTCGATAGAATGATTTATTTATTTGCCGCATTGACCCCGGCAGTGACACTTGCAGCGATGAGATCGATTGCAGCTGAAGATGATTTCAGATCCCCCGGGGTCAAGCACTGGTGGTGACTAGAGTATGGTGTGAATGGGGCGTAGGCGGAGCAGGAGCCAGAGCCAGAGCAGGAGATGGAGCCAGAGCAGGAGCATAGAGCAGGAGCATAGAGCAGGAGCATAGAGCAGGAGCATAGAGCAGGAGCCAGAGCAGGAGCATAGAGCAGGAGCCAGAGCAGGAGCATAGAGCAGGAGCCAGAGCAGGAGCCAGAGCAGGAGCCAGAGCAGGAGCCGGAGGAGGTGCTGGGGAGGTGGTGGGTGTTAAGAGCTCAAGGAAGCGCCGCTTGTCAGGAAGTGACTGCCTTTTAAACTGCCGCTTTGCTGTGAGAGGGTTGGCAGGAGGCTGGCCGGGCTGTGTGATTGGCTGAGGCTTGAGGCTGGCAGAGCTGTGTGATTGGCTGAGGCTTGAGGCTGGCAGAGCTGTGTGATTGGCTGAGGCTTGAGGCTGGCAGAGCTGTGTGATTGGTTGAGGGAATTTGCACTCGGTCTTTCAGTCTGAATATGCGCCTTCAGCTTCATGTCTGTGGACGCGGGTCAAATATTCACTACAGAAATAAGTATTTATGTGAATCCATATGAAAATAAAGAGTAAGGGAGACTTACTCACTGACAAAATACATATACCGGGAGTGCATGTTCTGAACATTCTTTTTGGAACATGAGTGACATACTTTTCAAAAAACAAAGGAATTAATTCCATCATTATGCAGGTCATTAAAAAACTCATGAAAATATCACTTTTGGTGAGAGAGTGTCTAAAATGCTGTGAAAAGGGGCAAAAACAAAAAGTGGCAAAACAATTATTACACCATGATATTATGCTATTGAGCGTGAACGTGTCATCAGAACGTAATTCTCTGATTGGTCCAAAACCGAGTACATGTTAAAACAGGTTTTCAGTATTGTGTGAGTAAATACATTTGCAATGTATTCTCCCAACACGGATCACCCTGAGACTGACCCAGATCCATATACGTGATCAGAACCAGAGCAGAACAGACGTACAGATTATTAAGGTCTGTGTGCAACAGCTGCAACGCGCGTGTCCTCCCCACTTTCACCAAACGTAATGTGTCATTCATGAATTAATACAGTGTAAGGTTGTATCCACGGTGTGCTCATGTCGCGACCCCCTCTTTGAGAACCCCTCGTCTGAACCAGTCTCAGACACAGACGCACGCGTTGTCCCGGATGGCAGAGGACACACGTACACGGACTGTACAGACCACCAAGAACACACAAACACCAGCGTGGGCGCCTCCACACTGCCACCACACGGGGGGAGCCGGGGGAGACCACTGCGCGAGCGGCCGGGGGAGCGGCGAGCGCACCCGGGACAGAGAGCCGCGCGCGCCCCGTACAGGAGCTCTGTGAGCGCGCCACAACACCAGGGACCAGAGACTAGGGACCAGAGACCAGGGACCAGAGCAGAGCCGAGAGAGAGGAGCGCAGCGCGGCCCAGACCCTGCGCTTCAGCAGCCCGCGCCTCAGCCCCCTGAAGGTGAGTGCGCTCCCGTGGCCCCCGTTTGGCTCCCGTGTGTGTGGCTCTGTGGATCAGACAGGTTGCAGCCGCAGCGGGGGCTCCTCTGCAGGTGTCCGGGTGGTGCTTTTGGAGGCTGGTGTATGGGATGTGAAGCCCTTGTACTGATGTGAAGGACGGTGCACGGCGCAGTGTGCTCCGGTGTGGATATGGATGTGTCTGCCGCGTATGAAGGATGTGGATGTGGGTGTAAGGCCAGGAGAGGATCGTGACACATCAGTGCTCTTGTGTTTAAGAGACATTCTGCTTTTGCCTCGTGTACATTCACACACACCACACAGTAATATAGCTACACTGTCTACACTATTTGCCGCAATATTCAACACGCGTAAGCCAGGCTAATTGACACAATGGAGATGGTATTGTTTTGTCAAGAATTAATGAATAAAACCAGGCCTATACGATGTACAGCTACAGCTGCCCCGGGGCAGACTATGCATTCCTGTTTGCCAGAAGAAGCAGTTTCCATGACATGTGTGTCTGTATTTTGCTCTGACTGATCTAACATCGGGTGGAACATTAGTTTGATCAAGACAAACTTTACTGATCTACGTCCAGTGATAAAGCGTAACTAAACGTAAAGCTGTATTCTGAATACATTACTTTTTATGTTGGTGTTTTCAAAAATGGAACAAATGCATATATTGGCAGGATTTTACATAAACACAAATAAAAACTAAAATAATCAACAATAACCAAAAATGCTAAGTTCTTCCAGTGATTGGATCATGTTGAATATATTGCAAAAGCAAGCACTATTCAACAACACATTGCACCTTGGAATTATTTCAAACACTCACCCTGAACTATTATACATGTTTTGGTGCTATGGGAAACTGCAGTGTCTTGCCTAAGGACAGAATTGGTCTGGAAAGGCACTATATAAATAAAGATTACTACTAGAATGACAGTTGTGGTCTCCCATCACAATAGTAACCAAACCCTGCCCTGCTCAGCCCCTGAGGTCAGACCAAAGCCTCAGCTGAAGTGGATTCACATCACAACATTATTTGATGTTGTTAAGGCAAGGCACTGCAAGTTTATCTGTATAGCACAGTTGGTTAACACATGCAAACACAGTCTGGTTGTGTGTGTCTCTATAATAACAGCTCATGGGTGACTTGCTTAAAGCCTGGAATCACATCTCATCCATCTGTGTTCTAGTTTCAGCTGGATGTGAGTGTGAGACGGCGATGCCTGAGAGGAGGAGATGATGTTGAAACTGTTGACATTTCAAATGGAGGAAATTAGCACAGATTAGACAAACCTGCAGCCACAGCGGCCCTTTCTGGACCGGTTTGGACACCTCTGGATTAGACAAAGCCGACAGATATAATGCATTGGTTTTATATAGCGCTTTTTTGACACTCCAAGACACTTCACATGTCTTTATTCTTTCACTCTATACAGGGTGGTATAGAGTGACAGAAACGAGACAACCAGTATGTGGCATCTGCCGCTCGGACCACCAACAGTCATTCTCACAGACCAGACTCATTCTAATGTGGTTAAAGAGTCTTGTCTAAGGACTCAACAAGAATTTAGCACTTTACAGCAGCCCTTCTGTGGCACCTGGTCTTCCCAGAGGTCTCCCATCACAGTATAACCAGGCCCTGTCCTGCACAGCTTCAGAGGTCTGACTGACGGGATCTGGCTTTCAATACGATATAGTCATGTTTAAAACATTTTGTGTAATTTCACAACATTTGGCTGAAAAAGTGCTAGTACAAACGTAGACATTTTATTTTGTTTTGACTTGAAAGACAGAGAAACAGACAACTGAGAAGTGAAAACAAAAGGATTTTGGTAGAAACTGTGTATATTTAACAAGCACTAGAGACGGAGTGTTGCCTATTCCTCCTTACAAAACAGCTGAAACTTTTATTAGTGTAATTTTGCTTTCACTTCAATGTAGTGTCTTACCTTATTATGACCACAAAATAAACACACGCCATTGGTCAAATCTTTGTTTTTATTAGCTGTAGATTAGAGCAGTTTTGGCCTAATGAACTTGGTGTCCCTTGGTGTGTTTAGCTATGCATGTGACTGGAGTTTGCATGTTCACTGGATAGATTTCCTCCGGGTGCCCCGGTTTCCCTCACCACTAAGAACACGTACAGTTCAGGGTGAGTGTGTTTGGAAGTGCAAACATGGGAGAACAGAATAAAACATAACACAAATTTACTTTCATTCATTCATTTCAAACATTTGTTGATTTACATCAAACCATTCATTAATCTTGATTAACTACAATTTTTATTTATTTATGTAGCTCAATTTTACAGAGCGAGGTCACCCAAAGCGCTTCATAATGTTTAGTCTTCAGATATTGTTCCATTCGCTGAACACTGGGGAATCAAAGCCCCAACCAATACCATCCATTCACTCATTACAGTCACTTACTGTGCATGTTTTAGTGGTAGGGGGTACCGGAGCACCTGGAGGAAACCTACGCAAACACGAGGAGAACATGCAAACTCAACTCAGAAAGGCTTCCGACCAGGATTCAAAGTGCTATCCACTCAGCCACTGTGTCACTCACCATACTATGATTTATTTTGAAAGTTGAACGTTTATTTTAACACTCCCCAGTGATGAAAAGCAACACTGGTCAAAACAACACACCTGTGTTTCCCACTGCTGTCGACATGACATTTTAACTAGTGTTGGTGGAATATAATTGATTCTGTTCAGTATCGGGATATTTGGTGCATGCCATTAAACTGATACAGTAGAGCAAAGTACTGTTATATTTGATAAAATAATCATTTGTTTCATTTTGAGTTTTCTTTAGTCATTTCCATCTGAGGTTTAGTCTGTTGTATTTGAATAATCTTAGTGATGTGCTGGGAGCTCTCCATTCAGGTGAGAGGTCGACAATTCAGGCTTGTCTGTACTAAGGTCCTGTGTTCTGAATGCTCAAGGATAACAATTTTCCACTACCCTCCTAAGTATTTGCACTTCAGTTGATGTGCAGACCATAATAAATGTGACATCTGAGTTGAGCTAACCCCTCCATTAAATTCTGCAAGATGTTAAGAATAGCAATTTTAATTGTGGCACAAATATTGCAATACTATCGAAGTATCTATTGTCACATTTATGACAATCCCCACCTCTAATTTTCAACAGGTTGTAATTCTGTACCTATGATGTGTGTGTGTTACAGAGGACTGCTGCTGGACCATGGAGCGGTCAGAATAATTGTCCATACTTGAGCCTGTGGAATACATGCCTGTGTGCGCGTGGACATGTGAGGATGTCCCAGGAGCAGGGGGACACGGGGACACCAAGGATGTGGATGAGGGTGGGCTGAGCTGCACAGACGGCCCTTAGCTCCCCTGGCATGATGTAGAGGCCCCTGAGAGCCTCACATGGACTGAAGGCAGTGTTCTGAGGCCAACCAAAACCAGGCGCACATGGGGGCCGGTGCATAGCCGGTCCGAGCCAAGTTTCAGCTTGCTGTGACTTTTGTCCTCCGGTCCTGGCTCTCCACCTACTCTGCTGCCTGGGTTCCGGAACGATCCGCCCTGGGGCCCAGAACGAGCCACTCAGAATGAAGAAGAGCCGCAGCGTGCTGTCGGTGTCTGGGGAAGAGGTGAGCCGCATACAGCCTGTCGTGACATTAGCTTTAGCCTCAGTATGGGACTAGAGGCCTCCATTGGTTCTGCACTCAAATATTGATTTATTTATTGGTCCATGTCAATACACAGTCCACATAGAGAGCACCGTTTTAACCCAGGCAGAATGTTGGATTTTTTTGGGGGATGGCATATTTCAGAGATTATGAACAATAATCCCCCTCAAAAATGTTTTCTATTTTGAAATGATAATGTGGTTAGAAACTCTGACCCTGATCAGAAGTCTCCATCCCCCTGTTTTCAGTGTTGCCCTTTAATATCTATGGCTGCTCAAAGTCTTTCGTGGGGGTTGTGGATGAGGTTTTTATCCTCTGATGGTAAAGCTGCTCATTGTTATTGGTGAAAAGCCTCCAGTTCCTCTACATTCCTGGGCTGTCTTGCATAATTGCACATTTCAGATCTCCTTAGAGTGGCTCATCATTTGAAAATAGAAAACATGTTTATTTGACAATGGCTTCACATATACTTTTTATGCCATCGCAACACTGTAAAACCATAGATTGTAAATGTTAACAGACATAGTCACGCCTATCTTCGCATTTCAAACTAATGCCATCACTTTCCCCATCTATGGGGCTTTTGAAAATGGCCGCGGAGGCAGGAAAATGTGGGGGGAAAAAATGCATTTGGACATGAATCAGCCGGCATTAGCCTCATTCATTTGACGAGAGCCTTCAAAATTCCTCTGCAACTAAACTAGACCAAAAAATATACTCCCCTCAGCATTGACACATGTGGAACATAGCAACAAAGCGTTGAACCAAGAGCCGACTTTTGGACCATCCTCTAAAACCCTTTATGAGATGTAAGAAGATGCTATACATTAGCATTGAATAATTCTTATTCTGGGTCCACCCCCATCGGCCTGGGGTGGCATTGTGTAAAACACTGTAAAACCTAAGTGCTGTTAAAGCTATCAGGCCACCTTTTGTTCAGGGTCAGATTCTGTGACCAGGTTGTTGTCTTTGTGATCATATAACATTAAGATCATTTTATATATATATATATATATATATATATATATATATATATATATATATATATATATATATATATATATATATATATTTTTTTTTTTTTTTTCACCAGTGGTTACCTAAGAGGAGGCTGTGCCACCTAAACTGGGGCAATGTCCTTATTATACAATTCTATTTGGTCTATCCTTTGATTATTAAAAACCACATTTTACAAAAAATATACAATTAATCCAGTCAATATAATGTATTCCATGTATTGCTTTACTTTCACTGTTGTTTTATAGTGGGGTCGTTAATGTCAGTGCTTAATTAGGGGGTCTGAAAAGTTTGGGAAGTCCTGCTCGATAGTCAAGAGCAAACTTTCAATGCAAGTTGTGGAAGGGAACTCTACTGGACCCCGCTCCAAACTGTCCCGGGCCAATGTAAGAAGTCCTACAGTGTATATACAATGTTAGTTGGAGTGGTCCTCTCTAATTACCGTCATATCAACATTCTGACATGACACGCATGTGCCATGAGGTGTGCTGCCCTGACATGCACATAAGTGCAGCCAGGGCAGCACATCTCAGGGTCCTCAGAGTCCTCAGAGTCCACAGACTCGTTCTCTGACCGGCTGCTGGACATAGGGTCACTGATTTCCCAGACTGAGCAGACAGTGCCGATCAGAGCTGTGATGGTGTTGCAGCTGTGACGTTCCATTCTGTCTCCAGGAACGTCTGGTACAGGACACCGTTGATGGGACACGTGTGTGTGTGTGTGTGTGTGTGTGTGCGCGCAGCTCTCTGCACATGCACACATTGTTGCCTCATACATATGTAGACGGCTGCTCATTGTGTGTCCATTGTGTTAGATTTGAGGATGTTCAGATCTGACTCTGGACGCACAAACGCAGTTGGAAGCAACACAGCCCTGTTGCCTAGCAACTGCAGCCGTCCCCCAGTTTTTTGTTGCTACGGTGCTGCAGTGCAGATCTGAGCGTGCTCAGTGGAGGCCTGTCCAGACCAGACATATGTGAGCGTGCAGAGGCATGAGCGGGAGCTGAGGAGAGGTAGGAGGAGCAGAGACCAGACTTGGACCTGACTGAGACCAGACTGAGACCAGACTTAGACCCGACTGGGACCAGTCTACAGTTATATTACTAGAGTCTGTGGCTGTAAGACCACGTATCATCAAGAATGCATTAGAATATGTAGTTCAGTTGCTGCTGTCGGATGTTTCTTTGTAAAAGTCCAAACTTGAGTTCTCTGCTGCGGCCGCATGCCTTTTATTTTCCTCATTGATTTTATTTATTTATTTGAATTTAGGACAGTACATATTCATCAATGTGTCTGCAAACAGCGTCAACATAAATATGCTGGAATTAGCACAAGAGCTAAACTGCATCCTTTGTCCTAAAGCAGGTAAGAAACACACAAACACACAGTTATTAAAAGTACAAACAATAAGTCGACGAGCAAGACAGAATTTAAAAGAGGAGAGAAAGAGAAAGCCCAAGGAAGAGCAGATCATATATGACAGCATGACTGGTTTGATTTCAACCAATGTTTGAGGACTTAAATGTTTGGTAGGTCCCACAGTTTTGAATGTATTCCGGCAAAGTATTCCATAACTTGTTGTGCCTCTGATGGACATTTAGAAGTAAATAGCCGAGCACACAGAGCTGTCAACAAATGTTTTGTTCGCACATGATCACTGTTAAGGATCACTCATGTCATTCTGTTTAGCTGTGTTGAACCTGAACTGTATAGCTGTTTGCTCTTACCATGTCCCCCAATCTTACCATGAGACCAGGACCATGTCCAAACGATGGGACCAGGACCTGGACGTGTTTGGACTGTGGATCAGTGCATGGTCAGAGCTGGACATGTCTGTCCACTATGGGTCGATGTTTCTGGATAGCCATAAATCACAACAGTAGTTATCTCGGAGGACTTAACAAAACAGTTGAATGTGCCAACACAGATCAGAGAATCAAACAGTTTAAACACAGAAATGCAATGATTAAAAAACACGATTGGTCCATAAGGGGCAGATGACCAATGTCCATAAATGTTGTTGAATGTTGAGTGTCCTAGATCATCAACACTATTCACTGCAATTCACAGGAATAATTTCAGTAAATGACTACCCACGCCTCACAGCTGTGGACCATAAGATGTACTTTTCTCTGCTGTACTTGCAGGGCAGGGACGCAGACATGCCGGGGGCTGGGGAGAAGGCCGAGTCCTCCGCATACAGCCGCTCCTACACCTCTGGTTCCTCTCTGGGGGCCTCACTGGGAGCCACGCTGGGTGCCGAGCTGCGCCGCGGCCGAAGCAGGAGACTGTCGTCCAGTCTTCAGGTCAGTATTGACAAGGTTTACACAGTGGCGGACCCTCAAGGCCAGGAAGGCTTTCTCTGCTTAGGAATGTATATATTATTGATATATTATTACACAAATATGTATTGAATTATCCCCCATTGTCTATACATAGAGTTTGCGTAAGTTGGCTGAGCCGATTCCAGACCCAGGTCGTGGGACTGGAAGCCGCTCAACTTCTGTTATGTTGGACTTTTTATCCAATCATTATTCAGCATAATGTGTTGCCAGGGCCCACGGTTTCTCAAAGTGAATCAGAATGAACCTGTGACATTAACCAATCAGCGTCAAGTTGGCTTCACTGGGGCCAGTATATACAGTCCATGTATTTTGATTGGATATGCGATATAGAGATGTCCATGGACACACATTTATGTGATATATGGAAACAAATTAAATTGCTAATTTTTGTTGTTGTTTTTTCAAACCACTATGGCTGAAATAGGCAAAGATTTGGTCACAGTGACAACGACATTCTCACGAAGCTAAACAAGACTCTGCAGATTGTTTTGTTGGGGATTCTGTGCGTTTTGCATGTTATATGCTTGTCCCCGGGATAAGTTAAGTTGAAACTTGTGGACAGTGTAGTTGGATTTTCCCACATTAATGCCCAGAACCAAATTGGAACATCTCAAACGCCTTTGTTGCACATTTGGCCACGTTCTCAATACACCTGTAAATTTGGCCTTTTGTCAACACTTTTCAGTTATACAAATAATGACAACAAGAGAATACCTTCTGGGCTAAAAGTAAAAAAATCTGTAGCCATTCTTGGTCACTGTGATATGTTCCACAGGTGCCCTGCTGGCTTCGCCCGCGGGACCGTACCCGCTCTCCGGAGGTCCTGAGCAACGCACCAAGGCCCACCAGCCTGCCCCTGCGTATCCCCCCGCGGATTTCCATCACCCAGGCTGACTCGGACAGGTGAGTACTGTGAAGGGGTCAGCCGTGCTTCTAACTTCATGTCTACCGTGTCAAGTGGTGAATCCTGCTTCTAACTTCAGCCATACTGTGTGAAAGGTTTAGCCCTGCTTCTAACTTCATGCGTACAGGTATGAAGTAGTAACCTTGTGAATACTGTGTATAATGTGTATTGTGTGTGTTGTGTGCGCAGTTATGAGGCAGAGAACGGAATGTCACCAGGCCACACCCCAGTGGGCGGTCTCAGCCCTGGCCTCACCCTGCAGCCCTCCTTCCCCCAGGGCCAGAGACGGGAGTCCTTCTTGTACCGCTCCGACTCGGACTACGACATGTCCCCCAAGACGTCCCGCAACTCCTCCCTGGCCAGCGAAGGGTGAGGCCCTTATAGAATCTCCTTTAGATCCTGTCTCAGGCCAGTGCAGGGTGAGGTCTGTACAGATTTCCGTTTAGTCTCTGTCACTTGCCCTTATATATATATATATATATATCGCTCCATATTTAATTGAGAAGGACTTCTGTTACTCACCTCTTTACGCTTGAAAAGAAATGAAACCTATTTCTTCAAAATAACTGTTTATGAAAACATGTCACTCTGAAATTGGTAGTGCCAACCAAATTGAGTGCAGATATTGCATTATAGTGAATACTAAAACTCTTTAAAAAGAATTCATTCTTTAGCTTATACATCTTATCAACAGTTAGCATATGAAGAATAAAACAACTTTACACATAAAAGGATAAACCTCTGTATTCTAGTGCATAAGCATGTATGTATAAAACCTATAGATAGATCTGCAATATAAAAAGTGGTAAGTCATTAGCTCTGAAGGTTCAAATATACACTCATGCATGTACTGTACATGTTAGCAACATGTGATGTGGCTACTGCACATGTTAACTGCATGAGGCTCTGACTAAGGCTTCGTCCTCTCCTGGTGGTGGAGAGAACGATGGATATACAGTATTAGCGGCCTTGACCTCTCCCCATCCAATGCTTCCATGGCATGTTATACCTTTTCACACTATCTTATCAATAAAACAACCACTCCAAACAGAGAAACCACAGATATCATTCATGAGGAAAAAATAAAGAATCCAAACTCATTTCCAATAAAAGAGTTCATATGTTAATTCAAAGGTACATATACAAAAATGCAAAATATGCTATACTTCCTGTTCATTTGTTGAATCAAACTTTGAAAACCCATGTTAGATGACCTCTAAGTCTTGTCCACGGTGAGGGAAGGTGGGACCCTGAGGCTGACGGATGTGTTGTGCAGCGTGCCTGGATTTACCGCTCAGTTTATGAGTGCTAAATCCCTGTCTTCTCTATGCAAACGCAGATTTCTCCTATTTTCCAGACACACTGCAGAGGACTTCATCGTCACCCCGTTTGCTCAGGCAAGTCTCCTCACACTGTCCCGTCTGCATGCTTCAGACCCAGGGACTGTTCTGATATTCTGGATATTGGCTTTGCAGGTTTTGGCCAGTCTGCGGTCCGTCCGGAGTAACTTCACCCTCCTCGCCAATGTCTCCACCCCTCAACTCAAGTCAGTTTTCCACACATTCCTTTTGTCGCTTTCATTATCATTGGTTTAAACAGGTTAACAGAACAATCTTCAAACTCCTTTTACTCCAAAGAAATTGTATCTGTTGGTTTATGAATGGGTACATTTTTACATTTGAAATAATTCTAATACAATTTCATTTCAATTGTCTGATGTATGGACTCTTTGTGAATCTCAGGCTCTTTTAGCAGTCTCATAATAATACAAATAATAATAATATTAGTGCACCTCTTCCCTGTGTTAGGCGCTCTCCCATGGGCGCCATCAGTGTGAGCCCACGGGCCTCCCTCTCAGAGCAGCAGTACCAGCAGCTGGCCCTGGACACACTGGAGGAGCTGGACTGGTGTCTGGACCAGCTCGAGACCATCCAGACCCACCGCTCTGTCAGCGAGATGGCCACCAACAAGGTACTCCCCAACAAGATCTTCCCCCTGGGTTTGAATCCCGGTCGGAACAGGACCTATCTGAGTGGAGTTTGCATGTTCTCCTCGTGTCTGCGCAGGTTTCCTTTAGGTACTCCGGTTTCCCCTACCACTAAAACTATGTACAATAGGTCTGGCATGCGCCTCCTGTACTGGCAACCCCATCTCTGTGGAGTGAGAGGACAAATGCCCAAAAATAACAATTGTAAACCGCTTTGTGACTCTGGTCTGTGAAAGGCAGTATATGAATAAAGATTACTTACTTACCTACTACCCCCAACAAGGTCCTACCCCCAACAAGGTAGTCCCCCAACAAGGTAGTCCCCCAACAAGATCCTCCCCCAACAAGGTCCTACCCCAACAAGGTCCTACCCCAACAAGATCCTCCTCCAACAAGGTCCTACCCCAACAAGATCCTCCCCCAACAAGGTCCTACCCCAACAAGATCCTTCCCCAACAAGGTACTACCCCAACAAGGTCCTACCCCAACAAGATCCTCCCCCAACAAGGTTCTCTCCTAACAAGATCCTCCCCCAACAAGGTCCTACCCCAACAAGATCCTCTCCCAACAAGGTACTACCCCAACAAGGTCCTACCCCAACAAGATCCTCCCCCAACAAGGTTCTCTCCTAACAAGATCCTCCCCCAACAAGGTCCTACCCCAACAAGATCCTCCCCCAACAAGGTCCTACCCCAACAAGGTCCTACCCCAACAAGGTCCTCCCCCAACAAGGTCCTCTCCTAACAAGGTCCTACCCCAACAAGGTCCTACCCCAACAAGGTCCTCCCCCAACAAGGTCCTCTCCTAACAAGGTCCTACCCCAACAAGGTCCTCTCCTAACAAGGTCCTACCCCCAACAAGGTGTCCCCCAACAAGGTAGTCCCCCAACAAGATCCTCCCCCAACAAGGTCCTACCCCAACAAGGTCCTACCCCAACAAGATCCTCCTCCAACAAGGTCCTACCCCAACAAGATCCTCCCCCAACAAGGTCCTACCCCAACAAGATCCTTCCCCAACAAGGTACTACCCCAACAAGGTCCTACCCCAACAAGATCCTCCCCCAACAAGGTTCTCTCCTAACAAGATCCTCCCCCAACAAGGTCCTACCCCAACAAGATCCTCTCCCAACAAGGTACTACCCCAACAAGGTCCTACCCCAACAAGATCCTCCCCCAACAAGGTTCTCTCCTAACAAGATCCTCCCCCAACAAGGTCCTACCCCAACAAGATCCTCCCCCAACAAGGTCCTACCCCAACAAGGTCCTACCCCAACAAGGTCCTCCCCCAACAAGGTCCTCTCCTAACAAGGTCCTACCCCAACAAGGTCCTACCCCAACAAGGTCCTCCCCCAACAAGGTCCTCTCCTAACAAGGTCCTACCCCAACAAGGTCCTCTCCTAACAAGGTCCTACCCCAACAAGGTTCTCCCCCAACAAGGTCCTACCCCCAACAAGGTTCTCCCCCAACAAGGTCCTATCCCCAACAAGGTCCTACCCCAACAAGGTCCTATTCCAACAAGATCCTCCCCCAACAAGGTTCTCTCCCAACAAGGTCCTATCCCCAAAAAGGTCCTACCCCAACAAGGTTCTCCCCCAACAAGGTCCTATCCCCAACAAGGTCCTACCCCAACAAGGTCCTACCCCAACAGGGTCCTACCCCAACAAGGTCCTACCCCAACAAGGTCCTACCCCAACAAGGTCCTACCCCAACAAGGTTCTCCCCCAACCATGACCATACCCTTATTTTTTTGAGGGACAAAAAATATGCATCACACAGTTTTCAATGGTAGAAGATAAGTCCAGTCTGAGCATTTGTTACAGTGTGACAAGCAAACCAGTGGATTAAGAGAGAAAGGGCAGGAGGAGGGGTGTTTGAGAATGGAGCTAAAACAACTGCATGTCTGTTTGTGATGAGGAACAGTGTTGTAACAGATAGTTTTACAAACAGCACTCGCTGGACGAGAAGCTGCTACTTTTTTCAAGTTTTCTGAAACCTGCGACCAATGCAGTCCATGTATGTAAATTTTGTTTTGTTAGAGTGTCCCCTGGGTTTTTAAAACATTTTTTTCATTAATCTTTTTAAATTATTTTAATTATTACTTGTAGATACACTGTTCTTGAAAAGTGCTATAATAAAAAGATGTATTATTATTCAACTATATTTCAGCTGCTACTTTTTTCAAGTTTTCTGAAACCTGCGACCGATGCAGTCCATGTATGTAGATTTTTTTTGTTTAGTGTCCCCTGGGTTGTCGTTAATCATTTTATAGTATTTCAATTAATACTAGTAGATATGGAAAGCACATTTATTGTCAAAATAGATTGGATTTAGACTCGAGTGCTTTGAGTGAACTTTTACATTACCCAAACAAGAAAGAATTGCACACTCAAAAATAGACCACATCCAAAATATTATTTATTTGATGATGTTTTGGCCATTACAGCATTCATCAAGTACTTAATATCTTTTACTTTGGACCACATTACACCTTTATATGACTGTTTTACATTACAACATGAAAACCTGCTTTTATTCAAGGGTTTTGCGGCCTATATGTCAAAAAAACCTTACTTTCTTTTCAAATTTAGCTTGCGGTTAGCTTGCGGTTTATACACAGGTGTGTGTAATAGTCCAGAAAATGACTGCATTAGGTCCAGAAGTCCACCATCAAACAGTATCGTTGCAAATGCAAGAGAAGCAGACAAAACATGAGCTTTACTTTCTGTGCAGTTCAAGCGGCTGCTGAACCGGGAGCTGTCGCACCTGTCAGAGATGAGCCGCTCGGGGAACCAGGTGTCCGAGTACATCTCCAGCACCTTCATGGGTCAGTCGCACCACACTCTCTGGTCTCTCTCTCACTCTGGTCTCTCTCTAGTCTATCTTTAGTCTCTCTCTGGTCTAACTCTGATCTCACTCTTGTCTCTCTCTGGGTTCTCTTTGGTTTCTTTATGGTCTCTCTTTGGTCTCTCTTTGGTCTCTCTTTGGTCTCTCTTTGGTCTCTCTATGGTCTCTCTAGGGTCTCTCTCTGGTTTCTCTCTGGTTTCTCTCTGGTTTCTCACTGGTCTCTCTCTGGTCTGGTAAAATTATCAATAAAACGGTGACATGACTGCGGTGGCTTGTATAGGACAATGAAGAGTATTGGAGGAGATTGTTTTTGTTGTATTTTAAAAGACACATATTGAAATGACAAAAACTTCCCAAGAGACATTCTATGGGAGACAAAGTGGTCTCTAAAAATTGCAGCTATGCCTCCCCCCTTTTTGTTTTCCCGTATTTCAGATTCAAATTTGAAATTTGGTGGTGATGCTTCTATTTAAACTGCATTTTCTGTATTTTGGTCAAGCCAAGTTTCAGCCATGAACATAAGATCAAGATTATGAGAACAAATAAAATTATTGATTAAAAAGGACTTGTTACATAGGGATCTGACATTAAGCGTAGCAAGTTTCAAACTGTCAGCGGTTGTGGTCGGCTGATTCTTACACGGAACAAGAATTAGATTTTCCAGATTAGACTGATTAACTCTAGATGTCTTTGTTATGTATTTGTGTCATCACTGAGGGAATGGCACAGGTAGCTTCATGACAGGGCCCCAGCTGGGTCTCTCTTCTAACTAGACTGCCAGTGGCTGCGAAGCAGAGACCCTGTGCATCCCCGCTCCCATCTCTGTGTGGAGTGAGAGGACAAGTGCCCAAAAAATAATAACAATTGTAAACCGCTTTGTGACTCTGGTCTGTGAAAGGCGGTATATAAATAAAGCCCACTTAGAGAAAAGAGGGGAAGGGGAAAGCGGGGGAGGAGGATGAAGTGGTGGGTATAATATTAGATAAATTCTTGAATTTTATACCGACACATTTACGGTAATGTTGACTAACGTGTACTTTTTCACACACATGACGTCTTCAAATATGTATGGATGCTATTTTCCTTTGTGTGGTCAGACAAGCAGAACGACGTGGAGCTTCCGTCCCCCACGCTGAAGGACAAGCCCATGAGCCACATCATTGGGGTCCGCAAACTGTCCCACAGCTCCAGCCTGTCTAGCAGCTCCGTGCCCAGGTTCGGGGTGAGCACGGAGCGGGAGGACGAGCTGGCCAAGGTAAACCCTGCTCATAAGTAGAAAAATAAATCTGTAATAGATAAAGAAAGGGTCTGGATTAACAAGAATCCTGTTTATTCTGAACATGGAACTGTTTTACCAATTAAAATAAGTGAGAATGCAATATAAACATTAATTCATTCATCTTCACCCCCTTTATCCTTATTTCTGGGTCAGGGGGGTGACAAAACAGCCTTTGTCTTTCAGCTGGGTCTCATGTCCCCTTCTCAATATCAGTGGGAAAAGGTGACCCACAACCATTTGATCCAAACCCAATCCTGTGAATCCCATTTTCTACATTCTAGTTTTGGGCTGGAGCTTCACTGGTGTGGCTTGTCAGGGACCCCATCTTCTATTCTTAAGCAGGCCTGGGCTAATCGCCACCTGCGGAGCCTTTCCATATGTTAAAGTTTAATTTTTGTCAAAACCGATTGATGGCCTGCAACTTCCTATGTGCTACCATGGCATGTTATATCTTATTTCAAAGTTATGTGTTGAACCATAATAATCTGTCAATCCAAATGGACCGAAATGTACATCTAACATGCATAATAAGAATGTAAAATAAATGTTGTATTTACATATTGCAAATACAAATCTAGAATGAATACTAAAATTCAGAAACCTCAAAACTTTGATTCTCCACACGATGTTGATACCCCAGTGTTTTGCTACCTGCACTAATCTTAGGACCACATGAGCGTCAAGGCTTTTCTATCTTAACCCTGATATCAGAGCTCTTCACGGCCCTCACTGTCTCTGCCCTCCCCAGGAGCTGGAAACCATGGACAGGTGGAACTTCAACATCTTCAGAGTGGCAGAGCTGAGCAATAACAGACCCCTGAGCTGCATCATGTACGCCATCTTCCAGGTAGGGCCCAGTGCCGCTCTGTGTTGCATTTGCATTCTAACAGCCTTTAAAGCTGGGTACCCAACTTTCAAACCACAAAAATAGAACTGTAATCAGATGCATCCATCTCGGCTCTAAAACAGTTTTCACAAGCATACATTTTTTGCATCTGTTACATCTCTGTTACAGAAATGTGTAAAGAGAGGACCACCAATCAGCTCTCTTCCCAAAGCATCAAACAGTGCCCCTTGGGGCTCATTCTTACAATGATTCAAAACACTAACATGATTTTTTTTATATTATAAAAGATGAAGACTGCATGTTGTAGTCTGATACGCAACATTTTACTTTCATAGGAGAGAGAGCTGCTGAAGACCTTTCGGATCCCTGTGGACACCTTTGTGACCTATGTGATGACCCTGGAGGACCATTATCATGGCAGTGTGGCCTACCACAACAGTCTGCATGCAGCCGATGTGACGCAGTCCACTCACGTGTTGCTGTCCACTCCGGCCCTGGACGTAAGAGCCTCCTCCGCCTCCTCACACAGGCTCCAGGGCGCACTGAGGGTTTTAGATCAGTCCTTCGACCACAGACTTAAAGCATGTGTTTCATTGCTGGAGGTTTCTGGATTATAGGCCGATTTAAAACAACTCTTTCTTCAAGCCATTTCATTTCCACCCTTCCTCCACATAGCCACCACCAGCAGAGCCATGGCCTTCTCGTCCTCTCCATCTCCTCCTCACCCCCACATGCCCACCAGCAGCAGAGCCATGGCCCCCTCATCCTGTCCATCCCCTTCTCATCTCCGCTAGCCGAGGCTGTTGTCCTGACTATGTTTGACTTGTGTTGTTCTGTGGAGGCGGTGTTCACTGACCTTGAGATCCTGGCTGCTCTGTTTGCTGCTGCCATCCATGACGTGGACCATCCCGGGGTCTCCAACCAGTTCCTCATCAACACCAGTGAGCACACCCTCTACACGTCTATAATTTTGATCAATCTCTCTGATAGGGCAAGTGGAAAGACACACACTGTAAGTACATTTTATACAGATTAAAAGTAAAAACTGTGTGTTGCAGTGGTCAGAGGAGCAATGGTGTCTCAGGCGTAAGAAAATATAAATCTCAAAGATGCATGAATCGCTCTAAAATACTTCAACTGTACTGACTAGAACTACTATAATACAGAAATGTTCTGCAAAAAATCTTTGTTTGTTTTGTCCACGTTAACATCCATGTCTAAGTATTCACAAACATCTCCCTCTCCCCTCCCTGTCCTCTCCTTGTCCCCTCCATCTCCCTGCCGTCTTCTGTCCTCTCCCTCCCTCTGTCATCTTCTTGTCCCTTCTTCTCTCCCTCCATCGGTCCTCTCCCTCTCTCTGTCCTCTCCATGCCCACTCCCTTTCCCTGCCCTCTTCTGTCCTTTCCATCCCTCTGTCCTCTCTATGCCCTCTCCCTGGCCTCTTCCTGTCCCTTGCCTCTCTTGGTCCTCTGCTTGTCCCCTCCTGCTCCCCCTTTCTTCGCTCTCCTGTCTTCTCTCTGTCCTCCTTCTGTCCTCTCCTTGTCCTCTCCTTGTCCACTCCCCCTTGTCCACTCCCCCCCCCCCCCCCCCCTCCTCCATGCCCTCCCCTGTCCCAGATTCGGAGCTGGCCCTCATGTACAACGATGAGTCCGTGCTGGAGAACCACCACCTGGCCGTGGGCTTCAAGCTGTTGCACCAGGACAACTGCGACATCTTCCACAACCTGACCAAGAGGCAGCGACAGAGCCTCCGCAAGCTCGTCATCGACATGGTGAGCAGGGACATTCATCCAAGTCCAACTTTAGTGGATGCATTGAAATTCTTTGCAGACAACAGCTTAGCTTGTCCCCTAGGCCACAAAGGATATTATTTTCGCTTGATCTAGTGTTGTCTTCTTCAATCATGATGATGGGTAGCACCCAGGCCTTTCTGTGTGGACTTTGCATGTTCTCTCTTTGTCTGAAGAGGTTTCTTCCGGGCGCTCCTATATCCCTCTCCACCAAAACTATGCTTCATATGAAAAATCCTCCCGCTACAGTCGTCCTGAGTGAGAGCATCAACAGCCGGAGTGGTGGCCACTGCTGCTGACAGGTCACACTTCATTGGCACTGCAGGACGGGTCAAATTCAGTGGACACATTTCCATTCAATGACAAACAATATCTTAAATATACAATATTAATAAATCTTTCAAAATGAGGAGAGAGGAGAATTGTTTTCTTATCACAGTGCGTGTTAAAAAAATAATTTGATTTTTGGGAAAGGCCAAAGCACATTACTGACATCTTTAAGGAAATACCACATAATTGAAATCATGCAAAAAATTTAAAGACTGAGGCAATCAAAGAGGACATTATTAAAGGCCTTTACATGGCATTAAATTCTGGCAAGAGGCCTTTTTGAGCACTCCTGTCTTCTCAATATCTATTGAAAATAATGAAATAATTTGAAAATGTTTGTATTGTGTTTTGTGTGTGTGTGTGCGCAGGTGCTGGCCACAGACATGTCCAAACACATGACGCTGATGGCCGACCTCAAGACCATGGTGGAGACCAAGAAGGTGACAAGCTCTGGGGTCCTGCTGCTAGACCACTACACTGAGCGCATACAGGTACAGCCCAAGTCCCTTTGGTCCAGGACTGATCCGTCACAGGCTAAGAGAGAGACCAGACTGAGACCAGAGAGAGATCGGACTGAGACCACAAAGTGAGAGAGAACACAGGAAGAAAAGATTTGTAGCTCTTTTCACAGTAGTAATATTATGCACTATCTTATCAGTGCAATATATATTTTTTGTATTTATGCTCAGTCACTCCAGTGTGTTAAATAATTATCAGAGCTGATCTTTTAAACTTTTTTAAACTAGTTCAGAGAATGTCTGCTTCAAATTGCAATCATCACAGCTGTGGGGTACATAATATATGTATTTGGAATATATAATTCCAAATACATTTGCATACAGAATTTATAGAAAGTTTAGAAAAGTTTATACAGTTTATTTACACAGAAAAGAAAGGGGGGGCATGACTTTGACTGAGGTTCCTGATATTAGCGTGAATGACCATTTTGCATAAAGTGTGTCAAACAAGAATGATAATGATTTCTTTTGACAAATTCAAACGCTGCTCCTTGGTGCGTAGGTGCTGCGGAACATGGTGCACTGTGCAGACCTGAGCAACCCCACCAAACCCCTGCCCGTGTACCGCCAGTGGACCGAACGCATCATGGAGGAGTTCTTCAGACAGGGTGACAAGGAGAGGGAGCGAGGGATGGAGATCAGTGCAATGTGCGACAAACACACAGCCTCAGTGGAAAAGAGCCAGGTGCGCCCACTCTAATCATTAAACTGTAAAACTGTACCCATTAAAAAATGGTAAATGGTGTAGGATTCTACTCTTCTTCCCACACCCTTTTGAGCGTAGATAGTTTGCAAATAGTTGCCAATAAATATATAAATACAAAGTAAATGCGTAAACATATTTTGAATATGTAAATGTAAATTGTAAAGTACTTGAATGTAAAAATGTCTGCTCAAAACAAAGAAATGAAGGAAATACACACAAACACACACACTGTACATGGCAACACAGCCTCATGGGGAAGAGATAGGTGTACACTGACTTTGGCATTTGTTCTGCTGATTTGGAAGGAGTTCTATCACACACACACACACACACAGACTGTACTATACATGACCGCACAGCCTTGTGGGTACGTAAATACTAAACACACACACATACTGTAAGTATTGACATACTTACTCACTCACACACACTGTACGTGTAAGGCATTTTTTCGTTGTGTAGAAAGTTGTTGTGAACACAGTGCTCTCATGTTATTGACAACAAGAAAATGTGTATAATAATAACATGGACAAAAGCTGAGAAAAGTTTTTTTTCCACCATTGTCTCTACGGCAGGTGGGCTTCATTGACTACATCGTGCACCCTCTGTGGGAGACGTGGGCCGACCTGGTGCACCCGGACGCGCAGGAGTTGCTGGATACTCTGGAAGACAACCGTAACTGGTATCTCCAAGCCGTGCCGCAGTCGCCCTCCCCTCCGCCCGACCGTCACCTCCAGCATGACCGCTTCCACTTCGAGCTCACCCTGGAGGACCTGCGCCACAACAACCACAACCACCATCCATGCAACCACAAGCACCGGGACCACGGCGACGCTGGCCCGGGCGCCAATGGACAGGTTGCGAGTGGAAGGGAAGGGGGTGGATGTGACGAGAACCACAACGGGCTGCGCGAGGAGGAGGAAGAAGAGGGAGGGGTAAAGCCAAGTCAGCGTCTAGATGAAGATGAGGCATCAGAGGAAGTAGCGAGGAAAAGAAAAGCAATGGACGAATGCCGTAACGGAGAGGGACTTGCTGAGGAGAGAGAAGGGGAGGGAGTGGTGTGTAAAGGGGAGGGACTTATGGAGGAGTGGGCGGATCAAAATGAGGAGTTGGAGCTAAATGGTGAGGAGGAGGGGGTAAATGAAGGGGCGGTAGTTGAAGGAGGGCAAAGTGAAACGTTGGAAAAATGCAATACCATAGCGCAAAATGTAGAGGAAAGTGAAGGGGAGGAGCTACACAATGAAGGGGAGGAGCTACACAATGAAGGGGAGGAGCTACATGTACAAACGGAGGAGCAAACAGAAGGAGAAGGGCTTTCGGAAGAAGGGCTCGAAGATGAGACAGAGGGACTCAAGTCGGTAGAGGAAAACCCAGAAGAGAGGGAAGGGGAGGACTCTGCCTGTGAGGGGGAGAGTGGCATGGGTATACATGAAGAAGGGGAGGGGTTACACGAGGAAGGGGAGGGGCTACACGAGGAAGGGGTGGGGGTGGCTGACAAGCAGGAGGCACTAGAGGAAGACAAGGACAGCGAAGTGATGGAGCCCTGTGAGACTGGAGAGGAACATTTGAATGGGGGAGTTGGGGAGGAGACTGTGTGTGAGGGGGAGGGGCTTATTGAGGACTCCGTGGAGCAAAGTGAAGAAAATGAAGTGGAGGAGGGGGAGGAAGGGGAGGAGAGCTGAGCCTGGTTAACGTTCATCGGTTGGGGATGGGACGGTATGATGACAATCGGGACCAAAACCACCACTGTAGAACTATGTACAGTTGACCGGTTATCGTCCCATCCCTACTGCCTGTTGACCAACCGTTGACACCCCCCCCCCCTCTCCCCTCTTTCTTCCACACATACAGGGCAGTGCAGATGTAGCAGCGGTGGTCCCAAAGCCTACACGCGTGCCATCGTCTCCGCACAAACCCATGCAATAACCCTTCAACTCAGGACCCAACCGGGAAGACGCAGACAGAGAAGAGACGCTCGACCATGCTGTATAAAAAGCCCTGGACTGATATAAACTAGGGCTGTTCAATGTCCCCGCGTTTATCCGTCAATGTTGTGTTCACGGCGATATGATGTCATGGTTTCAAAATGGAGGCGCTACAGGCCTGCGATGGTGGAAAAATATCTCAACGCAAAATCAGAAAACATGGTATCCTATGGTTGTTTGTAAGCGGTCTGTTCCACAAAGTAATTCAGTCATCTTTTGTGACATAAGTGAACTGTATGTATGTAGGATTTTGACTTTGAAATTTGCATAATTCCAGGCCTATTCCTCAGACTCTCACATATCCATATCCAGACACAAAGACTACTGTATATTTAAGCAATGTGAGAAAACCCAAATAATGAGGGTTTAGCTGAGGACCTTTGAGTTCATTTTCAAAGGCACAACTGTTGATTTGTGTTTTAGGACCACATCTCTAACACACTGTTTTCTTAAATTCTAAAGAAACAAAGATTATTGTGAATTGTGACTCTCAACACGTTTGGTTCACCCTTTGTACAATTTCCAAATGTGATATAGAGTCATATTCTACTGTTATAACAATTCACTCAAATACAAACCTGACTCAGTTTACACTGATTTTGTCAGGAGGAATGGGCAAGAATTCCAGACTTATTGTGAGAAGCTTGTGAAAGGATGCCTGAATCGTTGGACCCAAGTCATACATTTTAAAAGCAATTCTACCAAACACAAATAGAATCTTGTGTCTTTTTACACAAATGCATTTCTCTTTTTTCTGACAATAACATGCAATAATTAGAGGCCAAACATATGTATTGTTTTGTATCTGCATTGAGGCTACAACTCATTTTGTTGTGGGAAATCAAATCAGATACAGGGCCTTTGAACCAAAAAGAGACACAACAATGTAAGTGTGGTTTGTTATTGTTGCTTTTTGAATACATGATTTGAATCCATTTTCTAGAAAGATCTCAGTCAGGATGGTCATTTCACAATTTTTATCTCCAAGGAATCTGTGTCAAAAATGTAATACACACATGCATAATATTAACACTATTGTACCTCCTCACAGAACGCTCTGTGCTGATTCTCTCACATAACTTTTATTATTACATCAAAAAGTTAGTATTATTGTTTTGTTTATTTTACTTTCATCAAGACATTCCTGAACTGAAATGCAAAGTACACCTTCAAAAATGTTTGTGAAATGACTCAAACTGGGGAATGACGGTTCCATGTGTTGGCAGTGGCACAGAAACCGTCTGTGGCGCGTTCCTCACCCGTGTGTTTAGTACCTGTCTGCGCCTGGTAAGGGCTGTGTGGAGGGGAATCCCTTTTGGGTCTGGTGTCCCAGCGTTGTCCCTCTGTAACACTGTTCAAAAGCAAAAAAAAACTCTTTCCTACAAGAGCTCTGCGGACTTCCTTCATGTGTGGGACTCACCAGGGAAGATGTGTCAGTCCTCTTTGTGTCCCCGTCTGTCCTTATTCGTCCCCAGTCTTCGGGTTGAACACAATGCTCCTTCTTCCCACACACACACACACACACAAATATACATACATACCCACACACATAAACACAATATACCTGTAACAATATAGACATATACACACAAACGCACACAGAGAAGCAATGACCATGGACGGGGCCACGGCGCACTTCCACACACCCGTATTTTTCCTCTCTTTGGTTTTGTACGATGTCTTTGGCACTTTATCTCCAGTGTGGCAGAAGTGTACATAGCAAACGTGTATTTTACTCTGCAGATGTCACAATAAATATGAGCAGTAACGTTCGCCATGGTGGCTTTCTTAAGGCTCAACATTAGTTCATGTTCTGTCACTCAACAATACTGTAGCTACAGCTTGTTTAGAGACTCACTTTTGGGTTTTGGTTTCTGGAGAATCTACAGTATCATGGGGAACTTAAATTTTGAAATTTCAGAACATCAACTTTCCTCTAGTCCAGCAGTTGCACTTGAGGAGCCCCTATTTTCTTTAAGGCTGGGGTACTTTTTGGATTTGTAGCTCTTGGCATCACTTTTTCTCCTTTTTATTATATTCAGGAATACTATAGTTTAGTCTTTGTAGCAAATTGATAATAATAATTATAAGGGGTCACTTAACATGGTCTTGCAGGACAGATTGGCTCCTGGGCCATGCCTGGTTTAGAGCAGGGGTATTGTCCACACCTTTTAGACGAAGCAACTTTAGTTCACCGTGCTGGTCCAGGGGTCGACAACATCGATTTTAAAACAGTATTGAGTGTTTTAAGAGCCATGAGAGATTTTCTCTGACACTACATTAGGATCACTTACTTAGATTTGTTAACAATGTTTTTATTGCTTAAAGTGGATGATGAACTTTCCATAGTCCTGTGGTGGGACAAGTAAGTAGTAGTAGTAATCTTTATTTATATACCGCCTTTTCACTGCAGACCAGAGTCTCAAAGCGGTTTACAAATATTATTTAATTTTTTTCGGGCATTTGTCTCTCACTCCACACAGAGATGGGAGCGGGGTCGCCAGTACAGGAGGCGCATGCCAGACCTATTGTACATGTTTTTAGTGGTAGGGGAAACCGGAGTACCTGGAGGAAATCTACGCAGACACGGGGAGAACATGCAAACTCCACTCAGAAAGGCCCTGGCAGATGTGGCCCTTTGGACGTTTCTATCAGGCCCCTGAGCCCTCCTCAGATGAACGTATGAAGACTATAAAATCCCTCAGTGCAGCGTGCAGAGTTCTGGAGTCCTCTTTCTGCTGCAATATTCAATGTTTAATATAACACATTTTTGTGTAAAAATGTAAGCCTCCCTGTAGGAGAAATTAGCAGAAGACTCATCCAGTTCTTATTCTAATATTCCAATGCCCAGAGAAAAAGTTTGCCCATACCTGCCCTAGGCCCTTATAATGTGATTTCCTTTGGTCCTGGGTGTAATTCCATTCAATGCATTTATATAAAGCCCAGAAAAGTCATCTTGAGGAGCGTTCCAAAACTGTCTCCTCCCTAGCCGCAGGCCGGCGACAGTGCAAGGTTTTAGATTAGCTTTGAAAGTCTGATGTTTGATTTGACCCTTCACACGTTCCTGTCCTCCAAGAAGAAAAAAGCCACCACGGGTCAAAGCAACAAGCCAACCTTTCCCACTGTTGTCCTGGGTCTACACGCTGTTTCAACACCTGTAAGAAAAAACATAGGGTCGCGATGGTAAAAAGACCATGGACTCCTTTAGTGCGTTTATCCATACATGTTTTACTTCATTTATTTTAGATTGAAGTGAAAATAAAAACGGTTACGATTAAGGGGAAAATAAACCAAATAGAGCAAACCGTGCTGTGGATGTGAAGTGAACAGACACCGAGGGTTTGAGTAACACTAACTTTATCTCTGCTCAAAACAATATCAGGCTCAGGTCACAGCTCATAAACACATGTACAAACATTTCAATAAATACAATAAAACGTGCATTATGTCGAGCACAATGAGGAACTTTGGTTTAGCACATGTTTAGCCAAAGGGGCCATTTATCAGTAATACAAAAAAATAGTTTAAAAAAAGTTATTTTTGTTCATTTGTGTCCATGTGTGTATATATTTTGAAGGACACTGATGCAACATTGTCTTTGGGAGAGGACAGCCATCTACATGCTCAAACCAATGTCGACACTGCATAATAATGTAAAAATACTAATATATAAATCACGTAGAGATTACACCTTCCTCTTTGTTTCTCACTAAAAACATTGTTCTTTCTCCTGTGGCATTTTCTGGTACTTGTCATGGAGCCAGTTTGCGGTGGAGGAGAGAGGCCCAGCACACTGTCACTTACATTGTTACCAGGCGACTGCAGGTCTTTGGTGCAGTGGTGATGTCCCATATGTGCACATGTAGTCATCAATGAAGTTCAACAGATTTTTGTCTGGAGGTTGTAGTCATGATGAATACTGTTACTGTGTATAGCTATACTACAACAACGACAACTTATTCTTGTAGAGCCCTAAATCATAACAGAAGTCATCTCAGAGGACTTAACAGAAGCATTGAAATCACCAACACAGGTCAGAGAATCAACAGTTAAAACACAAATTATAAACATATGTATTGGTCCATAGGGGGGGACCAATACTTTGTGAAATGTTCTTTGTTTGATTGTCCATTTTCCACCTTTTATCCAGAGTCGTGTCACAGGTCCAGTCCTCTCTGCAAACAAGTGTCACCTGAGAGAGACTTCATAGCAGCTCTGCTTGTGTACAAGTACATCTGCGACAAGTCAGTGCCATATAGTACCAACTCGGACTCTGAAGAGCACAGGGACTGGCCTCCTGCTGGGACTCTGAGGTGTCAGGACTAAACATGGGGATAAAATGTCCAAATCCAGGGTAAAAACAGTACTGTTTAGCTGTACAAACAACTGAAGGATTATAACTAGGCTCTTTTGAATATACTAGGATTATTCATTATTTTAATGCCTTGTGAGATTTTTTCTATCTTGTTTTGTTAAGAACTGCGAGGCGCCTTAATTAGTAACAGAGGTATAAAAAAGGGCAAACAGGGCGACTGAAATCGACAGTTTCTCTTGTGTCTCACCTCAGCTACACAAATAGTCTGCGATACCCGGTCAATCAGCCCTCAGCCACAGCAGCTCCTTGCTTTAGCTTCAGCCTCAGCAGTGGGACATTCTCCATACCATGAGCACTTCAGCTTCTACCACGACTAGGGTCCAGGCTTGAGGGAAGTGTCCAAAATCCATACATTTATCAGCATATGTTAATAAATAACATTCCACACCATTATGTCTGCGGTTGAGAAGCCAAATCAGACGGCCTTTTGAGACATTCCACTTATTTGTCAGACAAAGGCAAAGTTTCCTGATCAGTAAATAAAAGTTCACCCTCAAGTAAAATGTTCTGGTCTGTTCTCTTATTTTAACACTTCATAGCGCCATAGTCTCAGTGACAAAGCGGCCCCTGACAAAGCAGCAGCGTTCCTTCCATGTGGAAGACCTGGCCTGCACCAGGATAGTCCCTGTATTTGGCCCTGTAGAGGCTCAGAGTTTGACTGACAGCTTCATTGACCAATCATGCGGCTCCAGGGAGGGAAGGTGCTGATCTCTCCACTCTCGTCCAGCTGCTGCTCTCCATGGGTCAGGCTCAGCTTGTACCGCAGACGCACTGCATGCTACAACCATACACACACCCATACACACAGGCACACACACAGGCACACACAGAAGCAGATCATTTAGAAAATAATGCTTATATTGAATTCACAGACACACATTGCAAACATTCCAATTTGTAAAAGGCAAATTAACTTAATTCCAAAATCTATGTTCATAATTTTAGCTTTGTGGTAATATTCAATCCTTGGGTGGCATCAGTGTGAGCCCACGGGCCTCCCTCTCAAAGCAGCAGTACCAGCAGCTGGCCCTGGACACATTGGAGGAGCTGGACTGGTGTCTGGACCGGCTCGAGACCATCCAGACCATAGACTGTACATATTAACGGACGTAGTCACGCCTATCTCCGCCGTTCTAACTAATGGGCCAAAAATTGGGCTTTCACGGAGTGATTCAAAATGGCCGCGGGGGCTGGATAATGTGAAAAAACGCATCTGCGCATGAGTCAGCCGGCACGAGCCCCATTCATTAAAAACGAGTGACTTCAAAAATTCACAGCGAGTAAACTAGATTGGTCCAAAGAAATTCACCCCCCTCAGCATTGACACACATGTGGAACGGAGCTTTGGGCCAAGAGCCAACTTTTGGACCATCCTGTAAAGACGTTTTCGAGAGGTAAGAAGATGCTATATGTTAGCATTGGCTAATTCTTATTCCAGGTCCACCCCCATCGGCCCGGGGTGGTATTGCAAGCATGTCAGCGCACGTCATTTTGGCCACTTTTGAGCCGGGACTCGCCCCCACTGAACCAGACCCACCGCTCTGTCAGCGAGATGGCCACCAACAAGATACTCCCCCACAAGATCTTCCCCCTGACTTTGAATCCCGGTCGGAACAGGGTCTTTCTGAGTGGAGTTTGCATGTTCTCCCCGTGCCTGCGTAAGTTTCCTCCAGGTACTCCGGTTTCCCCTACCACTAAAAACATGCTCACTAGGTTAAATCCTCCAGCTCTGGTAGTTCTGACCAAGTCGAGCATCAACATCTGCAGATGGGTTCCCGGACGCTGTACTACGGAGACTACTGCTCCTGACGTAAGCCTTTGCGGCATCAGGATGGGTCAAATGGGTCGAAGTGCAGCTTTATCTTTAAACGATATTATATTGAAAATATACAGTATCTTACATGGTTTAAGTACTTAATTCCGGTCCTGATTGGGACCCGGCTTATGTGAGTTATATGTTGATGGCGGGTCATATGAGTTCCTGGCTCACCTCTTGGGGATTGTCCAGCAGCAGCACTTGGGACAGGGCAGCAGGGGGCAGCAGCGGGCTGTATGGGGGCAGCTCACACCCAGAGGCAGGCTGCAGCTTCACACACATACTCTAGGGACACAACACAATCAGAGGAGTCAGCAGCAGCGTCCAATCCAAACCATTTATTTTTGTTTGAATCCATTCAATCTTCCGCATAACTCATGTCACGTCATCCACAAAGCTGGTTTTCTGCCTCAAAAGTTGTTTTGAGAAAGACGTTTTTTTACAACTGGTGCCTTCCATTACACCGCGCCATGTTGATGTGTGGAGTGTGTTATGATGGTTAGCAGGAGTTCATATTTTTGACCATTGGATGTTGAGTTCTATGGTGCTGTTCACCTTGGGGACCGCCGCCTGGAATCGGAAGCCTCTCACCCGGAGCGCGGAGGTATTGACGGTGGACAGGACCAGCACAGCCACCCCGGGACGTCCCAGTGGGGGATCTCTGGAGAAGTGCAGGGACACGTGTACCCCGGCCTGGTCCAATAGCGGGATGGGCTCCAGATGACCTGCACACAAATATAACAGTTCTGGTGTTGTTTTAACCTTCCCACCCCTAAATTGTCCTTCTTTAAACTCATTACGTGGCCATACCTGCACATGACAGCCACACCTCTGAAGCTAAGTGTTGCAGGGTCTGGTTAGTAATGTGATGGAAGACTTCTGGAACACCAGGTGCCACAGTGGGGCTGTAAAGGGCCAATCTGTTGTTGTGTCCTTAGGTAAGACACTTCACCCCCATTGCCTAGAATGAGTCTGGTGTGTGTGTGTGAAGGGTTGGTGGTGGTTGGAAGGGCCGATGGCACAAACTGGTTGCCTCGATTCTGTCAGTGTGCCCCAGGGCAACTGTGCCTACAATAATAGTTTATCACCACCATGTATGGAGTGAAGGAATAATGACTTGTGAAGCATTCTTGAGTGTCCTGAAAAGCCTTGATGCATTATTATTATTATTTATTAGTATCTATGATGATACCTCAGGCCATGTATACACATGTAGGTGAGTAAATAGTGCGTTGTTAAGAATAAAACAGCACAGGAATATCCCAAGTTTTAATCCATAGAGCTAACTACTGTAAAACAATCAGGGCAGGACATTCTAGACAAATAACTACCACCAAATTATTCACACTTGTTTTTCTGAAATCGGATATTGTGTATTCGACGACAGTGGCTCAGTTGGTAGAGCATTGGCCTTTGGGCCTGAAGGTCGTGGGTTCAAGCCCACCAGAAGACCTACTTCACGACTCCCACTGATGTCTGCTGTCGTTGTGTCCTTGGGCAAGACCTAATCCCACTTTGCCTGAAGCCCCCACTGAAAGATCTCAGCTCCTGTGGACTCACCACCTGCAGGAGGATCAGTGAGGGGCTGGTGCTCTGTGACTGGGTGCAGCTCTGACTGCCAACCCCCCGACCCAGAAATGGATTAAGGGGAAGAAAATGGATGGATGGATGGATGGTGTATTCCTGCTCCAAAGCTTAGAAAATAGAAGAATGCTTATAATAACTAAATCTGACTCAGCAAAATACTTTTATGAAACCATTTTCTCCAATATTGTCCGTCATTAGGCCAGGGCTCGATGATATGCCCAAGCCCTGGTATGTCCATTTCTCCTGTCTTATGTTATCTTTTAAGATCAGATATTTTCTAAGGGGAAAACTGATTTGTCTGATTTGTTCACAAAAAAATACTTTCACAAGACTCTGTTGGGACAAACAAATGTATTAATGAAACAAACAAAAACAGTTAAGTAGTGATCTGGCCACAGTGGCTGTCATCATTGACCTGAGTGGAGCCGGTGTTTAAAGTGTGGCAAATTACATTCTTCACAACTGTGTTCCTGTGTGTGTGTGTACACGTGTGCGTGCGTGTGTGTGCGTGTGTGTGTACGTACTGGCCCGAATGCAGTGCACTGGCACAAAGACGTCCTGCAGAGATGGTTCCTCTGTCCTCCTGGGGGACGTGCTGCTCTCTGAGAACATGTCCGACTGCAGCTCCAGATAGGGTTGTAACCTGTGCAGAGGGCAGCAGAGGTCACAGAGGTCCTGGGCAGTCACGCGTCACCCTGAAACGTGTGGGTCTGAGATTACGCTGGGTCCTGAGATTCCCAGGACCCTGCGGGCACTCAGTGTACACACAACATTGCAGCACAATTAATACAAGTCAGGGAGTAAATAAGGAAGTCATCTTTATTTACATTTTGCCTTTCCCAGACCAGAGCCACAAAGTACACAGCAGTCTCTGAAGAGAGGCTGAAGATGACATGTGATCTGGAGACAGTTTAATTTTGCATCTCATGTTTTAGAAGGTGAAATACATAGAAGTAAAATATATAGAGTATATATGGATAAAAAAGGCAAATGGAGAATGAGAGAGGTGACCAGAAAGAGCAACATGCCCAATTAGTTGTAGATGTAGAAAAATACATTCTGTTAAATTCACAAAAACATTTGATGAAAAATCTTGCAAAAGTACTAGTCTTAAGTACATGAGTAAAAGTAAACATATTTTCTCTGGTCCTAGAATATATACAGTATACTTAAAGGGACAGCAAGTAACATAGATTCTTAATGGTCTAAGACAGTCGCCCCCAACACCCATCCGGGCTTCTGGTACAAAAAAAAAACTTGAACAAGGTTCTGTGATCAGATGAAATGAAAGTAAATTGGCTCAAATCCAAAATGCAATGTATGGGTCAAAACAAACACTGCACCGTCTGCTAGAGTCAAATATGAGAGAAGCAGCATCATGTTCCGGGGCTGGAGCAAGGACAATATTGGACTAAAGGTTTCTGGACCTGGGGATTCCACATAGTATTAACACGTGCCGTATGATTACTTACCCACTTTCAAGATGTGGGTCTTTCAGTGTAATATAGTAACAAGACAAAGGTATGTTGTATAGTGTTACCAGGAGTGAGTCTCGTTGGAGGCCTTTTCCCAGAGCTCGTCTTCAGGACTAAAAACCTCTTCATCCAACTGCAAACAACACAGAAAATCACACACAATCTGTTCTATTACTGTGGGGTTGCCAGACGTAACAAACAGGACAGATGAAAAATTATATCATATTATAGAAAACCCTAGATAACTGTTCCATCTTTAATCATACCACGTTTCCACACTAAATATTGTTTAAGCCCAGGACCAAATGCAGTGTTGATTTAAACAGTTATCTTTTATTAGTGTCTACATTTCAGAAGCGCACAGGGATTTTTCCAGTGTGAAAAGCCCTTAATCCTCACCTGGATGAGCTCCTCCAGGTAAGATGTCTTCTGTGGCTCCTCCCCCTCCACAGATGACCACGTTGGCCCCTCCTTCTGCAATGATGGCTGGGGTGGGCTGCTCAGCTCGGGGTCCAAAGCGGAGAGGTCGATGAGATGGTACGCTTTGACTTCTCTGGGGCTGGACACTGGAGATGGATTTAACACATTTAGTCAATTTTTTTCAGTCAAGAATATTTCTATAAAACTAGTCTGAAAGTTAAGAACATTTTAGCAAACAGCCTACAAGGTGTGCAGAAAGCCAAGGAATTGTTGAGCATGCAAAGACCAGATGTGCCTTAGACTCCTCTTCTTACTTATAAGTCTTATTAAATGTTAAATTGTGAAGATTTGAACACATCAAGGCAAATAATATGTTCAATGTGAAAACTAGATACTGCTGGACATACTCATAAAGTGTGGGGCAAAAAAGTATTTAGTCAGCCTCCAATTGTGCAAGTTCTCCCACTTAGGGAGGCCTGTAATTTTCATCACCGGTATACCTCAACTATGAGAGACAGAATGAGAACAAACAAAAACAGAAAATCAAATTTTTTAAGAATTTATTTGCAAATTATGGTGGAAAATACGTATTTGGTCAATAACAAAAGTTAATCTCAATACTTTGTTATATACCCTTGGTTGGCAATGACTGAGCTCAAACATTTCTTTAAACTCACTGTTGCGGGTATTTTGGCCCATTCCTCCATGCAGATCTCCTCTAAAGCAGTGATGTTTTAGAGCAGTCGCTGGACAACACGGACTTTTAACTCCCGCCAAAGATTTCTTATGGGGTTGAGATCTGAAGACTGGCTAGGCCACTCCAGGACCTTCAAATACTTCTTACAAAGCCACTCCTTCGTTGCCCGGGCGGTGTGTTTGGGATCATTGTCGTGCTGAAACACCCAGCCACGTTTCATCTTCAATGCCCTCGCTGATGGAAGGACGTTTTCATTCAAAATCTCACAATATATGGCTCCATTCATTATTTCCTTTACACAGATCAGTCGTCCTTGTCCCTTTGCAGAAGACCAGCCCCAAAGCATGATGTTTCCACCCCCATGCTTCACAGTAAATACGGTGTTCGGTGTTCTCACCATTCTTTATTCTTCAAACACAACAGGTTGAGTTTTTACTTAAAAGTTCTATTTTGGTTTCATCTCACCATGTGACATTCTCCCAACCCTCTTCTGAATCATCCAACGCTCTCTAGCAGACTTCAGACGGGGCTGGACATCTACTGGCTTCAGCAGGGGGACACGTCTGGCACTGCAGGATTTGAGTCCTTGGGGGCGTAATGCGTTACTGTTGGTAACCGTCCCAGCTCTCTGCAGGTCATTCACTAGATCCCCTAGGATTGTTGCTCACCGTTCTTGTGATCATTTTTACCCCACATGGGGAGATTATCAGTGGTCTTGTATGTCTTCCATTTTCTAATAATTGTCCCACAGTTGATTTGTTCACACCAAGCTGCTTGCCTATTGTAGATTCTGCAGTCTGGTGCAGGTCTACAATTCTTTTCCTGGTGTCCTTCGACAGCTCTTTGGTCTTGGCCATAGTGGAGTTTGGAGTCTGACTGTTTGAGGCTGTGGACAGTTGTCTTTTATACAGATAACGAGTTCTAACAGGTGCCATTACTACAGGTAACGAGTGGAGGACAGAAGAGTGTCTTAAAGAAAAAGTTACAGGTCTGTGAGAGCCAGAGATCTTCCTTGTTTTTTAGGTGACCGAATACTTATTTTCCACCATAATTTGCAAATGAATTTTCACAAAATCAGATTTGGATTTTTCTGGATTTTTTCTCATTCTGTCTCTAATAATTGGGGTATACCAGTGTCCAAACTTTTTAGTAAGAGGGCCACTTTAGTTCATCAGACTTGACCTGGGGCCGACAACCTGCATTTAAAAAAACTGGATTTGAGCTGGATTGACTGGATTTTATGTGGAATTTTGTGACATAATCATAAAACAAATGTCAGTATATAACATTAGATTCTCAATGGCGACTTTGTGCTAGCAGCAGAGGGCCACATAAAAGGGCACAGAGGGCCGCTTTTGGCCCGTGGTCCTGAGTTTGGACATGCCTGACCTATGATGAAAATTACCAACCTCCTTCACCTTTTTTTCAAGTGGAAGAAGTCGCACAATTGGTGGCTGACTAAATACTTTTTTGCCCCACTGTACATATGGGGTTAAAATGAGGATAGAATGTTCTGACTTTCTGACCCAAACTTCATGGTGGGCATAACTATTGTTTGCCTGTTGGTATGTGGAGAGTCAGACCTGGGCTTGGGTGGCCTGGGCTCAGATGGCCTGGGCTCAGATGGCCTAGGCTCAGATGGCCTAGGCTCAGATGGCCTGGGCTCGGTTGCTGGGTCTCCCCCTTGGGTCTTTCACTACGCGGCGCGCTCATGTGTGCTCTGTAGGCGTTTACTGCTAGTGTTAGCTCATCATTAGCCTCCAGGACCCGGGAAAGAGCCTCATCGTCCTCCGCCGTCTCACTGGCCAATCGGAAGAGAGTGGGGCGGAGCCGGTCGCAACGCTCAAACAGGTCCTACCATAAAAGAATATAACAACGCACACACACAAGTTAATACAGTATGATGCTTCAATTAAGAGGCTCTTCTATCTGCTTTCATTCAGTCGTATGAATTGTTATCATATGTGAATGGTGCATATTGTCGGATTAGACTTTTACACTAAGTTTATGTGAATGTAGTTTTAAAGATGTGTAGTGACAGCCGTGTGGGGCAGAGCACCTGGATGTCCTGGCCTCTCTGGATCTGCTCCCGTGCAGGCCTCTCCAACACGTCCTGGAGCTGTCTGCTACTGCTGTGGACCTCCTGCAGAAGCTCCTCCCTCCTCTGCACACGAGCGGCCCGCTCCTGCTCCTGTGTACACATATCAATAAACACATATATAATAAAGAAACAAAAACAAAAAGCTTAGGATATCTTAAATGGGTACGTGCAGTTAAAAAATGCACTGTTTATTCGATGAACTGCCTTTAATGGGTGACAGTGGCTCAGTTGGTAGAGCACTGGCCTTTGAGCCTGAAGGTTGTGGGTTTGATCCCACCGTTCAACTCCATTGATATCTGCTGCTGTTGTGTCTTTGGGCAAGACACTTAATCGACTTTGCTTATAAGGGGTGCAGAAGTAATGTTCACTGCATGCCTTGATGTGTATGTGTATTCGTCAAACTGAAATTTCTCCATTGTGGGACAAATAAAGCTCCACTACTTCACACATTATTATTTTAGAGTCCTTTACAGTATGTAAATGTCAGCATGTGTGTGTGTGTGTGTGTGTGTGTGTGTGTGTGTGTGTGTGTGTGCTTACAGCCTGCATGGTGCTCTTGATGAGTCGGTTTGCTGTCTCCAGATCCTCTGGACGACCGCTCTTTAACAGTCTGTCCAGGAGCTGAAGCAAAAACAGACCGACAGGCACATATGGTTTAAGTTATCAGGACAGACACACACATGGTCAGAGTTATGAGGACAGACACACACATGGTCAGAGTTATGAGGACAGACACACACGTGGTCAGAGTTATGAGGACAGACACACACTTGGTCAGAGTTATGAGGACAGACACACACATGGTCAGAGTTATGAGGACAGACACACACATGTTCAGAGTTATGAGGACAGACACACACATGGTCAGAGTTATGAGGACAGACACACACATGGTCAGAGTTATGAGGACAGACACACACATGGTCAGAGTTATGAGGACAGACACACACATGGTCAGAGTTATGAGGACAGACACACACTTGGTCAGAGTTATGAGGACAGACACACACATGGTCAGAGTTATGAGGACAGACACACACATGGTCAGAGTTATGAGGACAGACACACACATGGTCAGAGTTATGAGGACAGACACACACATGGTCAGAGTTATGAGGACAGACACACACTTGGTCAGAGTTATGAGGACAGACACACACATGGTCAGAGTTATGAGGACAGACACACACATGGTCAGAGTTATGAGGACAGACACACACATGGTCAGAGTTATGAGGACAGACACACACATGGTCAGAGTTATGAGGACAGACACACACATGGTCAGAGTTATGAGGACCAGCACAATTGGACCGGGACATGCAGTCAGCAGTCGTCAGTACAGAGCCCTAACCTTAGTGGTGTCGTCCTGTTCAAATATGGAGGCGGAGCTTCTCTGAGGGGCAGGAGGCATGATCAAGGCACAGGACAGCTGAGGGTCCTTCTTCACTATGTCTGTACAACATAGAACGGAGATGTCACATGTACACGCCTGGGCAAAAGAAGACCTCGCTCATTCAACTGAGGGAATGGGTTTGAAATAAAGAACAACATTTAAATGAGTCAACCCCAAAACACCTTTTGTCTTTTTTTTTTCTTTTTTAAAACACTCTATTTGTGACAAGTTTGACCGGAGGGATGGAGCTAAAAAGAAAACAAAAAAACAGGTCTTTTTAATAATTATAATATGAATATGCCTGTCATGATAAATAACTTAATGTATTTATTGCTCTATCATATATACAATCTTAAACGGATAGATTACAATTTAAGACGACTTAAGACTTTTAATGATAAAGACAAACTAAGATAAGAGAGACTTTATTGATCTCATACAGGAGAAATTTACATATATATATATATATATATATATATATATTATATATATGTTGAAAATGTAATCGTTTATTGAATTGTGCCACTAGTGATAAGGTTGTCAGGGATTATCACCAGTGGCACATTTCAATATTATCGTTTATTTTAATACATGTCTTTATCAATATAATGTCCACCAACATGTGTTAATACGTGTGATGGCAAGCTGCCTAGACTCGGGGACGCCAACTCACCCCCCCCGCTGGTTCTATTCAATTAACCTGCAGGAAGGAGCCGGGCCTCCCCGCACCGACAGACAATGACGCAAATCACTGTCTCACACTTGTCCCTTTTGCATCTTGCATCTGTATGTCTGCATCTCTACATCCTGCATGTCGATTGTCTCTCTGTTTGCATTTCCATGGCACGGTCTGATTGCCTCCCCCCGGACTTGGCGCCTCGCCTCCGGATGCGCCTCCTGTACTGGTGACCCCCTCCCATCTTTTGTGGGCGTGACTGTCTTTCATGTGTTGTCTATGTAAACAGGAACCTGGTCTGGCCGCGTCAGAGCTTATGTACGCTGCTTTGTGTATGTGAGCTCTCCGCACGTGTGTACAATAAACTTACGCTCCTGATTAAGACAAATACCTTTTGAGCTTTCTCCTTCATTGGGGTATGTAATTCTACAACAATTTGGCGTTGCTGGCATGTCTTGGCCTGGATCTTTTCGGCGGGGACGAGCGGCTGCGTTTGGCCGACCTGGAACAACACCAGCCTCTGCTCTATTTGGAGACAAAGGGAGGGCGCGCTCGTCCGGCGCGTGAACAGAATCTTTGGCCACACAAGACCAAAAAGAACCTGATTTGGTGAGTTTTGTCTTTTCATTTGCGTAACAAGCCCAGGGCAGCACTTAAGTGTACACAGGGTTTTGATTTATTTACGTATTTTTTGGGGTATTTCATTCATTGCCACAGCATAGACTGTGTGCGGGATTTTTTGGGGTATTTTGTTCTAGATTGAAGCTAGCGGCTGCGTGTTAGTATCGCTCAGTAAGCGACCCTGGAGATATCTCTAGTGCCTTCAGCCAGGCCCGCTCCGTTTCAAGAACGCGCGCTCGTTGGGTATATAGAACCCACGGGGGGGGAACGGAGCGCTCCAAAGTGAGTAAGAGCAGGGAGAGACTAAACGGGTTAGGTCCATTGTTCTGTACGAGAAAATGGGGAAAAATCAATCTAGAGATGCCACACCGAGGGAAATGTTGACGTCCCCCGTTACAATGGCTATGGAAAAACGGTTCGGATCTAAAGCTATGGAGTGCTTGCCTATATGGTGTAGTTCATTTGGTTTTCCCGACGGAGGCTCTATGTCTCTAAATCAATTACGCATTTTGCGTGATAATTTAGAAGAAGAAAGGGAAAAAAATACTTGGTTTTAAGAAAATTACAGCAGAAGATGTTAGGGCTATACTGAAACACCAGACCTGTCTTGCCATGTGGGAGGATTTAGCTACAGAACGGGACCGCAAAAAGACGAATAAAGCCATAGCTGCTCCGCCTTCCACGGAAGGAGGGGACGCACAGGCAGACACACAGGCGGACACACACACACACACACACACACATCCCACACACCCCCCACCCTACCGCCCCTTCTCACCTACTAACCCATTCACAGAAGGAGCAGAACTCCATGCTAAGTACGCGCCCAAGCAAAGCGCTGTGTTAAAAAATGTGCAGACTACTGTTGTGCCCTCTCTCTCTCTCTACCCAGATCTGTCTACGCTTTCCTCCGTGGCCCCGCTGTATGAAACCGGCCCCTGTCCTACGCCTGAAACACCGCCGCGCCAGAGCCAACCACGTCAGTGCCTCCCAAAGCCTCTCGCATCTGCTGACGCCCCACAGGAAGTGGCCCCCGCGCTGCCAGCAGCAGAAGGAGAAGCACCAGAAGCAGAGCCGCGATGGAGCAGGGAAACGCTCCGGCGGGAACCAAGGCCCACAAATATGGCGGGCCGAGAAGGACCGGCGCTGGTCTTCAGACCCTGGGGGCCGAGCGAGTTTCATTTGATGACGGAACTACTTATGCACGCCAAACATGCAATTTTTTGTTTGGAAACATTTAAAACTCAGGCTACACTGCTGTCGGTCCAAGCCCCTAATTCCTTAAACCCCAATGACATTTCCAAAAAGGACAAAAAGGGATGGGAGAAAAACAACGGACCATGGATATGCTGGAACTGTGGAAAAGTTGGCCACAGAGCAAGACAGCGTCGCAATCCGCGGCAGAGCGGCCAGCAGCAGTGGCAGCCGCGGCAGGGCGGCCAGCAGCAGGGCGGCCAGCAGCACTGGCAGCCGCAGCAGAGCGGCCAGTGGCAGCCGCGGCAGAGCGGCCAGCACCAGTGGCAGCCGCGGCAGGGCGGCCAGCAGCAGTGGCAGCAGAACCAGAACGTCCCGCAGGAGTGGCAACAAAACCACAACCGAGAGCCGGACCAGTACCAGCACCAGGCACAACAACACGGACAACAGCACCGCTATGAAGGCTCACAACACGGCAACCACCAGATGCGCCACGAGGCGGACTGACTAGGCGGGGACAGACAGCGGGCTGACGGTGAACACAGGGGTGCCACGAAGGAAACCGTACGGGAGACTCATCTACCGGGTAACGCACACATACACGTCACCGAAGCGATCACTCATCTTTCACGTAAGTTTGAACCAACTGCAATCGGCACGTACACATTTTTTTGAGAAAATTCATGCTAAATTTCCAGAACATACGCTAACAATTTGTGGCGAAAATGTTACTTTTCTAGTTGACTCCGGGGCAACAAATTCTGTGCTAAAAAGTGACAGCCTTTCTGTCTCCCCTAAAATGAGTGGCCGCTTCACATTCTCATTAGCAGCGTCGGGAGAGACGACTAAAGAGCAATTTACGTCACCGCTAACGTGTTTTGATTCTCAGGGCAACCAGCTTAAACATTCGTTTCTATATTCCCCATTGTGCCCGGTTAATCTACTAGGCCGAGACCTTATGTGCAGACTCAATTTAAATCTGCTCTCAACACCAAGCGGCCTACGGGTGGTACACGCTAGTGACCTAGCAAATGCTCCATGTTTCACCGGCATGCACAAGGAGGCACCGGTCCCAAAAGTTAACTACCACTGGAAATTGACACCAAACCCTGAGATTGCTAAGTTATTAGCCACAACAGTGGATAGAGTTACACCCGCACAAAATTTGGAGGTCAACCACGCGAACGACCTAAGCTGCTCTCTCCGGTCGTTCCCAGACAATAACTTGGAGTTTGAAAATTCATGGCTTCAGTGTAGTGAAGATAGGCTACAAACGGAGTATGTTTATTGGGATAGGCACCACTCCATGGTATCTGTGCTACTTAATGAGCAACAAAAACATTTTGTCGTGAAACAAAGGTGAAGTATTAAAGTTTGAGACTAATTTACATTTTTTAATGAATCCGACCTGGCTTTATTGGAAAAGAAAAAAGAAGGAAAAAAAAAAAAAAAAAAAAAAACATTTTAAAGTAACAAGAGCTCATTAAAAATATAGGGGACACCATCTGTGATAAGCCCGAGTACAGACCACGTGGTAAACACTAAAGTTGGAAATGGATCCTTTTTTTTTTAGGAAAAATCTCTTAAAGCTCTGCATGTTCTGCAGGCTCTGAAAGTTGCAACAATAGAAATAGCTCATGAGACAATTGTAATTGGACATGGAAAAATATAACAAAGTTAAAATTGCAGGCCTTCTGTGTTGTTATATGTTTGTGTGTGTTATATGTTTGTGTATGTTATATGTTTGTGCGTCATGTCAAGTACACTACGTTGACCTTAACAAACTCTGGACAAATATACTAACGTGGGGAGGCGGCCTGTGTGAGTGATGCGAGTGTGATGTGAAATGAGGAGTGCTGAACGGAATCATGGAATAACAAATGTTTCTGTAATGTTTTAATGTGATCATGGAATAATTATTTTTTGTCAACAGCATACGGTGTAAGTATTAGAGATTCAAAGATAACAAGCTTTATTGAACAGGTGTAAAAGTGGGAGTACTCTGGGATGAGTACTCTGAGAAAAGTACTCTGCGGAAAGTACTCTGAGATGAAATACCTTGCTGAAGATATTGGGAGTCCCTCCCTCTGCTGTTTGTCCTGACAGTGATTCGGTCCAACCGCAGTGAGCTGTCGTTGGTTGAAGGACAACTTTGGTTTGTAAACTCACATTTAGGGGAGTATAAAATTAGAAACATACATTTTGTTAAGTCTGTATTTGGCTACAGCCTCTGCCCTGATGTCACACACCGTCTGTCAATGCAGTTATGTTTTGCCCAATTGGAAAAAAGATTGACAAGCGAAAGTGGGCATTTTTTGTGTTTTTTGTGTTCTAATATTTCTTTTTCAGATGAGAGATAAACTACCCCTGCTTCAGGGATGACAGTAGTATGGATCATGAGGAAATGAGCCTCTACTTTGGCACCAAAGCCCACAATATGAATTGAGGACGATCCGGGAGAAAGCAACTGGAGATGAACGGAACAGTAAATCTACACACACACACTAGGTCTCCCTGACCCAACCCGGCCAATTCGGGCGTTCTGCTCTCCCAAAATTCCATCCGATGGGCGGGGGAGCGACTGAATTTTGCGTTGCATTATGGGTAACACTTGCCTTCGCAACTTCCGGTTCTCTCTGCCCGGCGCATTTTCTCTAAATGGTTGAGTGTTTTCGTCATTTTCTGTATGCAAATACATTCCCGTCTCTAACTAGTGGCATATCGCGCAAATCATCCGTCCAATTCACATTCTTCCCTCTTAGCTGAACTTCATTCTCATTGTTACCATCTGTCACTCGCACACACAGCCGTTTTCGTTCACTCTGCTCGCTGTCATCTTCTTCTAAATCTTCATAAACACCATCCGCTCGTTGAACTAGCAACAACAATTCCTCCTTTCGTTTTCCCACACTGCAAATACCCTTTCGCTTCAACCTTTCACGCAATTCAGGCACTGTCAATCGCTTGTTGTTTTTCGTGAGCCATATTCGCCATTGTATGAAATCAACCGGAAGTGAACTGGGCAACAAACGGTGTCATTTTTTGATCACAGCGCCGCTCAGTGGATGGAATTTTGGGAGAGCAGAACGCCCGAATTCACTCAGACTGTGGATGAGCGGTGTGGGTGCATGGTGTCGGTACTTTTGCAGTCTCACGGAGGGCCACTGAGACCCACTGCTTACTTCTCAGCAAAACTCGATCCCGTGGCAGCAGGGTTGCCTCGCTGCCTGCGGGCTGTGGCTGCCGCTGAGAAAGCGGCCCTAGCATCACGTGACCTTGTGGGATACACTGAACTAACTTTGCTTGTGCCCCATGCTGTTTCCCTGATCCTGCTAGAGCAGAAAACCTCTCACCTTTCTGCGGCTCGTTGGCTGAAATACAACACGGTGCTCTTTGAACTCCCCAATGTCACGGTGAAAAGATGCACACAGCTGAACCCCTCCTCACTGCTGCCCACGCCAGAGGAAGGGGAGGCACACTGCTGTATCGCCACAATAGAACAGATATGCACTCCCAGGCCAGACCTGAAAGAGGTGCCTCTGACTAATCCTGACTTGATTTTTTATACAGATGGATCAGCATCACGTGACAACACTGGGAAGAACCGAGTCGGCTATGCTGTGTGTTCTGATTTTGATACTATAGACTCTGGTAGTTTGCCCCATCACCATTCAGCACAAACCGCTGAACTGGTCGCGCCCACCGGGGCTGGCAGCGGGCAAAACTGTTAACATATTCTGTGATACGCGCTATGGTTTCTCTGTGGTGCACGACTGGGGGGCACTGTGGAAACACCGCAATTTCATGAAATCTGATGGTAAACCAATTCTTAATTCCACACAGGTTGAACGTCTGCTGAAAGCTGTAATGTTGCCCTTAGAGATCGCTGTATGCAAATGCCAGGCCCACACTAATGCCACTGACCCCATCTCTGCAGGGAATCGGCGCGCGGACAAGGCAGCGAAGGCAGCGGCATACGCACCTCTACTCACACACACACACTACCTCACTCAAGACGTTGATATTTTCTCCTCTCTGTCAGCAATGCAGGCACTGGCCACTCCAGCAGAGACGATGCTGTGGGAGGAAATGGGGCTCAACGACGGCATGGTGTGTGGCTGGGACCAGACCGCAAACCGTGCTTACCACGGCATTTCTTCAGACATTTTGCAATTTTAGCACATGGCCGAGACCATGCCTCAAAAGGAGGGATGTGTAATTTAATCACACAAAATTGGTATACAAAGGGGTTTACGGCATTTGCACAGAGATTCTGCCAAACATGCGCTATCTGCCTCGCGCACAACCCAGGTAAGTCCCAAATTATCCAACAGGCTGCCCATCCTCCGCCCCTGCGCCCATTTCAACATGTCCAAATGGACTTTGTTGAACTCACACCATGCCAAGGTAAGAAATACTGTCTGGTTCTGGTGGATCTCTGGTCCAAATGGACTGAAGTATTTGCATGCAAACACGCCACGAGCAACGCGGTGGTGAAAGCTCTGCTCACAGAAATTGTGCCACGATGGGGTGTCCCGAGAAAAAATCTCTAGTGACAATGGCAGTCACTTTGTAGCAAAAGTCATTGAGGAAGTAGGTGAATTTCTGGGCATTGATATACGTAAACACTGCAGTTACGCCCCCTGGAGCGGAGGCGCGTGCGAGCGAGAGAATGACACTCTGAAAAACAAACTTGTTAAAATCTGCGAACAGACAGACCTGTCTTGGATCAAAGCTCTGCCGCTAGCCCTCATGTACATGCGCATGAGAGTCAGGTCAGGGTCAAACCTAAGCCCATTCGAAATCCTCTTTGCCAGACCACCCAACTTGGGCGCGGGACCCCCGAACAGAGATCTGCCAAGCACCCCTTTGTGTGATGACGACATGCTGTCCTATTTTAAGGAAATTAATGCACTTTTGCCCTCTATTTCTGCCCAGGTCAGGAGCGCCCTGCCACAGGCTGCGCAGGCGGCTCCGCACAAGATCAAGCCAGGCGACTGGGTCCTGGTGAAGGAAACGAGACGACAGCATTGGCGGTCCAAGCGCTGGCTGGGCCCATTCCTCGTCCTCCTGGTGACGGACACTGCCGTTACCACTGTCGTGCGGTGCTGCCACTGAGGGCCATAGACGAGGACACCGAGGGTGGGGACGGACCAGGCCCATCCGCGGCTCCCTACGCTGAAGAGGTCGGTCGGCGTGCGACCACCGTCGGTGAAGCAGGCCAACAACAACACCCAGAAATCCCAGCGTTCCCGAGGCGACCCCCCTTTGCCCAACTCCCCTGCCTCCGAATCCCGAGACGACCCCCTGTGGGGCACTAATGTACCCGATGACCACAAATTATGGACCACAGGCCAGAAAATAATGTTAGCATTATTCCCCAGCCTGGGTGTAGGTAAACTAATGCTAAGGACGGAGACCCTGAGCTATAGGTTCTCAGGTTTTGTCAATACCACAGTGGCCATACTTGAATCACAGAGAGTTGAACTTCACGACCTACGTGCCGTTGTTCTTCAGGACCGGTTGGTCCTGGACCACCTGACCGCGTCTGTGGGAGGCGTATGCACGATCATTGGGTCGTCCTGCTGTACATATATTCCGGCTAATGATGAGGACGGAGGTCTTATCCAACAGGGCATAGCCAATCTGACTAGACTCCGGGACGCCATGCAAGCGGACAATGTCACGGACACTCCTCACGGTCTGGACTGGCTCCTGTCCTCCTGGCGGAGTGTGCTCATTAATCTTGGTTTAGCCCTATTGACTGTTATGATTTTATTTTCATGTGTATTACCTATGGTGTTTCGGGCCGTTGGTAAAATGATATCCACTCACTTTGTGTCCATTCAATACAAAGACCCCGAGGCGGACCTGGCCGCTGTCCCACTGAACTCCGATCCTGATTATATCAGCGATTCGGACGATGACTTTGTCTAACGTTTTTCTTTCTTGTTTACCTTGTTTTTATTTTTCCACTTGTTTTGCTCAGGGACCAAGGTCAATACTCACCCACCTGAATGTGATCTCTGTAAAACTGGGGTTTCTACATTATCACGGGAGAGGAGTGTGATGGCAAGCTGCCTAGACTCGGGGACGCCAACTCACCCCCCCCGCTGGTTCTATTCAATTAACCTGCAGGAAGGAGCCGGGCCTCCCCGCACCGACAGACAATGACGCAAATCACTGTCTCACCCTTGTCCCTTTTGCATCTTGCATCTGTATGTCTGCATCTCTACATCCTGCATGTCGATTGTCTCTCTGTTTGCATTTCCATGGCACGGTCTGATTGCCTCCCTCCGGACTTGGCGCCTCGCCTCCGGATTCCCCTACTGTACTGGTGACCCCCTCCCATCTTTTGTGGGCGTGACTGTCTTTCATGTGTTGTCTATGTAAACAGGAACCTGGTCTGGCCGCGTCAGAGCTTATGTACGCTGCTTTGTGTATGTGAGCTCTCCGCACGTGTGTACAATAAACTTACGCTCCTGATTAAGACAAATACCTTTTGAGCTTTCTCCTTCATTGGGGTATGTAATTCTACAACATACGACAGGCCTAGGAATGGCCAAGGAATGTGTCTCTTTCAAGCTCTTTCCCTAACATTTAAGAATATTGCAAATAAACTGTGAATAATGTGATCATTGTAACAGACTTTAAAAATGGTTAGTGTGACAGGTATTTTCTCACCCTGTTTCTTGAGCATGTCGTAGGCCTCCTGGATCTTGGGCTGGTCCCGGAGCCACAGGGTCCATCCATACAGCACCTCAACCAGACGCTGCTTCACCTTCTCCGGGCTCCATGCACCAAAATACTGCACACGCACAATCAGGACCATGATTAATGAGACTAGACACATCATCTCATGTACAGGATCTGATAAAATATCTACCTCACACTGTCTCACTCTTTTTGGTCGGTGGCCGAATTTGAAAACAAGAGCTGGTTGGGGGCCAGAAGTGTTAGCTCAATAAACACACAGGTTTATGGAAACGATGTTTACTCCATCACGATAGCAGACAAGTGAATACAGTCTCGTGTGAGCATCAACATGAACACCCAAACATCGCGATACTATCACCGCTCCTCATTTGTGCACATAGAAACATAGCTTAACAATCTCCCCTTTTTTTCTTTTAAAAAGTGCAGTACCAATGTAGAACATAACATACAACAAATGTATCACATTAAATGTATTTGTTCAGTTTTTTAGCTGGCAGACACCTTCACCAAGTGCCTTAAGAAGACTCAGTGCAGATGCCCCCTTCTTTGTCAAGCAATTGGCCAGCTGCTCTTTGGTGTCTGACCATAGGATTTGCTGAATAGTCCCAGAGTGTAGAAGTTCTTTTATACTGCTAATCTCAAGACGCAGTCTCTTCTCAGTGACAGATTTTGTTGATTTGACAGCATCCATAAGAGAATGATTGTCTGTGACGCACACAATGGGAACAACTTTGGATTCACAGTCCCCGGTGGTGATTTCAGAGTATAGTGTAGCAAGGAAAACTGCACTATCAATCCCATCTGCAAGTTCCAGAGTTTCTCCCGCTAATGTACTCCGGACAACTCTCCTGATCCGTTTGGACTGCCAGGAGATAGGGGAGAACTTTCCGTTTTCACCCATTAACATTATGAAATGCCCACCCTGTGTGCACCGCTCCTCATTTGTGCACATAGAAACATAGCTTAACAAGAAGAACTAAAGTGAATTATATAATAAGGAAATTACTTTTTTTTTTACATGAGTTAGGATATTTTCAAGTATATTCTTCTAAACAGTGAATTCAGTTACTGTTTAGATTGAACTAAAACTGGACCAAATATAAAAGAAGAGATAGAATTGAAGGCTGGCCAAAACTTTTTATATTTAACTAAAGTATTTCACTTCTAATTATGTATTGGGTTAAATGTGTTAGCTGCAGACAGAGGAAGTGACAAGCTAACAACAGCGTGTGGTTAGTGTCACCAGAGCTGTTAGAGGCAGGAGCTCTGGGAAACACTTGCCTAATGTCCTATTACGTTAAAAAAATAAAACAAAAAACAGCTTTGAACTGAGGCTGTCTCAAACACCTGTAAGCGATGAAGTACAAAGCTCACAGTTAGTCACATGTTCCTATTGGGACGTTGACTCAATTCCCGATGGAAGAGAATATAATGGCTCAAACATACATGATTCTCTCTGTACACCAACTTTTCTACAGGGAATTCTCATTACTAAGAGCCAAGATGGAGGGCAGACATTCCAAATCCACATGTCTAATCCACATGTCTAGACTGGGACAGGGTTTTGGACACAAAAACCCATCTGAACTTATAGTAAGTAAGTAAGTAAGTAAGTTTTTATTTATATACCGCCTTTTCACTGCAGATCTGAGTCTCAAAGCGGTTTACAATTGTTAATTTTTGGGCATTTGTCTCTCACTCCACACAGAGATGGGAGCGGGGCCAGTACAGGAAGCACATGCCAGAACTATTGTAGATATTTTTAGTGGTAGGGGAAACCGGAGTACCCGGAGGAAACCTACGCACACACGGGGAGAACATGCAAACTCCACTCAGAAAGGCCCTGGTCCGACCGGGATTCGAACCCAGGACCTTCTTGCTGAGAGGCAAGAGTGCTATCCACTCAGCCACCGTGCCGCCCTTATAAACACCATGTAGACTTTTCTCCACAAAGTAAGCCAGAGCCAAGCTGTCCCCTGGTCCCTTGCACTCCCCTGGTCCTTCTTCTGGATGACTTCTCTCCGCTCAGACTTAACAGAACAAATCAAAGGTTTTTTTTGACTGCCGGTTTATGTCCTGAACCTGCATTGGTTTCAGTTCCAACATGAGTCTGGTGTGCTCTGGCGCAGGTTAGAACTAAAACCTCCAGCCACACCTGCCATTTGAGGACTGGTTTGCACACCGGTCCTGAAATCACACGCTAATCAATACAACATACTAAAACATGTTGTACCTTCGGAGAGAGCACCTTGATGAGCTCGTTGAGGAACCGGAACTTGGCCACCTCACTGTGGAATTTCTTCCCACACTCGTTCATGCACGCCTCCAGCACCTGCAGTATACATCTGCTTTTTACTATTTATACACTACATGGATGAGTTGAAACCAGTAAAAGATGATAACATGTCATTTCTATTGTAATGTGTGTAATGTAAGGTTTGCAATTATTCTCCTCCAATTGAAATCTCAAAAATGATCAATAACGATTTTATGAAAGACACAGGTCCATGGTATCATACAACTGCATGAATCGCATGTTATTTTAAATTACAATGAAAATACACAAACATTGAGGTAAGATAGGTTCTTTGTTCACAAACAAAGAAACATGCTTGTAGTAAATACAGTTTATTGTCGTCAGTTTAATGGGAAAAAACACAACAGAGGAGAGTTTTTTTTTGGAGTGTGTATTTTTTGTGTTTGAACAATTTGATTCTCTGATCTGTGTTGGCAAAAGTCGTCTAAGATAACTATTGTTTAGATTAGGGCGATACAAAAATACATAGAATAGAATTGATTATGATTAGAGTTATGGCTGGTCATGTGTTTGCTGATTGTAACGAGTTTAAAATGATTCAATTAATTTTTTTTTTTGCAGAATATTGGGAAATGTATAGAATATTGTGTGGTGTGGGTGTTTGTGTGTTGTGTGCTGTCTGACCGTGAGTGCCTGAAGGGCCTCTCGCTCCTGAGGGGACTGGATCTTATGGGCCAGGAGACGCACTGCCACCTGTGGACTGCACGCATAAAGCTCAATAGTAAAGTGCTCATGGACAAAGTTTTGCTCCAACTCGCTATGACTCCTGTTGACTAACTTAGTAACTGTTTGTATTACGCTCACCATTTTTGCACACCAAATTGCTTGTAGTTTATCGCTCTAATACTTTATATTTTTACATTTCCAGTCCACATGTGAGACATAAAGATCAACCAATGACATGAATTCATTCACAGAGGAAACTCCAGCTTCCCTTAGCAACCATCTTAGCGAATCGGTGATACGGTGCCAAACAAACCCTATTGGAACAAATGCCCATATAAGGACATTTGCTCCAGCTTGCTTGTGTTAGAAAATCAGCCTCCTCCGTGGTCACCATAGTGTTAGGGCTAAAACTACAACAGAGCTTGGTATATAGTAACAATCTACTCTGGTAGAACTGAAAGTAATAAAGTCATTCCGCTACTTTGAGTCTGTTGCCCTAAGTATGAATTGTGCTTTTACAAATAAACTTATGCTTACATAAGGCAAGTTACATTACATTCTTCAATTAGCAAGTTGTGTTTTTACAAGACACTCACCCGTCCGACTGCTGCTTGAGAGTCTGGGTGAAGCTTTGGATGCTCTCCCATCTCTCCTCCTGGTTCTGAGGGTCCGTGGCCTGGTCTGAAAAACACACAGAAAGACTGATCAAGGCATTTTCAAGGTTCTTTGAATAAGACAAAGAGTGTAAAGAAGTTAATACTGTTTAATGACCACATGGACTCCTGCCTTTGTCAGAGTAGACATGTGATGGTGTGACATTTCAGCTTTTGTTACCGAATGCAGCCAGTCTGACGGATCGGTTTAACCACACCCGCCGCCACGGTCTCTGGAGAAGTAAATCAATATAAAAGCCCCCCTTGTCTCTGTTGATGGTCTGTGCACCCTGCTTCCTGAGTTAGATCCCCTCTCGTATCCTCTTTTGCATTTATGTTTTTCCATTCCAACTATTTGTGCATTTTCCCAGTCCATTATATAATTTTCTCCTTTGAAGTGGTCAGATTTAGCGGATTTGGGGTTTTCCTTTGTTGCTTTTTTCTTAGTTTAGCTCGATAGTCGTGCACAGATCTTTTTTCAAATTCATTTTTAATCTTGCGTTTGGTCTGATCCACTGCACGCCAGTCTTTCTGTTTCCGTAAATTAAATCAATTTTGATGGTGAAGCCGACCACAACCATCTCTGCTTTCGGGTCCAACACTTCCGTAGCACAAGTCATGGTGTATTTGTGGAAGTTACAACTGACATTGATTACTCAAGCAAGAGTAAAGTATCCCATTCTATACATTTAATATTTTCAGGTCATAGAACTTCATCTGTGTGCGCAGGAAAACCACCACAGTTCAACACTCAGCTCCAATTGTTTAATCCCATTACGCAGTTGTAATAAACACAATTTAATAACATAGCCCTTAAGACTAATTTGGAGATAAATTTGTGAAAGGCATAAAAGTGACTCACAGGGCTCTTGTTCACAGGTATGCCTCAGATATTTGATAAGCATAGTGTGGTCTGACAACAATGCACTTTTACAGGACGTCTGTTGGAGCAACTACATGTGATACCTGCAGGTGAAAGTAAGTAAGTAAGTATTCTTTATTTATATAGCGCATTTTACAGACAAAGGACACCCAAAGTGCTTTTTAATATTCAGAGTTCAGATACTTTCCCATTCTCTCAGTGATGACGGCAGCGACATCATAATAGGACCATTAAAGCCCCCAATCAACAACATCAGTTCACCCACTCATTACACTCATAACTATTTGTGCATGTTTTTAGTAAAGCACCCGGAGGAAACCTACGCAGACAAGAGACCGTGCAAACTCCACTCAGACTAGGTTTCGAACCCAGGACCTTCTTGCTGATAAGCGAGTGGACCATCCACTCGCCCGAAAGCCAAATCATGTTAGACTGTTGAAGCTAAGCAGGGCAGGGCCTGGTTAGGGGCCCTGATGGGAGACCTCTGGCAACACCAGGTGACACAGTGGGTTCGATTGTAAAGTGGCAAACTGTCGTTGCGTCCTTAGTCAAGACGCTTCACCCAGTGTGTTCTGTCAGCGTGCCCAGGGCAGCTGAGGCTACAGAAGTAGTTTATCACCAATGCCAAGTGACGCGTCTTTGAGTGTCCAAAAAGCGCAATATAAAACTGTTGTATCATTAATGTAATCTATGAAAAAGTTAGGTACCCCAGCTTTATATCAGTCTCGTAGATACAGAGAGCGCGTCCAAATACATTTGTTGAGCAGTGTAGAAGCCTGCTCAGCCCAAGAGAACAGATAAGTGTGCCACAACTTCCTCATACATTGTGTATTCGATGCGGTGAGACGCACACTCGCCCCCGCGTCTCCCCCACCGCCGTCTGCGAGTGCCAGCACCTGATCAGAGCACTTTGTCCAAGTTATAACGAAACTTACTGAGCAGGCTTTCCAGAGAGGCCGGACCGTGCGCGCTCGCCATGGCCGCGGGATGGAGTCACCGTGCGCTCGGAAGGATGAGGAGGAGGACTTCTGTATGTGCACCGGGTCTGGATCAAGACTTCTGGACTTCTGCCCTCGTGTGCTCTGTATGAGGACCGGGTCTGGGTCAGGACTCTGGGTCTGGACTCTGGGTCTGGATCGTGGCTTCTATTCACAGATGTGTCAAACTGCAGACATGTGACAGTCACGCCCCGTCACACGCAGCGCCCACAGCAGCAGGTCACATGATGCTGCTCTGACATCTGGAGTCGGTCAAAAAGTGAAGTCAAAAGAACCAAAAGTACTGGAGTTTTTGTTTTACTTAAAGCTGAGGTGCTGAACTTCAAAACGGCCAACTAGTACCTGACTACAAAACATTGTGTTTCTATAACTGGTATTCAGATTCAGCGTCATTTTATTTGGCAGTTGCAGTAAAACCACTTTGGAATACCAGACAAGTAAATAAATAACACAAGCTAAAAAGTACAGGAATAAAATAAGCTAAAAAAAATCAAAGTACATGAAACAAATGTCACTGTGAAATCCATCAACAAAAACACTTTCAATGAATGTGCTTTTTTTTCTGCCAGAAGGAAGAAGCTGGAACATGGCTTTCCCAGGGGCCAGGAGGGGCATCTTAAAAGCTTGGCTTAAAAGTCTGTGTGATATCTGACCAACCTCCAGAACAGGCAGCTCACGGTTCTTTGCTCATAGTTTCTTGCTAGAAATGATAGTAATTAAATGGCAATAAAAGAAAAGTGAAAAAGAGTGCACCACCCTCACTCAACAAATCAGTTCTCAGTCCAAAGCGTCAAAAAGTGACTCGCTGGGAATTTTTCTTACAAGTATGCACGAGATGTTTTCTAATAAGATGAAGACAGCGTGTTGTGGTCTAATCAGGTCACAACATTTGACTTTTACCAGACTCTCTCAATTGTCTTTCACTTTTCCGTCTGAAAAGGCTGATCTAAACATGTGACAGAGGGTAATAATAATTGCATGTTACAACTCGCAGTTGAAGCAAACTCTTTTGGAGCCAGGAACTAGTGACATGGATTTAAATACACGGTTTAGGCCCCTTAGCTTTAGCAGTTGATGGTAAGGTTAGTAGCAAAATAGTTGTCGGTTAAATGAATACTTTACATGCGTCTCTCATCTTGCCTTTTCATTAAATTATTCTTAATACCTCTTCCAAGTATTTTCTCTCATTCAAAAGAAAAAGGAAACATGGGGAAAAAAAGTTAAAGAAAACCACAATACATATATTTATTGTATATTCTTTTTTTTACCATTCCTTGTTGATTGATTTGCTCTTGTTCTTTTGGAGTGGTTTTATTACCACCAGCTTCCTATTCTGTAAACGTACTGATTAACACAAGTAAATGTGGACTTTTTTTATTTAATAGTGGTGATACTTTCGATGACACACGGGAGAATGTTTTATGAAAAAATGTTTATCTGATTTGATTGCATGAAAGTATTCCAGGTGTGAAATGTAATGTTAGAATACATCTGAAAGCAGGTCTTTACCATTCTGTGGACAGTCACTGTGTCTTAAAGGCCACACTCATCTGAGGTCACCAGTTCAGGTCACTTCTGACCACAGATAATCGTTTAACATCATTAACAAAGAGGCTGTGCATCTTCGTGTCACACAATCACATGTCTGCACGCTTCACTTCCACTCTTTTCTGTTCTTATGTGCTCATTATCATGTCTGAACAATAGGTGCTACAGCAGATAAGGTTTAAAACTCAGCAGTGTTTGAAATGTCACACACCCAGGCAAAGATTTACGTGTTTTGGCCATATTTTTCACTCATTGTTAGTGGCTGTGTGAAGTCAGATACACGTGTTTTGTGTTTTCTAAATTACAGGAAACTGGAGGCTTTTAGCAAAGAAGAATGGGAAGCTTTGCCATCAGAGGATCCAGAACCTCATCGAACAACTACCACAAATGACTCAGAGCTGTCACTGATGTTAAAGTGCATGCTATTGAAAACTGGGGGAAAAAAACTTATCAGGGTCAGAAGATGAGTTTTTAATCTCGTTATCATTAGAATAATGTGTTGATTTGACAACAAAAGGCTTCTGATAACACTAATCAGTGTTTTAAACAGACAACTGTATAAGAGAAAGAGGACTACTGAAATCAATCAACGGACATAAATTAAGAGGGGATGATGTGTGAGTGAAGTCAGGTCGCTGTATAGACAGTGTCCTGGAGTCGGGAGCACATGCGGTACCTCTGCCTGAGGGGATAATAGCAGATTCATTTTAACTGAACAATTGTAAATGCAAATCTGATGTATGTCCGATGTGTAACAACAAAACAAATATTCTTGTCTGTTCGACTCAAACAACATTAGTACTTATGAAGTAACAGTAACAATTACAAGCAGTGGTAGCTGGGGTAAACAACATTTTTTCAGAAATAAATGTTTCTTGTCCCAACATAAAGTCTTTTAAACAAATACCCAATACTTTTGCGCAAGAGTCTTTGGCTGAGAGTTGATTGGCTGAGTCAGGGTGGTCCTCTCACTCACTATTTCTGCATGAAAAATATTAAAGTTGCCAAAAATACATGCATGTGGAAACTCGTGATAGGACCAAGCTGTTTAATTCAAATCAATTTATTTTGATAGCCCTAAATGAAAACGGCAGTCTTCATAATTACAATACAATGAGAGCAGAGGAAATTCATTCATAAATAAAATATACAAAAGAGCCATTGGTACACAGGGTAGTGGGTACATAAAGTCATAACTGTCCTTAGACCCTCCTGCAGGCGAGATACAACACAAAAAAACAAATAAAACCTCAAGGAGACCAACAGTGACAGACAGAAAAGGCTCCCATTACTGCATTACAAAGTTCCAGTTTTTGAGGTTTGAAAGTCGGGTACCCCAGCTTTAAGTCTCAAGCATGACTTCAGACTTGCTGTTCCATCAAACGCCGTCAGCTGGTGCAGTGAGCAGTGGGAGGGCTCTGGTCAGTGGGCAGCAGTCTGAGGAGCCGCTGAGATGTCTCTGAGGCCCCTAAACACACCATCATCTCTGCCACGCTGGGGCCCTGCTGTGGACACATCACATACACGCTGTGAGCACGTGTGGACACAGGACAGGCTGACAAGACAAAGATTACTATCGTTTTGCTGTGTTCGAAGGTCAACACAGTGTTGGAGGTACCTGCAGACCAGTGTTGGAGGTACCTGCAGACCAGTGTTGGAGGTACCTGCAGACCAGTGTTGGAGGTACCTGCAGACCAGTGTTGGAGGTACCTGCAGACCAGTGTTGGAGGTACCTGCAGACCAGTGTTGGAGGTACCTGCAGACCAGTGTTGGAGGTACCTGCAGACCAGTGTTGGAGGTACCTGCAGACCAGTGTTGGAGGTAGCTGCAGACTAGTGTGGTAGTTGAGGAGGTACCTGCAGACCGCTCAGGGCCTGTCGCAGCAGCTTCATCACGTCCTTGTACTTGGTGGAGGTGTGTTCAGCCACAGCCTTCAGCTCTGTGCTCAGCCGCTGCACCGTCAGCTCCTCGCTCTGCTCCAGCAGCCTGCTCCACAATATACAATTCATTTTTGCGCATTCGGAATGGAGCACTGGTATCTTTCTAAATCCCTGTTTTACATTGATACTACGGCATACACCCACTAAATAATAATCTATGTGTGGGGAGTAATAAGGAGATATTGGGTTATGAGTTATGTTGTCGATGCCATCCTTGGATTAGGTAGAATGAGCCAGTGAGGATTTGCACCATGCCTTGGCGATCCAAGATGTCTGCCCATTCAACTATACGGCCTATGCTCAATGGCATATAGTTTCCTCATGGAGAAATTTTGAGATATACATTTCCTTGAAAGCCCAAGCTAATTTAGACTGCCATACACCGCCATGCCAGAGCCCGGCTCAAAATACCCTCTCCATATACATCCATAATCTGCACTGGTATGACGTCTTGTACCTGATGACTAGAGAGGCGATGAGGGGGCCTTCACTGGTGATTGCTGCCACTTGCTGGGCACTAATAGAAGGGCGGATCCACAGATATGAGTACTGAGGGCTGAGCAGCTCCTTGACAGACCAGATGTGGGCCTGTACAGACAGGATAACATATGAACATACTGTATATAGGTCCATTTAAGATTAAGAGATCCTCTATTCGTCCGACAGTGGGGAAAATTCAGTGTTGCATCACAAGTCATAGAACAGTAGGAAAGAGGAACACACGGCACAAGATAAATGAACAATAGCTATACTAATTAAAATAAAACAAAATCTCTAACTCTAGCATGAAATAACAAGCATAAAATCTCTAGAACAAAATAATACTAAAAAAGTATAAAAGTTTTACATTTGGCAAAATAAGAGGCAAGTATAAAGTACTGTGTATTCTAGTGCAAGTGTTAGCATCTGTATATTAGCAGCAGTATGTTTACATCTGTACATGTTAGCAGCAGTATGTTTACATCTGTACATGTTAGCAGCAGTATGTTTACATCTGTACATGTTAGCAGCAGTATGTTTACATCTGTACATTAGCAGCAGTATGTTACACCTGTTACATCCGATACTCAGTAAAGTGACAGTGTGGTTGTTGCACATTCTGATATAAGTAAAGGATATTGCAACGATGCATGACATGTGGGATCAAGTTGGCAGTGTTCATTAATACAACAGTCAGGTGATCATTAGGCTATAGAGCAGGCAGATTTCCGCTACAGTGGTAATCTGCTAGTGCAGCGGTCCAAGTGGCTGTGTGCTGCTGGTTCACCTTCCTGTGATGCAGCACACGTATGATGTAAGGCAACTGTAGGACGTCCTGGTCCCTCAGCTCGGGGTGCTGGAGCAGCAGCTGGCTCTGCAGATGGGTCACGAGGGAGGTGCAGAGCTGAGGGTCCTGCACACGCCGCTGCAGGTGGATCCTGCACACAACCACACAGCCCTTTGCCTTCTTCAGTCACTGTTTTAATAAGCCTGTGTTTCCATGGCTATGCTACTAAATATACACATTTGAAAACAGGAACATTTGGACAGAAGGGGCAGGAAAGATGTGCTTTTGCCGTTTTAGAAGAGGGAACAATGTTATAATTCTCTAACTCTTATGGTTGTAAAGGTTTTTTAACATATTGAAATGTTGTGTCGACTTAGGACAACAGTGGGAAAACGGAGGCACAACTGGTTGACATGTCTCGTGGGAGATGACCAAAACATGTGTTTTGATCATCTACCAACAAGGAAGACAAAACAAAAGGTTCTGACAAACTTCTGACTTTCAAAATAGGTTGTCTATGGTCATGGATACAGGACCAGAGGGAATTGCATTATAATCCACATGGACCAATAAACATTTTCAAACATAATTTTAAAAGGACAACAGACAAAGGAGAGAGCAGTTTCATTCTTGTTTTACAACTTGTTACGCTGTCATGCAACGTATTGTGTAGTTTTAGATTCAAAGCTCAGAGGATAGTTTGCTAAATCTGATAGTGATCCTGAACTAATAAGAAGCAACAGTAACAGCAGCAGGGGGCGCTAACCTGTTAAACTCAGGCATTTTGTCCAGGTCCATGAGGGCAGAGTGAGTGGATATTTTTGACGGGTTGAACTCTGCGATCAGCTCCTCCAGAGTCCGGCCCATTCGGTTAGCTGTGAAAAACACAAACGGCCAAAACCAGTTATTGGATAGTTCAGTGTGATATGACTCTAACATACAGTAAAACAACAAGAAAAACAAAATCATATATATAATACGTGTGTGTGCGTGCGTGTGTATACACCTACACAAAATAACTGAGTTGACAACTAATACGGTTTTACTAATCTGATTTTACTTTATCATCGATAACTGCACTACAGAGCAGAAACATTTAAATAGTTAAATATGTTAGAAATAGGTATAGTTTATGTTCTCCACCTAGCGTCCGTATTTAACTTAAAGAGATTGAATAGTAAAAAAAATGAAAATGGACATGGAGATGTCCATTTTCCACAGGGAAAGACACATGGACATTGGTCTCTCCCTATGGTCCAATACCATGTGTTTTCTGCAAATGGACCAATTCATGTGTCTTAACTGTTGATTTTCTGATCTGTGTTGGTGATTTCAACAGTTTGTTAAGTCCTCTGAGATTACTACTGTTGTGATTTAGGGCTATACAAGAATAAATTGTATTGTATAATGAATTGTAAACCTTTTTGCTCTTTAACAAAATGTAAAATAGGGACAAAAAAAAACACCCAGCTGACTATTTGACTCCTAAAATAATGGTAGAAATCTTCACAAATCCAAATTGTGAGTAAAAATCAGTCTTTCAAATAAAATTGTATTAATAATCTGTCTGCTTTTGCATTTACTGAATATCTGGTGTGACCCCTGTGGGTTAGGGCTGAGCTCACTCACAGTCAAACCCCGAGCCACAGTTGGTGGTGATGTCCAGCAGAGCCTCAGGCAGCACTCCCTGGCTCCTGAAGCTCTCGATGAAGATGTGGCCCTGGCGCTTGGACAGCTTGGAGCCGTCCCGGTTCAGGAGCAGCGGCAGGTGTCCGAAGGCTGGGGGGGTCCAGGCCAGAGCGCGGTACAGCAGCAGGTGTTTGGAGGTGGAGATGAGCCACTCAGAGCCTCGCAGAACGTGGCTCACCCCCATGTGGTGGTCGTCCACGATGTTGGCCAGGTGGTATGTGGGGAAACCGTCTGCCTTGAGGATCACAGGGTCGCCCTCCACCTGAGCAGAGAGCACAACCCAGGCCAGCCAGGGAGAGGGCAGGTGTCAGCTAGAACAGAGGCTTATGATCATAGGCGAGTTACACATGGTTCAATTCTATTCAATTTATTCTTGTTTATATTTAATCACAATTAAACAACAAAATTAACATTTTTATCTATTCTAAATATCCCTTGATTTGGGTTGATCCAGCCCAAATCAAGGGATATTTAGAATAACAGATTGTTGTGATAACTGTGATTGTTGTGAGCATGACTGCTTTTGTTTCCTCCAATGCCTGCTGAACCTTACGCTGCCGACACAGCGCAAGTATCTTTTGAAGTGGAAAAAGAGGGCTGGCGGGTTTGACAGGGATTTTGGACATTATTATTTTCATTCATAAAGTCTTCTTCTGATCAAACCAGCAACAGAAATCATGAGGACAAACACATACATCTGACCAAACCAGCCAATGGAGACCATGAGGACAAACATCGTCGTTAACATGGGTTTGCTTTAACGTAATCAATAACGCGTTTAATTGACACCACCAGTAATGAAATGTATTATATGACTTGGACCGTACGCGCGCTCTGATTGGTTGATTACCGGTCTGATATTTTCCCATCTCGGACCGTTACCATGACAATTGGTCCGAACAGCGCGTATCACATTTGATATCTTTCCTCGGACCGTTACCATGACAATCTGTCCGAAGCGCGTATCACACAAAACCAAGTCGGACATGAACATACTTCACAAATATCTCAAAAGCATTGGTAAAGACACAGACGAGAGTCATATAATAAAACATTGATTAACCTTGCTTGCTCGGTCTGTACAGAGAAATATCAGACCTTGGCATTTTTGCACAGTACATTAAGGCCGCGGTCTGATATTTCTCCATACAGACCTTGCGCTTGGTTAATAAGCCGTTAATACATCACTGGTTTCTGGCTCATAAACAGTTGCATCTATCACTAGTTTTCATACACATGTATTTTTGGCGTATGTCACTCTTTAGATCAGCTTTTTCAGGGTGAAAGGGGAAAAAGAGGACTACTCTCACTCTGCTAAACATAGTGCATGTGCGGTATATGTGCATGTATGTGTGTGTGCGTGGTGTACGTGTGCGTGTGCGGTGTACGTGTGCATGTGTGTCTGCTGCACCTGTGCGACGTCATGACGTGTCCATCCAAACACCAGGTCGTGGAAAGGCTCGGCGCCCTCATGCAGCCGGAAGCGGATCACATGACTGAGCCCCTGGGCCAGCCTCTGCTCCACCTGCGCCGGCTCCAGGTGACGGCAGCGGTTATCATACCTGCACAACACCAGGGACACCACAGCAGTTACAGCTTACCAGTGGCCGTGATTGACAGACGAGATAAACCAATTACAGAAACGTCAGATATGACACTTTAAACAGCGTTTTCTGCTTTGGATTTAGAGAATTTATTCCAAATGATTTGATACGGAGAAAGGAGCAGCAGTAAACAGTGGTAAGTGGGGGAGTGTGTACCGGGGGTATGTAACTTGGGCAGTGTGTAATGTTTTAGAAAATAGGATTTACGGATTAAGACTTGACAAGAATATGCAACACTACATAGATGTGAAAGCACACCCTGCCGTGGGAGATTATAGGCAGAGGAACATTTCCATACGAGTGTGGTCAGAGGAGAGGCAAGCCTTCCACAAACAAGTTATTTTTGCAGTGCTTTGAAAATCATACACAAAATTTAAATACTTAAAATACAATTGAATGGTATTTTGAATAATAATCTTATTGAACAATCAAATTGTCTTGAATGTTGGATTTAATTGCGTCAGTTCATTGAATTCCAGAGCTTTCTGTGTGTAGTATTTGCATCTTATTTTCTCACACACACACACCTGGGGGTGTGTCCGCTGCGCAGTGCCTCCTTCTTCAGCAGCTGCAGTCTCTGAGCGCTGCAGAAGCAGTAGTAGGCGTGTCCTGACTGGACCAGGCGCTGGGCAGTGGACGAGTACAGCTCCAGCCTTTGGGACTGGACGTAGGGCCCCATTGCTCCTCCACGCTGAGGGCTCTCATCTGGAGGGATACCTGGGTCACACACATGTACTCTTCATGAGGAAGGAGGGGGGGCGAATCCACATGCTCGTATGAAAAAGAATACAAAAACAAATCCAACACCCACAACATTAAGTAACGATACATGGACAATACTAAACCGCTAGCCCAAGTGAGACCAGTCTTAAGATAAAATAAGAATTCCTTTATTCGTCCCACAGTGGAGAAAATGGAGTGTGCTCCTGCTTGGTAGGAATGAGATCCTGCAGTCACACAGTGTTTGATACTCCTGTACTAGCTCAATGAAGTCTCGTGGAAGAAGTTTTGCTCCAACTCGCTCTGGCTCCAATTGACTTACATGTGAAAGAAATCTCTTCTATCTCAGTAACTGATTTGGGCTTAAAAAAATCTGAGGTTAGCCAAACGAGAAGTGCTAACCTTGTACATATCATTTTTCCATAAATACTGAAAATATGTGCAATATATAATGCAATATGGTACCATAAGTGTCAGTTTTCTATTGTTTTAATTATATTTTACTCTGTCCATATTCAGGACCAGGTTTACTTTAATTGTAGTAAAGTTTGTAGATTTGTCTTGCTCAAAACAAACAAAAATAAAGACAAGAAAGTTCATATGTATATGTGCAAGAGACACCCAACCTAGACAAGACCATGTAGCAGCGGGAATAAAACATTATTTTGCCGCTGCTTTTCACAGGTGTATCTGAGCAGTGTCCCCTCAGATTAACAAAGCCGTACCTGCCCACTCCAGCATGTCCTCTATGTGGCGTGCGGCCCCTGGGACCAACCGGCTCTGGTCCGTGTCCTCAAGGCGCAGAATGAAAGTGCCGTTGTGCTTTTTAGCAAATAGATAGTTGTAAAGAGCTGTGCGAAGGCCTCCCAGGTGTAAGAAGCCTGTCAGAGACAGATCAGTGGTTAAATATGTATGCCCACAGTGGACCTTAAACATGTTTCATGTTTTAGAAAATATTATTATAATAATAATTTTTGGAATGAGACATGACTAGAATAAGTAACACTATGTAGATGTGAAAGCACTAAGGGAGCCATGGGAGATTATAGCCAGGGGAACATTTACATTCGAGTGTGGTTGAAGCAGAGGCAAGCCTTCCAGACAATAGGTCGTTGTCTTTGCAGTTCTTTGAAATCATAATTGAAAAAATATTATTGAATAGTATTTTGTCTAAACATGCTTAATTTGGACAGAGTTATCAATTAAATTGGCTGGGAAACAAAAATCCCAGCGATTTTATCAATTCAATGATCAATCAATCACTCAATCAACTTATTTGTACAGCGCCTTTCAAGGCAACACAAAGCGCCTCACAACCAACATCTACATATACATAAAAAAAACACAAGAAATATTAAAAACAGAATAAAATCTTAAAACAGTAAAAACACACATGGGATTATAATAATAAATAGCCAAAACGCATTCAAAAGAGTAAATATAAAATCGTTCAGTTGTATGCACAGCTAAACAGAACTGTTTTTAACTTGGATTTTAACACTGCCAGAGTAGATCCCAGCCTCACATTTTTAGGAAGATTGTTCCAGATTTCATACATCTGGAACGCTGCCTCCCCAGGTCCAGTTCTGACTCTTGGAACCAGCAAGAGGCTACCTCCTGTGCTCCTCAGAGTCTGAGTTGGTTCATATGGTACAAACATGTCACTTAAGTACTTTGGTGTGAGGCCATGGAGAGACTTGTAACAAGCAGTGCTGTCTTGAAGTCTGTTCTCTGAGCCACAGGAAGCCAGTGCAGAGACCTGAGTGGACTAATGTGATCGTACTTCCTGGTCCTGGTCATGACTCAAGCTGCAGCATTTGATGATGATTGAGATTGTTGATGCTGAGAATGTATGCATTTTTTTTATTTTTATACATCTATCTGGAATTTCTTGTCAGGACAGCACCAAAATAAACAGTTGTTCTTAAAACTGGGGTACCCAACGTTAAAATTCCTTAAAAAATCATTTGTGTTCGTTCCAACTGAAAGGGGTTTTTCAAGTGAGATGTAATACTTTTTTTTAATGAAATCTGGTACACTTTTCCCTAAAAGATCTGCATTATTTTCCATAAATAATAGAAATGGTCTAGTAAAATGAAAATTGTGTGAATGAATAGACCACACAACATGCGGTATTTATCTTATTAGAGCACATGTTATCCTTAATATACCTGTAAGAAACATCTATGTGAGTCACTACTTGACTGTTTTAGACAGAGAGCTGATTGGTTGACTGAGGATGGTTCTTTCTTTTTCACTTGTCTGTCTGGAAATGCTGATCTACAGATGTGACACAAGCCAAAAATACAAACTTGTGCAAACTTGTGATCCGGAGACGAGGTCTAGTGACAAGAATATAACTGGCATAGCTCATCTTTTTGAGGATTGAAAGTCAGGTACCGCAGCGTCATCACCTGTGGGACTTGGCGCGAACCGCACTCGAACCGGTGCATCCTGGTTCTTCCCTGCGGCTGCGGACCCCTCTGCTTCAGCGTGTCCCGTAGAACTTCTGCGGAGAGCGAACCTGCAACGTCCACCACCTCCACCCACAGCGAGGCGAACACAAGCCCGCAGGCTGGAGGACATGTCCCCGGTCCCCCTTCACGGGCAGACGGACTTGGACGACATTCGGGGGATGCTAAGCTAGCGGACAGCGGCGGGGATGTGTGTTTGCAGGGAGCCCGTCTGTCATATAGCTGTTCAAACGTGGAGCTTTCAGTCTAAATTCACAATCATTGGTAACTGCCCCTTGTGCTGTCATCTCGGGTGAAAACACTGCCGATCTGTGTCCTGCATGCATCCGGGCGCCGCCATCTTGAGTACGGTAACTGCAATTGGACAAAAGACACGACATCAGAGTAAATAAACAATCAATCTATTACTTCATTGATCGTGCGGCATGCATTTTGCTAATGTTATAATCACCATTTTAGTGTTTTAATATCACACAAAAATGATATTTTCAAGCACATGCTGTCACCCAACTCAATATGAGACATATCCATCAAGCCGAAGAAGAAGGTCTTTTATTCGTCCCACAGTGGGGAATTTTCAGTTTGATGCATACACATATATACATACACATCAAGGCAAGCAGCAAACATAATTTCCACGCTCCTTATAGGCAAAGTGGGTTAAGTTTCTTGCCCAAGGACACACAAACAGCAGACACCAGTGGAGTCGGTGGAGAATGAATAAACCATGCTCTTTTCGAATACTGATAAAAGTATTTCAGCCCATTGACTGTAAATCTTATCGGATTTCAAAATTAGTTTTACAGCCCCTGAATTTTGTTATTGTTTTCAATCGATGTCCCGCCCTCGACCATTTTACCAAACAGAAAGTCTGTGATCCGGGTTGCCAAGATTGGATTTGTCTATATATCTGGCAACCCGAGTCAGGGTGCGTGGGAGAGGTTGCAGAACCACTTTTGGCCAGATTCACATTTGGCTGTCACTTTGTTCAAAACTTACTTCCTTCTTGTGGTGCAGGTGTGGTAAGATCAAGTTTAAGAAGACACAAGTTGCATAATGATAATGAGTCAAGTCATGGATCTATAGAGGGATCCTACGGTCACGTGACTAGCAGCCACGGCAGCCATACTGGAGGACAACCTCGGCGAGTAACAGCCCTGCTAGCTATCTATAACTGGACGTTCAAAACTAGAACTCTCTCGAACTACATGAAAACTGAACAGAGAATTTGAAACTTCTGCAGTTAGTGACCCAAATATATACTGAACCTAAATTCATGAATCAGATCCTCTGAAAATGCATCCTAAAATGTATTCGTTACATCCAGGTTTACCGCGGTCGCATATTGTCGCATTAAAACAGTGTTTTTTCATGAAAACGTGAACAGAAAATTCTGAAAACCTCTGTGCACGTGTATTAAGAATGTATATGTATAATGTATTCTCCGATTAACATTTAATGTGTTTATTGTTACACCATTGATCTATGTGTGGCTACACTGCAGTGGAAATAATGAGATTACATTCAAATCAATGGAGCTTTCTGCGTCTACTGTGAGGAGCCGTATATTTTATTAATAAATACTAGTACGGGGCACCCTCGAGCACGGCTCAGTCGTTCACATGTCTGCTGGCCTTCGGTAAGTCAGATACCCTGTGAACCGGGTGAGGTCCTGTGTGAGACCAAATATATAACAGCTATGCTACAAGCTAAGCTACAGTCTACGGAGCAACCCCACGTTGCAGTCAGACAGATATGTTTTTATCCTTAAACTTCTGTTTGTTTCGGAATAACACTAAATCCGCCATCAAATTGATTTCACTTAGCAGAAATGAAATGATCCATATTCGGGCGCTCTGGGGGCTATTAGTTTTTTGTTGTTGCGTATGGTTGTGCCATTTCTCTCTCGTTTCTTTGAGATGTCTTCTGTTTTTGAGCCGTGTGAAGTAAGGACGGCTGGCAGTCGGTAACACAACTTATTTTCCCTGTCTCTCCTTTTGCTGCAGCCAAAAACGGCAAAAATGTTGAACATGTTTATGCGGTCCCGGGTGCACGCCACTATCATACAGCGTTTGCTTGTCCTCCAGTATGGCGGATGCCCCGCGAGTTCGAGGCATCGTGACGTCACGTGAGATATCTCTATTATAAATAAACTTGACATTGACATTGACATAATAATGATACAAGATCACAAAGAGGACTGAGGGTATTTAACAGGCAGATCCTGAACAGAGCATTGTCCGTCACACTATGTCAATATTTTATGTTTATGTAGCTTAAAACATTCAATAACAGAAGGATAGACAATAGACATCTATTTGGTGTTGTCAGTGTTTAATGTTTTAGGCAGACCTTGTATGTATCTGAATGAAAGATGAATTGAATTGATTTGAATTGTATATTGAATTGAAATCTTTAGAGCTGCTTTATCAGACAGAAAAGGATAAAAGAGAGGAGCACCCTCACTCAGCCAATCAGCTCTCAATCCAAAGAGTCAAATAGTGACTTACACGGCTCTTTCATCAAGAAGGCCCAGCAGAGGATGTACTTCCTGCAGCAGCTCAGGAAAGCCAAGCTGCCTGCACAGATGTTGGTGCAGTTCTACACGTCCATCATCGAGTCCATCCTCACCTCCTCCATCACCGTGTGGTTCGCTGGAGCCACAGTCAGGGACAAACAGAGACTACAGCGCATTGTGCGCTCTGCAGAGGAAGTGATTGGCCGCAGCCTTCCATCGCTGCAGGACCTGTACGTCGCCCGAGCTCGAGGCCGGGCTGGTCGTATCACAGCCGACCCCTCTCACCCTGCACATGGACTATTCCAACCACTCCCCTCAGGCAGGAGACTGCGGTCCATCAGGACTAGAACCTCCCGCCACAAGAACAGTTTCTTCCCCTCTGCTGTTGGACTCTTGAACACTTCTTAACCTGTCCCCCCGCCCTCTAGTAGTCATCTTACGGACCCCTATAATGTCACTTTACTGTCCCTTATTAAGTCACTTTAATGCCATCATAACGTCACTTTACTGCTTGTCACCCTATTGAACTGCCTATTGCATATTGTGTGCACTATTTATAACATAGAAGTGTATGCTAATTTTGTATTATTCTTATTATGCCTTACTCTATTCTCCATTCTTTACCTCTCTTTCTGACTGTTCTGATTCTGATTCTGATTTCTTACAAGTTTGCATAAGGTTTGCATAAAATGGGTTCTATAAGAGGAAGACAGCACCTTGTGGTCTGCTTTGTTCACAACATTTAACTTTTACAAGACTAAACCTAACCCCGGGAGAAATAGCCTGGTTCATTCATACGGGAAAACATATGTCCTTCTACAATTATTACATTTCTTTTCTATGAAACAAACTCATAAAGGGTGTTATGTAAAGCACCGGGAAGGAAACAGAAGAATTTGTTTTTGCTGAATTTGGATGCAGCCACAAAGCTCAATGATAAAATAACCTACTAAAATTCACTTCCTCATACCGTTTCTATTTTCATGCAAGGTACAATATTGAAATGCATAAAGCTAGAGTGAAAGTGGATACTGCTCTTTTGCATTTACTTCAATAGAACTTTTCAGTAGTAAATATCAAATTTTAACAAGAATATCAAGTATATTACTATTAGTAAAATAAACACTCGACAACAGCATAGTACCCTGCAACACTTAGGAATCTTGGAGTCGTTTTCGACAACTCAACTTCAAGGCTTATATAAACCAAGCAACTAAAACGGCAAATTTCCACTTCACAGAACATCGCTAAAATCAGGAGTATCCTTCCTAAAAATGACACGGAAAAAGTGATCCACGCTTTTGTCACCTCAAGGCTTGAACGCTTTGCTGGCAGCGTGCCCTAAAACCTCTTTGAAGAGCTTCCAGCTCGTTCAGAATACAGCAGCAAGGATCTTAACAGGCACCAAAAGAAGGGAGCACATAACTCCGGTGTTAAAATCACTCCACTGGCTCCCTGTGGAGTACAGAATAAAGTTTAAAATTCTTCTTTTGGCACACAAAGCCATAAATGGCTTGGCACCTTCTTATCTTCAAGACATGTTGGTGTCATATCAACCAAGCCGAGCACAGCGCTCGCAAAACGGCAGACGTCTGGTGGTTCCTAAGGTCCCAAAAAGCATTGTTGTCGGCAGAGCATTTAGCTCCAAGCTCCTTTACTGTGGAATCAGCTTCCCATTTATGTTAAGGAAGCAGATACCGTCTCCACATTCAAGGCCAGGCTTAAAACACTCTTCTTTAATTAGGTTTTTTCTCTGTTCTTGGAATCTGCTTGTACGGGACCCTGTCCGCTGCAACTTCAACCCTACATTCAAGGCTAGGCCTAAAACAGTCCTCTTCAGTTTAGCATATGGCTAGGAAGGTAAGACTCAGGGAAGGCTAAAAATGTTAGACTGTCACTCAAGCTGCATATGGAGTCAGTTTGCTGGGAGAAGTATGGTAATTTGAGCACTATCCTCTCCTCCTTCCTACTTTATCTGTTTAGCATTATTAGGATTTTGACTGTTGTTTGTTCATTGCTATTCACCTGTTGTCCCATTGTCTGTTTCATGGTGCGACGAAGGGACCTCTGAACCTGGCCTCCTCCATCTACACCTGCGGACTGCCCTGCCCGACCCGCCTGGGAGTGCTTCAGGTCTGTACAAGACCTGTCCACGTTCTGCGGCCGCTGCGTGGCCCTGGTCCACGTTCTGTAGCTTAGGTCCTGGATCTATAGTCTGCCCGTCCGTGGGAGCGGATCCCTTTCTCAAACCATGGGTCCCCCCGAGGTTTCTCACTTTTTTCCCACTGGGTTTTTCTTATGAGTTTTTCCTTGTCGATGCAGGAGGGTCTGTTGGGCAGTTAGTGTCCAACAAAAAGGACTGTGGTGATGGCCCAGGACACTTTAACATTTTACAACTTGTATGGACAGTTTTTTAACATGTGTTCTATATTCTTTATGTGTTTTTACTGTTGATTCTCTGATCTGTGTTGGTGATTTCAATGGTTTTGTTAAGTCCTCTGAGATGACTGTGATTTAGGGCTATACAATAATAAATTGTATTGTATTGTATTACAGAAAACAACATAATAGTACAATACATGATGACTATAGGGCTGACACAAACAATTTTTATACTTTCAATCAGTTGTCCAGGACGCAAGCATGACACATACCTTAATTCAGAAAGCAACACTATTCAGTTTGGTTCAAATGTATAGGTTTATTTTCCATTTGCAGTAAAACAATATTGGAATACATGTGCAAGAGTCAGAAATATTTTTGGTGTTTCATCTGCATACATCACAACAATGAGCCATTAGAGACTACCGCCACCTTGTGTTATCACCATGTAATTGCACTTGTGCTTGACATTATATATAACAAATATCATTGTTTCAACAATGTCACGCCCACATGAACAAAGTGATAGGGATGTGCAACCTCTCGTAAATATGTTGATCATGAAGTATGGTCATGATCAGTAAACAGCTGGAATCTTTTGTCTATTTCATAACTGGTTGGACTAGATCTTTTTGTGAGAAGTCACGTCGCTGCCACCCACATGTGGCTAGTGACAACATCTATTGTCCTTTTGCCTCTCTGAAGAATGATATACAGATTACTTTTTTGTGTAAAGGCAATATTAGCTTTGAAGATTTGATATAGGTTATATTTGGATTTCAGTTAGAACTCTGTGTGGTTTAATAAAAACAATTATTCATGAACTAATGCTTCATGAATGAATCGTTAAAAAGTTTATCTAACCTGCTCACATAATCATGCTGTAAGAATGTTCATTATTGTTTGTCTCCTTGGCCAGTCACTGGAGGACTCTAGCAGCCATGGTCCCTCTCGTGGCCCCAGTGGAGGAGGTCCTTTCCCTGGGGAGATGTCGTCACACCACGCCCTAGAGCTTGAGGCACGTCTTGCTGCACCTGCGGCACCTGCGGAACATTCACTCAGGCTCCAGCCCTGTTCACAACTCACCTGCATTAACGACAGGTAAGAACACAAGAGCCATACTCACATCCCACTGTGGACATCATTTATTGTTCATCATGTTTGCCTAATGTATGTTCATCACTTTGATGTGGCTGTTTTTAGCAGTGCTGATTACTCTTTGGCTTTATTAAAGATTTTAAAGGAGACTTAACACATTTATATGTACTTTGTAATATGATCATCTATAGCAGGGGAGTCAAACTCATTTTTTAGAAACATAAGAGCAAAAAAATACATAATTGAATTTTTGTCATTGTCATCAATGCTACAAGTTACTGTAACAATGATCCCTGAAAATCATTTCAGGGACCACTAAAAATTTACTAAATTTGGCCCACGGGCCTGTTTTCTGTGCCTGATCTTTAGCATCATTCCCACTGAGAAAAAAAAACAAAAACAAAATTGAAAACAAAAACCCTGAGTTGCGTACACACTGGGTGACAAGTGCCATTGCGTCAGAATGACTCGGCATCTAACTTGTCTTGTGACTTAGTCTTTTTGCCGAGGCCTGTTCAGTGTAAACACTCTCACCAAATATAGCTGATATTTAGAGACAACAAAATTGGCTGTTGCTCAGACGTGGGTCAAGTGAAACTACACACCAGTCACACAAGGGACTGGTGCATAATGACAACGTTACAAGCCGTGTAACAAGAGTGAAGCTCTACTATCAAAGTTTGGAAAGCTGCTTTTTCCCTTATAAACGTGTCCTGTAAAATATATTTGAAAATGTTTGTATTGCTCCATGTGGATGATGAACTTCCCTTAGTCCATCTGGTCCTGGGTGAACTGCTCTTTGACTTTCGAAGACTTATCTTCCCTGTGGTGCAAAGCTGACACAGGTCCAAACAGCATGCCAACCTTTCTCACTGTTGTCCCGGGTCGGTATGAATCAAAAAAACAAAAATGTACCATAAATGTTAAATGTTGTCTTGTTTGTGTCCTTTTGTAGTTTTAGCAGTCATCTCAAAATACTTTACAACATTTTTAATTTTCCCATAGCAGATTAGAAAATCCAACAATTGGGAATCAAGACTAACATATAAAACATTTTACAGGAATAATTGGTTCTCATTTCACATGAACGGAGGGTCCTTCGCCCCTCCAGCAGGAAACCCTCAATGTGTGACTTATCAGTACAAATGTAGTGCATTGTAAATCTCAATGTTGATTGAAACCTGGTCTCATAAACATGAGATTGACAATTTATCAATTACAACAGAAACATTTACTCCTAAATGATTAACTCTGAATCTACGTATAGTTCTTACAACAGGGGCAGCGCATTGCCTTTATGTGATTTTATTAATCATGTGTAATAGTTGTTTACATTTCTGGACTATAGCACAGCTTATATGACAGATATAGTGTGTGATTGGGCTGTGCAAGCATTGGCTCCCACAGTGAGGAAATACTCATGTGGTTTAAGATTGTGGAGAGAACTTTTTTATTCCAACCCCATTTTCCAATTACAACTTAAAATTCGATGAAAAATAATACCCAGAGAGAAAAAAACAATAATACAAGAAAACTAAGGAAGAGCATGGTGTGTTACCAGAGGAAACAGAGAAGTATATTTTAACCTCAATAATACAACAGAGAGAGGTAAACAAAACCAGTGATAACAAGACAAAAGGGTAAATACCAACAATGGTATTACACAATATACCAACAATGGTAAGATGAATAGACAAGCACACAAATACACTTAACACACTGACCTCACATCAGGACCCTTTCTCAACGTATTGTGACCATATCATTTGTATATAAAACATTTCAAATGTGTTATACAATGTGTTTTAAACTTTGTCTTTTAAATGGCCTTTATGTGTTTGCGCTTTAATTTGCTGATTGTTGCCGCTCCCCTCGACTCAGAAATGCGTTAAGAGGAAGAAAATTGATGGATTGTGAAGTTTTGTGTGAACTGTGCTATACAAATACATTTGGATTGATTGGTACTTGTACACGGGCGGCATGGTGGCTGAGTGGATAGCACTCTCGCCTCTCAGCAAGAAGGTCCTGGGTTCGAATCCCGGTCGGACCAGGGCCTTTCTGAGTGGAGTTTGCATGTTCTCCACGTGTCTGCGTAGGTTTCCTCCGGGTACTCCGGTTTGCCCTACCACTAAAAATATGTCCAATAGTTCTGGCATGCGCTTCCTGTACTGGCGACCCCGCTCCCATCTCTGTGTGGAGTGAGAGACAAATGCCCAAAAATTAACAATTGTAAACCGCTTTGAGACTCAGATCTTCAGTGAAAAGGCGGTATATAAATAAAAACTTACTAACTTACTATCAATTGGATTTGAATGTGATATATTGTTATTATATATATTTAGCTCATGGCCAAAAGACGTCTGACAAAGCGAGAAGTTCTCTGCCTAAACATGTCAAATAATAAGCAGTACTAGTTTCTTAATTTTTTTGTCTTAAAAAGATCTTTCTAAGCATCAAACAAAAGAATACAAAGGGAACTATTTACATTCATATTTAGTACATTTGAAATCTCAATAGCTAGCATGGCCTAGGCCCACAACGCAATTAGTTCCTGGCATCTCCAGGGCCGATAGAGAGGCGTGGTGCTATTTTGATAATGGTTTCACAAGAGTTAAATATGATTTAGTTGCCAAAAAAGACTTGTACCCTGCCTCGCCCTGCTCGTACGCCACACTTTTCATGCACACGCTCTCTCTCAGCGCATGCACCGTTTATTCCAAGGCACGCTCCCGCACACAAACACACACACACACTCACACACTTTACCATCTAAGCTGCTGCAGGTTGGAGAAAGACACATCTCACACTTGTAAACATTGACTCTCAATTGATTGCAAATAAAACAATTATTGCTGAAAAAAAATCAACAACTTGTGCTTGTAATCCATGCTCAACACCGCTAAACAGGAAGAGAAACTGGAAAATAACATTTTCGCCAGAGGTTGTCGCCGAAGTTGGTATTAAATCGAGTCATACTACATTTGGGTTGGCCCTGTTGAAATGAAAAAACCTTGTGGCAACAATCTGGGCCACCTAGCCCAGTTTATTTGTGAAAACCCTTGAGGCCGTACCCATAGAAGAAACAGCTCTAGGCAGACTTCCGCATTGAGTCACCTTATCCACTGTAAGATGTGTTGCTTTAATCAGAAGCAAAAAAAATACCGTGAGCGGTTCCATCGGCCTTTTTGAGTACTATAAACTTCAGCACTTTATCAAGTAATAAAGAATATTAAATTCAATTTGACGGAATGCAAAACTATTACTTTTAAGTGATTTATTTACTTAAAATGTGTTTGTCCTTTCAAAACTATAAGTCTAAGGTGATCAATTTATTTAATATTTTTGTGTCATTCAAAGTGTAACTGTAACTTCCACCCAGACGACGTCTTCGAGAACTTGCAATCACTCTAGAATATCACTATAGAAATGTCCCGAACTTTAAAACTCTCATGCTGAGAAGCAATAATGCTTGTATCTCATTGAAATATACATTTTTATTTAACACAGCTTGCAAGAACAGTGACCTTTGCATAGTATTGGAACCAGTGGGGGAGGGTCCCAGCTCAAAAGTGGCCAAAATGTTGTGTGCTGACATGCTTGCAATACCACCCCGGGCCGATGGGGGTGGACCCAGAAGTAGAATTAGCCAATGCTAACATATAGTATTGGCAGACCTCTCAAAAACGTCTTTACAGGATGGACCAAAAGTTGGCTCTTGGCCCAAAGCTCCGTTCCACATGTGTGTCAATGCTGAGGGGGGTGGATTTTTTTGGTCCACTCTAGTTTACTTGCTGTGAATTTTTGAAGTCTCTCGTTCAAATGAATGGAGCTGTGCCGGCTGACGCAGATGCGTTTTTTCACAATTTTCTTGTGGGCGGGACCACTCGCAGCCATTTTGGATAGCTCCGGTAGAGCACATTTTTTGGCCCATTAGTTACAACAGCGGAGATAGGCGTGACTCTGTCCGTTAATATATATGATTGGAACAGTATAGAGAGACAACCCACCTACACGGCTACTTTGGCTTGGCCCTGTCGATTACGGTTGGTAAAATAATTACAATTGTTTATTTGGCCAAATTCGTTTTTTCAAAATGTTGCTCAAGTATTAGGACTTACTTCATATTCACTCTCAATATTAATCAAATGTAGAATTTTTCATATGTTTATACTTTTCTCTGCAATGCATTCTGTGTAGCGTCACTGCTTCGCCCAATACATTTTGTTTTCAATCAACACAATATATTTTTTTATGGACCACCAGGTTCACAAATTGTACAGGGTGCTATGATAATATTATACAGTATTATTTGTCAACCAAAAATAGAAAATAGTGGAATATGAAGTATATAGTAATTACTTAAAATATTTTCCATCAAAGTTTGGTCTGATTCACTTTTTACAGGTCACATCAAAGACCCTGCAAGCTCTGCTCAGAGTTAGGAAATGGATGATCTATTTTTTCCTTCTGTAAAAATGTCAGCACAACACTGCCGTTTGTATCATATAAATTCAGAAAAGAAAATGTGTGAACAAGGTAAAAACGAGGGGCGTGTTGCGGTGGGTACAGGGTTTGGCCTGATCAGCCAGCTACTACTCCATGTTTACATAGCAGTAGTGAAAACCAAATTCTCCAGTTACACCAATTGAATTTGTTTGATTACTGAGGTGTGAAGAACAAGAATTGGCGCACCTTGAATCAGCGTAGGTGTTCTGATTCTAGTCTGGAGTGGAGTTAGAATGCTCCTCCTGTATCTGCGTATTATTCCTCCGGTTGCTCCGCTTCCCCCTAACATTAAAAACATATATAATAGATAAAATCCTCCAGATCTGGCCCTGACAAAGCTGAGCATCAACATCTGGAGATGGGACCCTGGGCGCTGTACTACAGCCACACTGTAATGAACCATTGGATCAACTTAATAAAATTAGAGTAAACATTCACGATAAATATCATACATGGGTCCGTGTACTTTTGCGTTCAATACATTTTCTATTTTTGAA